TTCTACATATAGCCTGTCCTGCTTAGAGTATACTGACAGCATTCGTCGATGTACTCTTCCAGACGTAAGGAGATCTATGGGGTCATCTTGGTCTGTGACAGGTGCGCTCCACCCCGGCTGAGTCGACTGGCACGGTTGTTGTGAATCACACGTCGAGCTGTCGTCAAAGGGACACCATTGTGAGCGGCCACTGCTTTCCAATCTTTTCGGTCATGGAATGCTGTCAAGACACGAGTTTTCTCGGCTTCTGTTGGTATCTTTTGATTGTGTGTGGGTAATTTTGTCGTGTGAGTTTGGCGCGCCCGCCAAAAGCAAACCTTTATCAATACATGTTTTGATCGAATTACAATTTACAGGTGCCACATTGATTGCAGATTAACTAAACCACTTTGCATGAAATAGATTCCAGATATACTTCGACGTTCGAAGAAGTTAAAACTTCGAAACCACATTGATTGCTGGCCACATTGAACGGGCAATGGTGTAGTACTTGTTGAAGTCATATGCGGTCACATGCACACCTGTTGTTTCGATGGCAAAGATTTCTCTCACATACTAGGTGGAGTTGTAGGTGCAGGTTCCAAGGGCGGGCCATTGATGCATGGGAGCAGGGACGTCTGCGATCTCTCCTCAGGATTAAGAAGGTGTTGAGAATAAACGTTCGTGGTGGATTGCGATTGCTCTGGTCAATGGATATCTGCAGCTGGAGTGGTGATCGTTCGAATCGATCGCAAGAAATCGTGAGCAGCCAGCCATGGATTGATAATGTCTATCCAAATCTTCTGTGCAGGCCCTGCCTAGTTTCGTGAAACGTAACTGACCAATCAAACGCCGCTGCCCTTTATAACCGTTTGTGTCAATCCCCGGAGAAATGGAAACCACAGGCCCCATGGAGGTGTCGAAATGCATGCAGCTACAAACAGCGCATAACCACAGACAAGCACGCCCTCAGTGGGGCGTGTGCTGCATGAACCAGAGGTCGCTCGTCACGTCGTGCCCCAAGTTAGCGACTTCATGTCGGCAATTCTACAAGCGCACAGAGTTCGGCAAGTTGCCACTATCGCAGTACTCACAGCCGGCGTCCGCATGACGAGGTTTATGTCAAGGACCTCGTTGCTAAGAGCTGCCGATTTCTCATTCTTGAAGACGGCGCCGACAACACGGCGTTCAACGACACCGTCGAGGACGAAGAGCAGGCCTTTGGCACAGGTGAACCGCAGGCGCCGACTCGTTTGCCGTGGACCTCCCCGACGCGACCATGGAGAGTACTCGGTGCGCGTCGCTTCTCCTGATTGCTGCCATGGAAACGGACCCGGCCGAGACGAGGAGCTGCAACCTTTCTTAACTCCATGGACGCTGAAAAGAGAGGTCGCCGACCTCCTTCGCGCCATGTCCATGTCCGCGAATATCTCTTGTAAACCCACTCTGGCCCACGTGGCTCACGCTCCCTTGTGCTTGAATACGTGTTGGCACAGACTGCGATTCTCTCGCAAAGATCTTGCTTGCATAAGCGGCGCACAAGAGGTACAATGACTTCGCTCATTTCTGCCTTTGAAAGTGTATCATGTCGTCAGTCGTGACGGACTTGAAATGTACCAAGGTCCAACTCTCGAAACTCCCACTTCCTTCAAATTGTCATGACGGAGAAAGCGTCTATCAAGCGTAGTTCCTACGCAACCGACAGCGCCCGTGGTGGGGGCCGTGCACCTCGCAGTCTACTTGTACCAAGACATCAGGAAAGCCAGTCTCCCGTCGACTCTGCCGTAGGGTGGAGTCTGATGCGCGGCATGGACCAAAGTGTTCAATGGCTACCATGTTCCTTGTTCTCTCCGAGACGGTCCGTCGTTGAGATCGTCAAGCAACACAAACGACCGTTGCTTTCCGTTCGACGACGTCCTCCCCTTCCATCGTGTGGCTGGCGCGGTTTCCCTACATCCCGCTGCCCATGTGTTCGTCAGTAGTCTACCTCTACCTGGTCGTATAACCCGACGCGATTCTTCGGTCCCTCCTTGTCCCGCGCGTCTCAACACGGTACGGGGACCGAACGGCAAGCCTTGGATACCTCCGTTCCATGAAGTCGTGCTGTCGGCAACGACAGCACGAGAAGATTCTCACGCGGGTCGTCATGCTCATCGTGCTTCCAACACGATGATTCCTTGGCCGCACCAGCGCCTCTACGTCGTATTCTGGTCCTTCCACGTGTCGCTGGGCTAGTTCCTTGCCGCGGGGTCCTTCCACGGCGCCTTGTCGTAGCTCGCGACCGCCCAGTCGTCCTACTACCTCCTGCCATCACTTCTCAACTACCCCGTCGAGCGGCGAGTGTGTTTCCCTCGTACCTTCTGCATGCAACCACGACCTCTCCCATCGCAATCCAACGTGAATGAACGAAACGCTGTTGTCCAAAGACACGCTTGCGCTCATCCTGGACAACCCTCCCTAGCTTTGGTGCACGCCAGGGGTGCACAGGTTTAGGAACGCCCCTCGATTGCGCGACACGAGAGGCACTCGTTCATGATCTCGTCTGCCATGCGATCCCGAATGCTCGTGGCTCGACGCGCCACCTCCATAGCCTCATTGAACTTGGCGTCGTACGTGGACGGCCCGGTGATCACGCCGACCCATGTGTACCAGATTACGTCGATCCTGATCGAGTCTCTCCGTTCGCGTCCGTCTTGAAAGGTGTTGTGATCGATTCGCGAAGCCGAAAGCGGCGGTCGGGTCAACCTGGTTTCACCTGGAAAAGTTTTACTGCCACTGGGTAATACGACAGCAGGACATGCTCCAGTGGTTGAATAAAACGCCGTCCACGCAGCTCGACCGAGACGGAACTCCATCAGCACCTGGCATGAATCTAGGAGCATGAAGACACCCGAATTTATGAAGCGATTTCAAGCAAGTCGGCGCCGACGTCGAGATGGGGCTCCTCGCTCATCAGCGCTGGCTCAAACGGGGTGAATTTTTCCGCGAGATTGCCGCGACCGACGAAGGCGAGACAATCGTTGTCCTCGTCTGCCGCTGATTTGGAGCAGTTCTGTCGCCACAACACGCAGGACAGCGGGGCTCAATTCGAGTCCCATTCCAAATAGTTGGCATCAGCAATCTCACATCAAGAATGGATATCAACTGTCTTTGTCGCACATTCTCGACGCCACCCTGTTGGTATCGAATGGACTCAATAGCATCCATAAGGTATGGGAGTCGTCACACACAAAGCGTCCTGCACAGCAAGGCGGGCTCGTTCAGGCGTCAGCGGCGACGGTAGCATCTGGAACGATCGACCACCGTCCTCCCCAATATGCTCGAGGCGGGCTGCATCGATGGCCGCCTTGATGGCGAAGTAGGCTGTGGCGCCTAGGAAAAGCGGGGGCTCTCCGATCGCCTTGGACGAGTGCACCGCGAGCTTGTTCTTCATATTGGGCTCAAGCCACACGTTAAACTGCAGCGGGACGTCGTTGAAAGCAGGGATTTTGTACGTGCCAGGGCCACGCGTGAAAAACGCGCCGCGGGGAATCCAAGGATGATTGGCGTCTCCCCACACGTGCTGCTCCATACAAAAGAGTCCAAAGCCCTGGATGAACGCGCCTTCGATCTGCCCAATATCGATCGCTGGATTGATCGACGCCCCAATGTCCATGTAAATGTCCACCGTTTGCATGTGCGTGTCGCCCGTGAGGACATCGAGCTCCACTTGAGTGACGCAGACCCCTGCGACCAAGCATCGTTTGGATTCACAAAAGTCTTGATGAATGGAGGGTCCTACCGGTGGTAAAGTAATTGAAAGCCTGACCAGTTGCGCTGTTCTCGTCAACAGACTTGGACCAGTCGTAGCCGCAATTTTCACCTGGAACAATGAAAAACCCATGGGCAGATAGGCAAATCCGGTCAAAGTACGCAGCACGCGTGACTTGTGCAAACGTGGCATTGGGACCAAGCTTGGCCACGACAGGTTTCAACCGCTCGAGGATCTGCTCACAGGCGTCTAGCGTCGCCATCCCGTACAAATCGGTGCTCATGGACGCCGCGGATGGTTGTGAGTTTGCCACTTTGTCGGTGGAAGTGTCGTGGATGGTCACGTCGTCGCACGAAATACCAAATGCTTTGGCGACTATACAAAAACTACGATGAGTTTCGCGGATAGAACCAGTCAAACGCGTACCGATCTGAATGACTTTAGTGTGGAGTCCTTGGCCCATTTCCGTGCCTCCATGTGATACCAAGACGCTGCCGTCCGAATACACGTGAACGAGGGACCCGCCTTGGTTCATAAACTTGTTGGTAAAGCTAATGCCAAACTTGGAGGGGAGAATCGACAGCCCTTGTTTCTTCCACTTGTTTTGCCGATTGAATGTTTCGACTTTTGCCAATCGCTCGTCGTAGCGACTTTCCCGAAGGGCTCTTGCCCACAAAGCGTCCAAGTGAAAGTCCGTCAGCACTTGACCGAAGTGCGTTCGCATGTTGGCCTTGTACAAGTTAATTTCTCGGACATCCTTGGCCTGCATCTGGAGGGTGCTTGCCAGGTGCTCGATCATGGTCTCCCCCACCATCATACCTGCGGTATGTGCACTTCAATCATCGCCACAGCGTCCACTAGCAATGAAGGGATAAGTGTACCTTGGGGGGCGCCAAACCCTCGAAACGCCGTATTCGTAGGAAGATTTGTCTTGCAGCATTTACCGACGGCGCGCACGTTCGGCACAAAGTACGCGTTTTCACAATGAAACAGCGCTCGGTCCATCACGGCCTCAGACAAGTCCAGCGAGTACCCCGCGTTGTTGAACAACTCGACATCATACGCGAGCAACTTGCCATCCTTTGTTGCCCCAGCTTTGTATTTGGCAAAGTATGGATGCCGCGTTCCAGACGTTAGCATGTCCACGCTGCGCTCGACCAGCAATCGCACAGGTCGCTTCAACGCCTTAGCTGCCACCGCCGCAGCACATGCTACAAACACCTACACGAGAGAACATTTATATCGTCCTGGCCGCCGATTCGCAATCGCAACAGTCACCTACGGAACGCGTTTCCTTGCCTCCAAACCCGCCGCCCATTCGCTTGACACATGCTACGACTTTGTGCGCAGGAATTCCAAGACACTGCGCGACGCACGCTTGAGTCTTTGCGACAGCCTGCGTTGAGCTAGTGACGTGCATCGCGCCGTCTTCCATCGGGATGCAGTAGCTAACGTTTGTCTCGAGGTAAAAGTGTTCTTGGCCACCAATGTAAATTTGTCCTTCCACGACCACATCACTCGCAGCGAACGCAGCCTCAACGTTCCCGCGGACGAGGGTGTGGCCCTTCGTGTGGAACGACTGGGCAGAAATGGCTTCGTCAATTGAAACGAGCGACGGCAGGGTGTTGTATTCGACATGAACGCCCTATGGCATACCACAGCTGTCATCGTCATGTCCATGTTCCATAGCAAACGAACCACATCGGCAGCCGCTGTCGCCTGCTGATGCGTTGCAGCCAGTACAATCCCGAGCGGCTGGCCCACCGTGACCACTCGATTCGACGCAAAGCATTCTTCGTCGTGGATGACTGGACCCAATTCATTGTGTCCGAACGTGTCCAGATTGAAGACGGACGCATCCAGGAAAGCTACGACGCCCGGCATCTTCAGTGCTTTTGACGCATCGATGCGCACGATGTCTCCGTGTGGCACAGTCGACAGCACGAGCGCTCCATGGAGGACATGGTTTACGTCGTCCATGTCGTCCACGTACTTTGCTTCCCCCGATACCTGGCCATACGCAGACCGGTGCATGAGCGGATGACCCACAGGTGCGCGGACGGCTGTGCCGGACCCAGATGGCTCCAGCTTGGACGTCATTAACCCTCCCTTCTCAATACCAAATCGCTGCAATCCAGATGAAGGCGGACGGTGCACTGTCATGTACGATTGAGCACCTGACCGTTCCCGATCGTCCAACGATAGCTAAATCACCACCACGTTAGAATCAGCAGGATGGTGGTCATGGGAAGCTGTACCCAAAGGGCGTCCTGTGGGTTCGCACGACCCAGCGCTTCCACCACTTCAAGGTAAAATTTGTACAGAAATGACACACTTAGCGTTGTCCGATACGCTGACATGCCTCCAGGCACTGTGACCGGCAGGGCCAGTTCGACCGCGAGGACATTGCATGCTGCCTTGACATTCGTCAGGTTCCAAGTCTTCGCCGTTCGCAAGGCTTGCTGCGTTGCTTCAGGCACTTTGATTGTTGCCGCCATACCACCTATATCAAGCACGAAACAACAAACCCCAGTTAGCCATTAACACGTATCTAGTTCGAATGGCCAAGCCATACGTGGCAGAAGTAAAGTTCTTCTTCAAACAACGGTGCGTACCATAAACAAGGGAAATGTCGTCAACGTGCCAGTCCTTGTCCCCCGGGACCAGGTTTACCCGCATGCCTGCCGTGACGATGCTGATGTCGTCCTCGCGGCGCCTAGCTTGCTTGAACGGGAAGATGAACTCGTGCTCTTTCGCCAAGGGGATGAGCACTCGGACGATCACTTCAGTTGGCGCCAGGGCGACGCGCCGGTAGCTGACAAAGAATTCCTTCAGGGGGACAATGCGCCGCGATACTGAGTTTTCGTTTTCTAACGCCAACTCGACCTTGGCCCCCATGGCCGTCAAGAGCGGATTCATGTCGCCAATCGGACTGGCCGTCGCAAGGTTCCCACCCAAGGATGCCACGTTGCGGATCTGGACACTCGCAAACCACTTGAGCATTCGACGAATTGCTGCAAACGTCCGTTTATGATGTGGAGCGATGGCGACGTTGGTCTTAACCACATGCATTTTGCAAAACTGATCGAGCCGCACCAGAGGCACCGCAGCGCCGACTTCGATTCCGTGAAATGACGCGTCTTGAAAAAGACTCAAAACGTTCAGCTCGGGCACGTGGCCTACAGCGATCAATTGCGGGTACCTGAAGCGCTTGAACTTGACTTCGATCCCAATCTCTGAGTGGCCGACCGATAACTTGGCATCCGGGTGTATAGTTTTCAGGTGTAGGAGCTGCAATAATGACGTAGGACGGTGCCAAGTGTGCGTCGTTCCATCAATGGTGGTAGGTGTAGTCGCCATTCTAAGCGCGTGCATGCGAAGTTCCTCAGGAAATTGGGGAAGCTTGAAATCACGTGCCGACATGTGCTTGACTGCTTCCGCTCGAATCTTCTTGGCGCTACACGAGACAATGTTCACGGATAGAATGTCCTCAATGTCGCCTGTCATGCAGTGCTGATCGCATGCGGATGACCCGCATTTCAATGTCAACGCGTCGCTTCCAAATGATCTCGCGGCGTCCAAGATTGGACGGTACCCCGTGCACCGACAGAGATTTCCATCCAGTTGATGTTCAATACCGTCCATTGTGACAGCATCGTCCTGAACAATAGCTGTCAAGGCCATGACAATGCCCGGCGTGCAAAAACCACACTGGGAACCATGGTGCTCGGCGATTGCTTTTTGTACGGGATGAAGCGTCTTGTCCTCCTTCCGCAGGCCTTCCACTGTCGTGACGGCACATCCCTCGATCGCACACACCGGAGTAAGGCATGAATTCACGGCTTTGTTCGTAACTTCCTGCGTCGTAGGGTCCACTCGAGACACGATGACACTGCACGCGCCACACCCCCCTTCCCCGCAACCCAGCTTCGTCCCGGTCAACCGCTGCTTGATACGTAGGAAATCCAGGAGAGTTTCTTCGGGCTCGACATCTTTGACCAAGACACGGTCTCCGTTCACATACACGAGCAGTCCTTTCTCCATCGGCGGCGCTCGCTGGTTCTGTTTCCCCGCGTAGGAAGATTGAAACTGTTCGATCTTCTCCAATTCGTTCAGTGCTGGTTCCATACAAATTTCAAGATATAGTTTATCAATTTTGCCACGTTCTTCAACTTCAATTGCGTTGCAGGATTATCCCAATCTCCCAACTACGATAAACTACGAATGTAGTTTGTCCCATGGGCATTCACAACTGCTTATCTACAAGCGGTCATTCCTTTTGCAGCTGTGGGCCTGACTACGTACAGTACAGCCACAGACGGACTATGCTGGCGCAGTGGCACGAGTATTTTGCTTTGCGTGTTGGCGGCCATATCCAGCACCTCGTCGGGTTCCAGAGTTCCAACGGAAGTCCATCCAGCTAATAAATACCCTCTACATCTGCAACCTCACCACTTTTTGTCGCTGGATTAAGTCACATTATACTCTTGCATCCGGATAAAATTGGCAAGTGGATATTGGCTAATTTGCCGTGGGAACCTACCTGCCAATTGTCCAAAGCTCACTTCAAATCGTGTCTCACATGCTGCGCGCCGTCGTTCGTTCCTCGGCCCTGGTCACTGGCCTCCGCTTCTCCACTGCTGCCACCCCATCGACTACGAAAGAGTTTCTCGTTGAGCGATTGACTGGAGACTTGGAGGGTGTGGCCCTCTTGACGATGTCGCGTCCTGCTGCTCGCAATGCGTTGGGAAAGCAAATGATGCGTGAAATGCGCGAAGCCATGGACTCGGTCCGGTTCGACACGAAGGTGCGCGTGGTCGTGCTCCAAAGTACCGTCGACCGAGTCTTTTGCGCCGGCGCCGACCTGAAGGAGCGCATCAAGATGACGCCTGAGGAGGCCGCCGCCACTGTGTTTGGCCTTCGTTCCGCCTTCACCGAATTGGAACAGCTTCCCATGCCAACTATTGCTGCTATTGAAGGTGCCGCCCTTGGAGGTGGTCTTGAAATGGCTCTTGCATGCGACTTTCGCATTGCTGGCTCCAAGGCGCTGTTGGGGACACCGGAAACGGGCTTGGCCATCTTACCTGGTGCTGGGGGTACTCAACGCCTCCCTCGCCTTGTCGGACTCTCCAAGGCAAAGGAACTCATCTTTACAGCCCGAAAGATTGACAGCGTGACTGCTGAGCGCATTGGTCTCGTGGATTACGCCGTCGAGGCGAATACTGCCCTGGACAAAGCGTTCGAATTGGCGAAAGAAATCCTGCCCAATGGCCCGATTGGTGTCCGATGTGCCAAGGAAGCGATCACGAAGGGCATGGAAGTGGACCTCGCAAGCGGTATGGCTATTGAACGTGCGTGCTATGCGCAAGTGATCCCGACAAAAGACCGCCTTGAAGGTCTCAAAGCGTTCCAGGAAAAGCGAAAACCCGTCTACAAGGGAGAATAATTAGATGCTGCCGCTTTTATTCGTATCGGTGGCTTTAGTTTTGATCAAATGAACCTTCGACAGATCGAACGGAACATGTATCGTTGTTGGGTGTTTTGCCCAGAACACTTAAGCTCCGATGGTGCCTTGTGCCTGTTTCAGAACGACCTAAGTTGGCATGGCGCAGAGCTCATGCCATGCGACAGTTTGATGGTGCTGCGACGACAGGAATGGCCCATACGAGAGGTTGGTTGGGATGTGGCGGCGCTGGAAGGGCCAGTGGAAATGCTTGAGGCTGCAAACGAACAGCGGGCGACGTCATTTTGAAGTACTTTACGTTGAACTTAATTGTTCAAATAGAATTAAGTGGCTGATCGATTCGTTATGGTCTGGTTGGTGGCTGTGATGTCAAATACGAGGCACATCCGCGCCGTGATGTTGGCGAAGCTTATGGTTTTGTTGTTGATGATGGTGTCGCATGGAGGCATCGTGGCGTTCCGAAGCATATTGACGGTGTCGGGGCACTTGGCGCAAAGTGCATCAACTGCATCGAGAGTCACAGGGAAGAATGGAATTCCGTCCCCAGTAATGTCGGGGAAGAAGACTTTGGCCGCAGCTTGGGTGCATGGATCGGAAGACCCACGTAGCGGCACTTGGCCCTTAGGACCAAAAGCGAAATCCAATCTTGCATAGTCGCAGTACTTACCGGCACGGTCAGACGTCGTCGGCGCAGGAGGTACTGTTACGACTGAAGATCCATTAGGGCATAGTCGTGGAGGAATCGACCCAATGGACCGGGTGATGCCGTCCAACACTGTGTCGCAGGGCTGAAATGGATACGCTGTGAGGTTCCGAATGGCGCTGGTGCACTCGGCCGTGCAAAACGCATTGAGACTGGCGCTCGTGGGAGGTTTCACTGGGCGGTTCTTTACATCAACCACGATGGGGAGCAATGCGTCGATGAACGCGTTTGCCGACGCACAGGAGGCACCCCACGACCACCTAGCCAACTCGAGCCTCATCGTTTGGACTTGGGTCGAGTCGCAGTAGTATGTGGTTGCCTGCACTGGGTGGATCGAGTCCAACAGGAGCGGCACGAGGCACGAGATGAAGAAGGCCACACTCAGCACCGTGAAGAGCCATATTCGCCGCTTCACCAGCGCCAGTGAGACCATGGACGTTGTGGTGTGGCGGCAGCGCGGCTTTTCCAACAAGATGTTGGTCTTGACGATTGGCCAATCACATGAAAGTCAGGCATGTGCAAGAATTATCTGGCCTCATATCCGGAACGTCCCACCGTTCGAAAAAGTTCTTACGGATAAACCGCTGGGAACCTGCTTGGCACCACTACAGTACTCTTGAACAAGCGAGCGCGATCCCGTGAAATGGCTTGGATCCGAGCCCAAGCACCATGCCAAGGATACAGGGTGATCAGCGCATGTATATTTCCACGCATGGTTTAACTGGGGAGTGGCTAGCTTCGAGGTATGGTCGCCACTTGAGCTATGGGACAATGTGATACAAAGCGGACATCCATTGTAGTTGCGTTTCCAACTCGTCATGGTGCGCTGGTACAACCAGTGTTCGCCGCGTTTTGGTGTCGAGGAAGTAGTAATGAGCTTTATATTGAACGACAAGCAGCCCTGCCGCAGCGGCCAACGCAATGTCAATCTGGTACATGTTGTGGTACATCTACTCCTACGCAAAAACAAGTACTTGACACCCGTCGGCTGCAAATGGGATGTATTTGTAGCCCTCGGGGGTAAAACTGCTCCGACATGACAGATTGGAATTGTATCAGCCTTGCAGAGGCTGTAGCTATGGTTAACGTCGTTCCCAAACCAAAAACAGCGAGCATAGGTGTGCGTCGACGTTTGCAGCGAAGCCGTAAGGCGTCGGGTGGTGGGAAACCTTTCCAGTCTCGTGCTACGAGTCAATGCTGGGAGACCTCGCTACTTCGTGCATTGGTGTCGCGAGGATGGCAGGCTGGTACGTGTGCAGGGCGTCCAGCATGTCCGTGTCTGGAATCGAATGAATGGTACTCCTTGTCAATCGCTCAATGGACCGATCACACCTCGAGCCTTCCGACTCTAAGCTCCATAGTAATGGACAACCGAGCACATGGTCACATGATGCGTTAGCGAAGCGGTCAAACTCGTGGCTCGCGCTTGGATACGTGCCGCATTCCATCGCAAAATCCAGCAAAATGAACCGTCTCCTTCATGGGGCATGGTAGACTCTACTTGACTAATGGAAGGGCATAGCGCAGACTAGGGCCATTTGGGTGATTTGCCAATCCATCGTGGCAGGTTGGCACGACAAGTGTCCGCCAGGTCTTGATGTCGAGGACGTAGTGATGTGATTGATATTGCACAACGAGAAGTCCCGCCGCGGCGGCCGACGCCAAGTCGATGAAGAACGTGTTGTGGTGCATCCAATCGTGGCGCATAAACAAGTAATTGGCTCCAGCGGGCAACAAATGCGATGGTTTTCCAAGCGACTTGGGTGTGCGCCGTTGACCACGATGGTGAACTCGCGTGGCGAGCACGCCTGCGACCGACAGGCCGACAGCGATACCGACCAACGTTGTGAAGCGGGACACGTCCCCAATATACACCGTGCCGCAGACACAGACAAGCTGCATGTCTATCTGTACGACCGAGCAGTCTCTGTGAAGGGTCGCCGACGGCGAGACGGGACGTACGAGACTGATGACGGCAGCGGCAGCCCACGACGCCAACCCGACGAAGTTGGTAAAATGGGGCGTGAGATGCTTTGTGTACGGCGTCGTGAGGTCATTGATAACGTAGACAACCCATCCGACCTCTCCAGACGCGAGGACGACGGTGTACCATGGAGGCGTGCTCGAGACGAGCGTGGTCATCCCGCCGAGACCAACGAGTTGGAGGGACCCAGTTGAGAGAAGGCAGAGAGCAGACATGCCCCGTAGCAACAGCAGCGGCCGTCCGATCCACGCGATGCCAGCGACACGGTTCAGCTTGAAAAAGTTGGCCCCTTCGACACGAAATCGACACCGAACGGCCAGCGCCATGACGAGCGACATCACTGTGAACAGAACCCCGGTGATGTACAAGCAAATGGTACGAACATACAGCGCGACGTTCACGGGGACTTCCATCGGATTCATCATGGAAGTGGCTGGAACAGAACGAGCAGTCACGAGGGTGATGGACCCCACGTCGCCTTGCACAGAGAATACTTCTCGACACCCTTGGACCCACTCGGACATGAGCCCCCACGAGGCCAGTGCGTACGGATCGTTGACGGAACGCTTGAAGATAGGCCGTCGGAGCATCGACATGGCATTTGTCATGACGTTGCGCCCGTATTGCATGATTTCAATGTTCAGCCGGTACAAGTCGTCAAGCGCGTCGGACGTGAGTGCGTCCATCGAGTGGAGGGCAGTGTACACTGCAGTCCACCGGAGGATCCCGGCAAAGGAGGTGGCGCACATTGCTGGTGCGACCTTCTCCACCGAGCAAAACGGGCGGACGAGTTGCAACGACAAGTCGTCGTCACGTTCACCCTTCTTCACACCTTCGGCATAGCCCGACACAAGTCCAGCGCCGGTCAGCGCAAACGCTTGTTGGAGTTTCGACAGGTAAATTCGATCTCCAATCGCAGAATTGCACGTCGAGTCAATTCCTGTAAAGGCAGCGAGGACGGCGCCCATGTCGATGCCGGTACCAGGGCTGTCGTTGCAAAGAATGTTCCCACCCTGACTTCGATACACGGTTGCATTCCACTCTGGAGGCACTGCCGCTAGCTGCGTCATGGACGGCACCTTTGCCAGCGCGATTTGGGCTGGAAAAGATGCTTCCGTGGTGGTCTCGTTCGAAGCAACAGCGAGAACTGCCGACGCCATTTCGATCACGACCTTGTTGAGCAGAGCAAGCGATGGCGGAATCGGCACGTGGTACAGATCCACGGACCCAAACGGACCGATCGCGTCATGAAAGATTTGATAGGCTTTGCTCAACGGCGCTTGGAGAAACGAGGCGTTGGTGAGAAGGGCCTGCTCCATGGTTGTGTTGGCAAACGCAAACCGAGAGCTCGACCGCAACAGGCTGCAGTTGACGAGAGATGACGATGGCGAGATCGTCGCAGTCAAGTCCCCAGCCCACGTCCAGTGCATTTTGAGCGATGTCTGGGCCGATAAGCGAAAGGACCCGTTGGACGCCTTCAACGACAAGGGAAACGTCAACCCGAACGAGTTTTGCACATTGAACATATCGACGAGTCCGATGGTTTTGAAGTTTTGCCACTGCGTTTGGAACGAGTCGAGTCCGTGCCGCCGCCACACGCTGACTTCCTCGACGATGGATGTGGACGGGCTGGTCTGAATCGACCTGAACCATGTCCTTCCAGACACGTCCATCAACAGATCTTGTCCGATGGACGTGTAGAAGGCAGCCCCCCAACACGTCGAGAACGATTCCCATGCCGTGTTGCGAAGGAAAGACTCGACGTACACTGCGCCATTCGTCGCCATCGATTCAACGCATCGATTTTGGCGAGCCGCCGACGTGGCCATCTCCCATCTCTTTTCAAAGTCGAGCCAGCAGTGTTGGGTCGCGATCCAAGGCACGAGACACGGGTTAGTACGCCGTAAGCCGTCGATCGCGACTGCAAGCGCGCCGCCCGCTTCGATTCCCATCACGAGGCGAGGGTATAGGATGCTGCTCGAGACCTCTTCCTTGCCGCTGCCAAACGTCCCCATGACGCTAAACTTGGGGTCGTGCAGGGGAATGCCATCGATCTGGACTTGGTTCGTCATGTACAGGAGCTGCTGATTGAACCAATTCGCCAGAAACGTGTGCGTGCCAGACGAGTTGAAATGCTCCCACCAAAAGTCATTCGAGAGGCGACCTTTCGCCACAATCAAGTACGAGTACGACCCCATCAGCGACGCAACCACGTAGATGATGCCGACGGCCAGGAGGAGCTGCGACCGAGCCGTAGAGGCTCCAGTTGTTGCTCTCGGCCTTTTCCCTTGCGAATCCGTCCACCCCTGTTCCTTGTCTATCGCCGCGACGGTCGAGGCTCGACGCAGGACGTAGAAAGATCGAAATAGCGTCACGTCCTCCTGGGCTTGAGCGGTATCGACAGCGTTGAACACGGTCCACAGCTTGATATCAAAGACGTAGCCGCGGCCTTGAAACGTGAACGGAAGGAGACCGCACAGGACCGCGATGGGCGAGCTCACCGTCCATGTCGATGCAAACGTACAGCTCAAGAATGTCGCTCCGCTCGCGTATATGCTGTACGGAACATTCCGGTCCGACTTGCCGCCGACGTCGATCCCAATGCTGGACACCATAGGAGTGGTCTGTTTGCGGCAGCGCAAAACTAGCGCCACACCGAGATAACACGTCACAAGGCAGGCTGCATTGACACACAGAATTCCGTACAACCGGCGGACGTCCCCGATGGCGATCACGCCACTGACACATGTCACTTCCTGGTCGACGTTGACGCGGGTGCAATGGCGTCCCAACTTGGAACGAAGGGTCACTGGGGAAGCAACGTCGATGGCAAACGTGAAAACCCAAACCATCGTGGAACTCATGGGGGCGCTCCATTTCGATGCCTCTGGATTGGCAAGAACGAGGAGAATGTCGCTGGCGACGTATGTGAGCCACGTAGCCTCCCCAGCGATGATCCACGAGCTCACCCAGTGGCGCGGTCGCAGCTCAAAACGACTGCCGCCGTTTCCGACAAAGTCGAGCGGAGCAGTGCTCAGTACTATGAGGGCGATCAGAGCGCGGATGAGCAGCATCGGTCGGCCGATCCACACGGGTCCGGCAACGCGGTTGAAGACAAAGAGGTGTCGCCACTGAAGCGTATGGTGCAGCCGTTCGATACCCACGTACACCAACGCAACGACGACCAGGCCGACGATCACGGCCGACGTAGAGACTCCGATGTACCACAGATAGACGCACGAAAACGCAGGCACCTCGAGCGGCGAAGGTCGCATGTCCATCACCATGACGCGCTCGGACAGCATCGTGTGCGAGTTGGTGTCTCCATGGAACTTCACGCATTCGCGGTAACCTTGCGCCCACTCCATCAACATGGTCCAGCCGAACAAGTCGAAGTGGGACGTCTGGTTGGCTAGAATGGGATGCTGGAGCATGACGTTGTCACCTTCAACAGCAGCGAACTGGACCAGCGTGATTTCCTGAGCGACGATGTCGGCCATGGCAGCTCGGATGAGGGAGTTCATGTCGGGCAGGAGAGAGGCATACACGGAAGTCCACTGCACGGCAGAAGCCATGGACGCCTTGCAGCGGCCGAACGTCGAGTTACATGCCGCACATGACTCTGAGATGGAAATGGAAGGCCCTGTTACGCCAAGACATGCGATGGAAAAGACCAACGAGGCGGGAGCAGCCCGAAGGGTGGATGGTACTTCACTGGAGCACGAATCGTCGAACGAGAACTGGGGCTGCACAAACGGCGTGCCGCCATTGAAAATACAAAGGGGGCTGCCACCGAAATACGTGGCATGGCCGAGTTGATTTGGGTGCCAGGACGTCGGTACGGGATCCAGCGCTTCGATGGGTATTGTGTGGAAGGCGTTGGAAGCGTCATCGTGTTTGGACAACAAGACAACGAGAGCATGCTCGAATTCGGCCACGAGCTGCATCAACGAGGACGGTGGCGCTACGAGAGCAGCGTCGATGGATAGGACGGGACCAACGAAATGGTGGAGAAAGGCCGTCATGGGGGTTTGAGAAAAGAAGTTTTCGTGAATGGTCGGGTTCAACTTGCCAACGTAGTTGGGGGCTTGCCGCACGGCGCTGGATTTGCCTTGCGAGCTAGCGTACCACAAGTCATTGACAAATGCCCAATAGAGCGTGTTGGACGTCCATAGATTCCCGCGAGCGGTGACAGGAATGCGACTGAGTGTCAGCGACTGAGTCAGCCCGAGAGCGTTTTCGATCACGACGGTGTCGGTCATGGCCGCTTGGTATCTGTTGCCCCAGTTGATGCGGTGATGGTCGAGTCCGTAAGAGCGCCAGAACGCGGCTTCTGTCGGCACGTCCTGAAACGCGTTCGCGGTGCGGCGAAACCACGCAGGTCCGTCCGCTGTCGAGTTGACGTACGGTACAATGCCGCTGTTGAAGTATGACGCCCACGTCTGGATAAATGACTCCCACGCGACATTCCGCAGCATGGACTCAAGGTACGCGGCAGCGTTCTTGTGATAGAAAGGTTGATCGAGGCACCGTTTCGCACGAGCCGACGTGTGGGCAAGTTCCCATCGCTTTTCAAAGTCAACCCAGCAGAATTGGCTTAGCAAAAACAACGAGTAGAATGCGTCGAGGGACTGGAGTGCGACGATTGCAGCCTCAATTGTGTGCATGGTCGGATCGGCCAGTGCGACGAGGCGCGGTGCTGTCGGTTTGACTTCCACCGATGCTGTCGGGTCGTAGCGTTGCTGAATGGACGCCCAATTGACGGGGCCGATGAAGTCCACGCCACTGCTACGACGTCCGTACCCCACTTCGCGATTCACGGCATTCAACAAGTACACTTGGGCCCCCAACGTGGAAAAGTCCCGCCAGAACATGTCGTTTTCGAGCGTGGGTCTCGCGAGGTAGAGAAAGCCCACGGATGTTGCTGCTGTCAGGACGAGGTACAAGAGGCCCGCGGCGGTGGCCCAGATATTCGATCTTGGCCCTTCATGCGACTTGCGTCGGGTGTACTGGCCAAGAGTCGGGATGTCCATCACTCGTCCATGGCTACTGTTTGCCATCGCTCGGGGGCTGCCTGGAGAGAGGCAGCGGTGACGACCGTTACTCTGTGAACAAAGTGTGAAACTGCCACCACGACGCATGCATTTTGCAGGCAAATCGTGGGCAACAATGGGAGACTCGCAATGCATGTGACTTGCAGAGGCGTTGTGCATGGATCTTGAGCCAAATGCGCGACAGCTACGCCAGCCTGAATTACGTGGGAAGGTGTGCGATCAACGAGTTGAAACGCGAACAACGCGACAAGTAGAACCCCGCGTGCATACCGCCAAACATCCTTGTTTCCGTCCAACTGGAACGGGTAAAGTGGGTACGATGTGGTGGCTCCGACTACTTTTCACACTTGCCACGACTGGCCGACCTCGAACGATCACCGACAAGTTGACCACGTCTGGCAATACCCTCGTCGCAGACAGCTACGTCCAGTCAAACTCGCATGGCACGAGATGTTGGTATACATGTTGCAAGTGGGCTTGGCAGAAGGAGTGTTGCATGAGTGCTGCCCCCCTCGCGGAAGGTTTCCATGTGATAGAGCGAAACAGAACGTTAACATTTCCTGCTGCATATCGCTGGGTGTGTCGAGCTCCACACGAACCTGTCATGCCTATTATTCCAACGACCGAGCAGCCGCTTCATGGGCTTGTTGGGTCCAATTGATCGCGCGTAGCTGTACTGCGTACGTGACAAAGGCGACGGTGGTGCCGCATGTAAACCCCATCCACAGCCCTTCAACACTCCAACCAAAGTACAAGCCGCAGAGAGCTGCAAAAGGAATTCCAACTGCGTAGTAAGCGGTCGTGAGCACGACCACGCCAATTTGTTGTTTGCCCATGGCTCGAAGCACGCCGGTCGTGACGCAGTTCATTGAGTCGATCATGTGGCACGGAATGACAAATAAGAGTGCCGTCACCGAGCGTCTAGCACGATAGATCATCCATCACGCAAACCATTGACGAGGCGAGTCATGTCCTCACCTAACAACGTCGATTTCGTCGACAAAAAGCTTTGGAAGGCAGTCTCGCGTGAGCACAAGGAGCGCTGCGGTGCAAAGACAGCACCCGAATGTGATCGAATAGCACAAAACAGCCACTTGTTTGGCCTTGGCCGGTTGGTTCCCTCCCAAAAAGAACCCCACTCGCATGCACGCGGCGGTCGAAACGCCCCAGAACAACATGTACACGAGGGAGATGATGGTCATGAGGATCTACATGACAAAGGAACGGACATGACGATGGCAAGCGGATTTGTAAACGTACAGAGTTGACACCCAGCACGATCGTGTGGTCCGGCATGAGGCCCGAAAGCAGCGTGAGCATTTCAAACGCCCCCCACTCGGCAACCATTGCGACCATCCCCGGCACGCCAAACTCGAGAAATGCCGGCATCGCCGTCCAAGCGTCACGAAAGGACCACTGGATCGTCCAGTCTTCGTGAACAGGGTGCCACCAAAAGTAGGGCAGGACAAGGAAGGGAAGGCATACATAGGCGACGCTACGGCCGACGGCAGCGCCGACAAAGCCGTACGAGGTGAAGTTGACGAGGTAGTACCCCACGCCAATGTGGATCACATTGCCGAGCACGGCCACGACTGCAGTTGGCCATGTTATGTGGTGGGCTTGAAGTAACCGTTTGACGAGTTCGTACACGCACAGGAAGGGAAGCCCCATGGTGGAGTATCGAGTGAACGTCCCAGCCATCGCTGAAATCGCTGCGTCTTGATGGAGGCTTTCAAAAATCCAGCCAGAGTACCAGTTGATCACAAACACTGGCACAAGGGCCATCGCCATTGCCAAGAGTCCGCCTTGCAAGTACGACCCAAGCTTTTTCGGATTGCCGGCACCAAGGGCTTGCGTGCATAGTGTATCCATAGCTGTGGCGAGACCAAGACCCACGGACATTGACGTGATATTGAACAACTACGAACGGACGAAGTGGAAGCCGAGAAGCAAGTGGAAGGATTGTACCATCGACGAGATTGCAGTCGCAGCGACATGCTCCTTTGTCTCGGGTGACACCAAGTGTCCAACCAGTGCGATATTTGTGACTGCTGGAACATACTCGTTGAGTAGTGTGAACACCTAGCACATGTATGGTGATATCTATCGCCTGCGTTGTGCGATTTTTCGTTCCTACCACTGGAATGACGAGTCGCATCACAACTTTGACTTCGTCAGCTAAAGATCCGACTTCTTCAATCGGTGCCACTCGCTCGACTTCCTTTGCATTGCTTTGATGGACCAGAGGGAGACTCTCCTCGCCTCGGCCATTCACGGGACGGTTGTCTGCCATGGAGGTGTCGCTGATGAATGTACTGTTGACGTAGGCCATTCCAGCGATAATTTATTTACACGGGTGATGTAACTGCAAATCCCTGCAACAAATAATATTGAAGGTGTAGCTGCGTAACTGCCAACAGAACTTTACCAGGTACGTTAAACAGGTTAAAGTAGAAATCAGCCAATGGGAATATAAAGCCGGCCAGCCCCTGCAACGTGCTATCATTCCACAACAGCGAGCGACCTGGTGGGCAGTTCTCGTAGCTGCTTGATGCGGACGTATGAGCCGCTCTGCGCCGGGACCCCGGACGCAGACGATGAAATAAATGCCGTGGACGAGATGCTTCATCACCTCCGCTTGGCTGCCCCACTGGTACATGCAGGCACAGCGTGTTGGACTGATGTGGAGTTCATGTAGATGTTCTTGCACCTCATGGACTACTTGCCCGGCGTGACAAACATCTACTTGGTCGGCCAGCTCCATGGCGCCGCAGAAGCAGACATGAACATGAACGCTGCGGCACTTTCCACTTCGGTACCAGGCACGATTTGCGATCAACTTCCCACACCGTACGTATGATGTAGTTCCTCAACATGACGTCAACCTCCATCGGCATGGGTCTTTGCTCTGCCGTGGGCATATTGTGTGCTCAAGCGTACGGCGCCAAGCACACGAAGCAGTTCAATGCATACTTACACGCAGCGGTGTTGGGCACTTTACTGGTACTGGGAGTCCTTTTTGACTTTGCCAACGACCTGATGCACACAACGCTTGTAGGCCATGATCCCAATCATTGCGGTGACGTGGCACTCAGACATGGTGTTCACTTTGATGGGTCACAATCCTGCAACGTCTTCTAAAGCGGCGACGTTCACCATCCTGTCGTCGTTTGGACTTCCGTTCTTCTTCGTCTTCGAGATCTTGCGCAAGATGCTGCAAGCGCACAGTGCCGTTGATGGGATGGCGATGATTTCGATGGCAGCTAACGGGGTGCACGTGAGTGTGGGGTACTACTTGACCCACCACACGTCGTGGGGAGTATATGGCGCAGCCGTCGGACGCAGCATTTCGAACGTGTCGTTGGTTGCCGCCACGTTGATCTATTTTCAATTTGAGCCCACGTACAAGTCGTGGCAGTTGCAATGGCAGCCGTCGCTTGCAGGCACGCACTTGATGGAGTTCTTCCGGTTTGGGCTCCCTGGTATGCTCATGTGCTGGGTCGAATTCGGTTCGCTCTGGCTGCTTTCCTATCTCGCGGCCCACCTGCCCCATGCGTACGTTCAAACTCGCGTCAACACGGTACTGCCACCTCGACGAAAGGCCCTTCCATGATCTTGTACTTCCAGATCCTCTGCCACGTACTGTCCATGATGTACGTCGTGTATCTCGGAATTTCGACTGCATCTATGGTGCGTGTCGGCAACCTTCTCGGAGCGAACCGGCCTCATCATGCGAAAACAATCATGCGCCTCTCGTTCGCGCTGGTCGCCGTCTGCTTGGTGTTTACTGCCACGTGCATTTGGACCACGCGGCATCTATTGGCGTCTGCCTTCTTCGGCGAGTCCGATGTCGTCCAGTACGTCTCGCCGAGCTTGATCACAAAGTCACGGGGCTCAACGAGAACAACACGTAGGAGTGCCAGCAAGGCCCTGCTGTTCATTTTACCCCTGCATGTACTCAACTCAATCAACACGAATGCCCAAGGCGTGTTCCGCGGCATGGGCCGTCCTGGCGCTGGTGCGCTCATCACCTTCGTCTCCGTGTTTTGCGTCGGGCTCCCATCGGCCGCTGCGTTGGGGTTGCACTTGCGGAACGACGTTATTGGGTTGTGGGAAGGCCTGACGATGGGCGCGGCCGTGTCCTTGGCAGTGTTTGTGATGATTTTGCAGCGAATTGAGTGGGCGGCCGTCGCGACCGCAGCCAAGATTCGCAGCGAAGAGTAGATTTTGTCTAGTAATATGATGTGGTTGGTGGCGTTACATGTGAAACCGTCGTTAGGAGAGGTGTTTCGGTGGGGCGGCCATGCGGACACCAAGGATCATGCCGCAAGTGGATGACGGCGGAGGCGACTCGTCTGGACGAAAAGGAGCCATAATCCCCGAGACCAGGGCGGTGCGGGTTGCGGGAGATGATCGCACTGTGTTGTTCCCGCAGGTCGGCAAGGCCATGGTGGAGCCTGAGCAGGTGAACAATGCGCATCACAACAGCGGCGACGACATGGTCAAAGCAGTTGCACTGGATGGATTTCTTTTGCTCGATACATGCCGAGGTACATCGAAGCCACATCTACTGCTACTTGCCTAATCGAGTGGATTGGGGTAGTGGAGTTCCCCGAGGAAGCGACTCGGGCCGACGTAAACGGACTGAACATTCGCTCCGTTGTCGTGGACGACTTGCTCTTCTTCAGCAATCTCGTGTTTCTCGACATGAGCGACAACCAGGTGAGGCAATTTGTGCAAGTGTGGCACGTGGGTGACTCGCCATCGTGCACAGGCACCGTTCGAGCCGCTGGGAACGCTGCCGGCCCTCAAGGAACTCGACTTTCAATGCAACGCTGTGCACCGCATTCAAAATCTGACGGGATTCGACGGTCTCGAGTGGCTCAACCTGTCCTTCAACTGTCTCACCAGCTCCGACGTGGAAGAGCTGGCAAAGCTGCCCAAACTGCGGGAGCTGTATTTATCAAACAATTCCATCACAACATTGCCTCCAATCATGGTACCACGCCGTCGCTCTCGTGGCTGCGACGGTTGATCGCGGGCGGCGCGCATAGGACCGGTTCGTACGCCTCGAAACGTTGTCGCTCGAGCGAAACAACATCCAGGGCACGGGTGTGTTTACGTTGCTCGCCGTGACCCCCCGCTTGAAGAACCTCAATCTGTGTCACAATAAGCTCGTCGAGTTCCCTGAGGTTGGTGCTTCCTTTCATGAGTCCGCTTGCAGCTCACGTCCGGGCGATAGAGCGCGCTTTGCCTTCAGGAGAAGCAAAATACAGGCTTTGCCAACCTCGCTTACCTCAACCTGGCGCACAACAAAGTCACACGGGAGTGCGGTAGGCAGCCATTGCGTGTTGTCCATGCTCAGGCCAACGTGGTGACCAGACATCCTGCCTCTGGTGAAGTTGCGCGCGCTACAACAACTGGTGATTTACGGCAATCCCCTCGCTCATGCAGCAGTGCAGACGCAAGGCACGTGGCCAACTGACCTCTCCATCCTGTCACTCGATCAACATAATCCACCCGTTGGTTGTGTGCGCGCAGACAAGACCAAGCTCGTGTACAACCCCGTGCCAGACATGACGGACGCCCACATCGACATCGTTCGCGACGTCGAGCTCAACATTGTCGTGGCATACCCCGAAACGAAGAAGAAAAAGTCCACGTACAAGAACGTGCAGATCGCGCGCGTGGCGCAGGCGGCCCTCCCGACGTCGTTCGAGTTCAAAGCAAGAGCCCAGCGCATGCTGTTTAGCCCGATGGACCAGCAGCAAACGACCATTTTTCCACGTCTAGAGGTTCGTCTGAGCCAGCAGCATAGTCCAGTGTTGGCGACGTGTGATGGGCGGTTTCTATTGTAGAAGAAGGAAATGCCCGACACGAAACCATCAGGTGGGGGGGGCACCATGCTCGACTCGACATGGCCAATGTCTGCAACGTCTGTAGATATGTCGACGCCAGTTGGCCCTGATGCCACATTCATGACCAGTCTTGATGGCCAGTCATCCACCCCCGTACTCCGACAAGACAAGTTCCCGCACGTCAAGGTACATGCGCTCGTCGGCGAGGGAGGTTTTCCAGACCATTCCAAACACCATGACAGGACCACCGACACATGGAGAACGAAGTGCCGTCATATTTTTTGGCCCGGTCCCTGGCGCCGACGACAGAGGTCCGTTCATGTTTCGATAGCAACGTCCAAGACGAATTGAGAGGCTCTTCCTGCAGGTCCAACAGCACAAGCTCAAGACTGCCATGACGTCGCTGCGGTACCAACTCAACCATCCCCTCACATCCCACAATGACATGGACGTCATGACGGACGTCCACGCGGCTCGCCCCAATTGTATCCACAAGGTAGTCACCGTCATTGCCTCGCCACGACTAACGCGATGGGGTTCCAGATGCGGCAACGTCGGAAGCGACATGACGGCGTCGATCGCGTGACCTCCGGAGGTATGCTCGACCCAACAACGCGCGTATTTCACGACGGACTCTGAAGTGCTGGCGACCATCGACCAAGCCATCGACGACGTCAACGCAAAGCTACATCAGCGAGGTACTGGCTGAGCACAGAACCATACTGCAGTGATGCACGGCTTTTCTCGACGACGTAGACGCTCGCCTGGGTGGTGGTGGCGGGGTCAACGCGATTCTGCGCAAAGCTCACCGACTCGTCCAGCACAACTAGAACCATCCAAGTGTCCAAGCATGTGACGACTTCATTTTCGCCAGGATGCCGACGACAAGTTTGTACAGTCTCGCATTTAGATTAAGTTGACGCGTAATGGTTCAATCGATACAGCAGGACACGGCCTCGCGCGTTCCCCAGTGCAAAGTACCCTGCGTTATGCCGACAAGTTAGCCACGATCATGCAAAGACTGCGAGGCGCAGGACGCACCTCCGCTCGGGCTGAAGTCCATGCTCGTGACATATTGCAGAGGCGTCTTGGCTGTCGGCCAGTTGGCAAACACCGTCATGGACGGCACATGCACCTATGCGATCATGCACAGTCATGACGAGTCTCGTGTAGTGGGCAATACGTCGTACCATCTTGAGCGCGTCCTTGGTTTCTTTCGACGACATGGCGAGGATCTGTCCGTCGGGGTTGAACAACAACTGGTCGATCGACGTCGTCAAGTTCAGGAACGTCTTGGCGGGCTTGGGGTGTGTCGCAGTGGCAGATAGCGTGTTGATATCGTACACATTTACAACGCCCGAGTCAGCGCCGACGGCAACGTACTTGCCTTTGGCGGCAATCGCACCGCTTCCGAGACTGCCTTCGTCGCCCACGCGGTAGATGCAGCGACGAGTGCGCATGTCCCACTTGTACACGTCGCCATCGCTCCCGGTGGTCAAGAGGTAGTTGTTGTCGTCGCAGAACGTCGCCGATCGCACAGACCCGTTCATTTTGATGTTGCCCATCCACTCGTAAGATGCCGAGGACAAGAGGGCAATGATGCCGTCGTTCCCGAGAAACGCGGCGTGGCTGCGGGACACAGCGAATGAGTCCCATTTGCGTTCCTTTCGGTTTCCGATGCGAGGGATGCGCTGAACAGATCCGGACTCCATGTCATACGTGTGGATAAACGTGCGTGGGCCCGACATCACGATGCGCTTGCCATCTGCGGTGAACTTGGCGCACGAGATTGGCATGTCCTTGAGGAAGATGCTCTCGACCTTGGCGTTCGTACTGCCGTCTATTTGGAAGAGTCGCAATGTTTTGTCAAGCCCGGCCGTTAGCAAGAGCTGCCCATTCGGATGAAACTGCACCGACTGGATCACCGCGTTCGACTGTCCGTGCTGGTTGGCATCCTTCACACGGCCCACTTCCAGCGTCCCTGGAAGCAACACATCGTGCGACCTCTCCATGAGCGACCCCGACGTGGCAAAGAGGTCGAACTCTTCCTCGTCATCGTCCTCGCCGTCGCTGCGACGACCTGCGCGTTTCTTGGCGTCAATCGCACCAAAGTCGGCCCAGGACGCAACCGATCGGCCCGATTCAAATCTATATACATGGAAGCAGTTGAGATACATCACAAAGCTGTGGAAGTACGCACTGTTTCTTGAGGCGTTGTTGGAACACATCACCCTGGACTTGGGTTTCGTCGTCGGATTTGCGCAGCTTCCGCAGGCGGGACGAATCTTCCAAATCGACTGTCACGTGCTCGTCATCTTCATCTATCCACGCAGCTTGGCGATGGACTGCGTTGTCGTCGGTGAGTGGTCGCTTCAACGCGGCATACCCTTTGCCCTTGCTGCCGAACAATTGGTCGTTCAGCGCGAGTTCGACTGGACACCACACAGCCTGCTCGTAAGACGACTCTGTATATAGACCGGTCGCAGGAAATCGTACCTGTCGACACTTGTTGTGATGCCGCCTTGTCGCCAGCCATGATGATCACCGAGGCGAAGTGGAAAGCGTGGTGGCACTTGCGTCCGGGAGTGCCTCCTGACCAATTATGTGCCAACCACGAGGAATCATGGGCAGTTTCCTTACGTTTGATTGGACCGCCCTGGAAAATACTAGACGCCGATTGGTCCGTTTCAACTGTATTTAAACAAAATATTGGGGATTTTTCGGGAATTCTCATTGGCATTACTTTTTTGTCAGAATATTGCGAAGTACATAGCGGCACCGCGGCGGCGCTCCCATCGGAAGGACCAGGAAAGCGTAGGCTAGGAACGACGGTAAAGTGTACTACGAGTCTACATTGATCTCTCACCATCCTTCCCTGTGTGCATGCATGTCCCCTACGCTAAGTATCGGTACGTGGTCGTGGACTCGGGGTCGCGCTCCAAATACTCTCGATCGATCAAAGCTTCAATGCGGCGCTTGATGAGCTTGGGGTTGGGTGTGAAGAACGAGAGCTGGCTAAGCACCTCCGAGATCAATTGTTGATGGTTGAGCGTCTTTCGCGCCTTCATGATGCGCACAATCGCAGCTTCAATCGCAATACTTCGATCTTCTTCAACATGTTTGGGGTTGTGGCTTTCCTCGAGCGACGCCATCGGGATGCGCAGCTTGCGCACAGGCGATGCAAACGACGCGTTCGCTTGGAACGTGTCGGTCGTCGCAATGTTCTTGTTCTCGGGCGTTTTTTTCACAACTTTGAACTTGCCACACGAGAGAGAGTGAAGGATGCGCTTGAGTATGTCGGGCGACACGTTCAAGCTTTCTTGCAACTGGTCAAACGTGAGCGATTCGTCCGTGTTGAACAGCACCAAGGCCACTGCTTGCAGCGTCGTGACCTGGAGGTCATACCACTTCTTGTTGGCATACGTGGCGCGCACGGTGGCGTTGCCGAGGGAATGGATCCACTGGAGGCGGCGATGACTCGTCATCGAGTCGTAGTATGTCTTAAACAGCGACATGCACTTGACCATGGGAGGCGGGAGGTGGACTTGCAGCGGCTGATACGACGGCCAGTGACCGGTTGTGAGCACCTGGACGCCAAACTCGATCGTGGTGTGGTTGTGGGTCCGTTGAAACACATCAAATTCGGCTTGGTGATCGCCACCGATCGCTAAATCGTTCAACATCCCTTCCATCTTGCCCGTAAACTGTGCGCCGCAGCGGAGCTTGAGCTTTGAAATCATGCAAATTTCTGCGTCATCCGAGCTCGATCGCTGGTTGAGCAGCCGCTTTGCGAGTTGGTTGCGATAAATCTCGGCAAACAAGTCTTTGTCCATGAGGTATGAAAACACGTGCACCACCTTCTCCAAGTACTCCTCGACTTGTGTGTCGCTAAGCTTCTCGCCGCCCGACTTGAGTATACGGTCGCAAAACGTGCTCATGAGCTTTGCCGAGCAGTCCTTCCCCACGTCCTTGTTTACAAATTCGACAAATGCCTCCTTGAGCGCCTTCTGGAAGAGCGAGTTGCCGCCAAACTGCTCCTGCACCACCTTCACGTACTTGTCGTGAAGGGCCAAGATTTCTTTGATGAATGCCGGGTCCGCAGACGGATCTTTAATGTTGTCCGTCGTGATGGCTTGCGTGCGGAGGTCGACGATCTGGTTCCCAACCGCTTCAACGTGTCGTCGGACTAGCGCGGCGATCGGTGCCAAACCTTCCGGCACCCGAGAGAAAAGACGGTACATGCGGGACAAATCGTCCGACTTGTCGTTCTGGAGGAGGGCGATGCAACCGGAATTTTCCCGTTCCAACAGTTGCTTTTGGTGCTTTTCGAGGAGCTCGACTTCAAGCGCGCGAAGCAACTTGGCCTCCGTCGTCGAATGCATGTACCGCGCGACGCGGCTGGATTCGTTTTTGAGGCTCTCCTCTGTCTTCATCATATACGCCGGCGTCGAGTCGACCTCGAGCCACGCCTGCGCCTTGGTCGCGTAGTACGCTGTGCTGCGCTTGATGAACGGATCCTCAAAGTCCGCCACGTACACGTCCAGCGTTTTCATGCCCATCGTCTCGAACACTTCGATGCAGCTGCGCAAAAGAGTCGTGTCGACTATCTCACCCTCGCGTTCCTTTTCGATCAGCTCCAACATGGCATCGACAACGTCCTTCTTGATCACATTGAACACAACAAGTTTGAAGTTGGACAAACCCGCCTCTTCCAGCTTTGGCAACGAATTGTGGTGGACGTAGTACCGATTCAAGTACGTAAAGAACATGGCCATCCACTTGTTCATGAGTTTGTGGTTTTGCCACCGACGGTGCAGTTCATTCAACAAGAATTCGTCGTGCTGGTTCTGGAGCGCTGGAAGCACGTTTTGCTGGAGGTAAGTCTCGAATGTTTCCCCATGGCGCGTGTACAGTTGCGCAGACCAGTTGTACGGGGTCCGTTGCGTGCACATGTCATAGCACACCGTATACACCGGCATATATTCCTTGGGAGGAAAGGGGGACTTTGGGACCTTGTCAAACCCCTTGTTCAGGATCTCGAGTAGCACATCCACGGCAACCTTGATCTTCTGCCACCCTGTTTCCAGCTCAATTAGCGGCTTCGACGCCATCGTTTGGAATATGCGGTGCGCAGTTGGCAAACGTATCAATGTCCAGATAACCTTTCATCCGGATGAAGAATTATTAGCTCCACCTTCATTCGTAAGGGCCTCGGTATGCCTTGAATTCTGTTACAGTCTTTATCCAAAAATGAGCTCGATATTTTGCGTGCAACTCGAGCAGTCCGCGACCTTGACGACAAGTACCCTTCCCTTCATTCCAGCCCGCCCAACAGAGATGACCGCTGTCCCTTTGAGCCCATGTTTCGACCGTGCTTTTGAAAACTGGATTGTCCAGGACAAGCATATGTATACATTAGATATTTTGTCCAATCATGATACTCGGTGACCGTCGCGGATTGAGGATATTTTGTCCAATCATGAGACTCGGTAGACTGTCCCCGTCCACGAGCACCATACAGAGGGAACGATATGCGAGTGGTGACGACCCAACATAAACCAAAGGGAAGACATTTTTGCTCCGGGTAAGATGTGATCTTGATGAGAAGGTCGTGCGGCAATAATGGCTGTGCTTGAATTGGCGAGAGGGCGATTCTCGTTCGTTTACACTTCCCGTTGAGGATGGGGGGACACACGTTATTAAAATAGTGTCATTTTGACATGTGAATTCATGTTCTCAAGGCTTGAAGGGAATGTAATAAATTACTATAGAAGGATATATCCTAATTTCATTCCAGCGTGCCCTTGAAATGGGTTTTGAATATCGTTGCATCCCACAACCCCCGCAAGCAGCCCCGCCGACGACTTTCCACACTGCCATCGAGGAGCTCACTTGACGACGATGGCGGCAGAATTGGATTACGTTGCTTCAGTCGAAGAGCTCAACTTGGCACCTGAAGACGATGACTTGCTCTCGTTCTATTGCGCAGGCGAATCGGACATCCCACTCATACGTGACTCCAACACGAGCAGACCGACCTCATTGAGTGGGTTCGAAGGATCTCAGGCCATCGGTGGCAACAAGAGATCCATAGAAACAGCTAGCAATGGATCGTCGGAGCTAGACGGTCCAGAGTCCCCTACGGGTGGCGAGAACGAGCAAGGCACAGAGGAAGGACGACGACGCAAGAGGTAACACCTGGATGTGAGTTATCATGTTCCCTCCGTCTTACCTCACACATGCAGACTCGAGCGCAATCGGGAATCGGCCAGACAAAGTCGCCGGCGAAAGAAGCAATACCTGGAACTCCTCGAAGGCAAAGTGGCTCAATTGACGGAAGAGATTGACGAAGCGCGCGAGGTTCATTTGGACTCGGCCGACAGTACCATCAATGCGCTCAAGAACCAACTTGTGACGTCGTTAAACAAGCTCCTGGACAATTACCCGCCAAACACACCCCTGCCTCCTTCTGTCGACGCTGAGGTGCGCGCAGGCGTCCATTCCATCCAAGACCGGTTTGGGCCAAATGCCAAGGTACTCTGTCTATCCGCCAACGTGTTGTTTTACAATCATCGCCGTAGGAAAGGCAAGCTGTGGTCAATTACCACTTCACGCAGCTCGATAGCCTGTTGCTGCCGCCCTATACACGGTTCTTGCTGTGGATGAGCATCCAGGTAGTCTTTCTCATCAAACCGAGGGATGCCTCGACATGTCACGACGAGCATACTTGTAGGACGAGTCCTTTTACACAAAGGCCAACACATCACCGACACCTGGAGGAAGCGTCAAGTCAAAATCATTCAGAGATGGTGACCGCAAGGACTCCGTGGCCAAGAAGGACGGTCTGTGGTCGGCGCTGTCAACGGAGCTCGGTCTAACATATGAGCAAGAAGAAAAGATCAAGGGACATTATCGCGCGAGCGACTCGAAGACGGCCAAGTTGGAGCGCCGGAAGATCGCAATGGCCGTGGTATGCTGAATGAAATCGCAAGCCGACAGTGTATGCTCGTTACAACATCCGTGTAGACGTATCTGCACCAGCTCAAAGTAAACATGGCGGAGAGATCCGAGGCGGTCCAGTCGTATTCAGACTCAATTCAGTCGATACTGTCCCCCGACCAAACGATCCGATACCAGCAGTGGGCAATGACCAACCGCACAACACACTCAGACATGCTTAAGGAGAACGGACTGCAGTTCGCTCCCTCGTCAGGGTTGGATCCAAGCGCCAAGATTAGCACGATTTTACACAAAGAAGACCGCGACTTGACAGTGGAAGATGTGACCTCGCTTCTCGCGACGCTGTCAAAGAAAGCGCCACCCGGTCAAGACCAAATTGCGTCAACGACACCTGGTCAGCATGGCCAGCGGTAACTCTGAAACTTGTGCATTGAATTGTCGGCCTGCTCCTCCGACCCAGTGGCAATTGCACCACCAGATGCTCGTTGATTGCTGCAAACTCTTATTATCCATCTATTTCGTAATGTACACCTCATTGTTGAATGCCGCCCAAGGAGGTGTGAAGGCTGCGACAGCTGCATTTCAATGCTCACGGACGCGCCGCCAGTGCCGTCCCTTGCTTTGACAGCGTCGCCAGCATCGTCGTGATATCCTGGGGATCCAACTCGTCGTCGGACTTGTGCAAAATCGAGCTGATGTCGGAAGAGAGCGACACTTGAACAAGGCTACGGGCTTTCAGTGACGCCGAGTGGTTGGCTCGATGGGTGATCGTCCACTTGTGGAATCGGATGGTCTGGTCAGGAGTCAGGATCGCTTGGATTTTGTCTGATTGCGCCTGGACGGCCTGTCCCCGTTCCGCCATGTTTTGCTTGAGTAGGTGCAAGTAGTTCTGCACAAGTGGACTTCAATTACCAGCTTGATTGCCATATACATGGAGTGAGATCGAATCATACCACAGCCATCGCAATCTTTCGACGCTCCAAGGCAGCGGTCTTCGAGTCGCTCGCGCGGTAATGCCCCTTGATCTTTTCCTCCTGCTCATATGTGAGCGCGAGCTCCGTCGACAGCGCCGACCATAGCCCGTCCTTCTTGGCTACGGTATCCTTTCGCGGCTCGTCAGTTTTTTTCGACGACACAGGCGGGGATAGGTTCGACTTTGTGTAGAACCCTTCGTCCTAAAGCCAATCACCCTTGTTTAGATGCTGTAGGGCACGCCTCAGTGTACCTGGTTGCTCATCCATAGAAGGAACCGAGTATATGGAGGCAAGAGGAGACTGTCCAGTTGCTTGAAGCGGTAGTTCACAACAGCGCGGCGTTCCTGCAAGGTCGTACTTTAGTCATACAATTAACGAGAAGCGTACGTTGGAATTTGGGCCAAATCGCAAGGGCAAGAGCTGCACGCCTCGTCTAAGTGAGTCCAGCACTGTAGGATCGAGTGGCATGTGTGGACTCAAATGCGCGATTTTATCATAGAGCGAAGACACCAGTCGAGATTTGAGGCTCGACAGAGTGCGATCGGCCGACTCCAAGTGCCGGCCACGGGCAGACGCGATGTCCTCTGTCAGTTGGGCCACCTTTTTCTTGAGCAGCTCTAAGTACTGCTTCTTCCGGGCGCGACTTTCACGTGCGGAGATGCGATTGCGCTCAAGGCTATAGAATGAGTCAGTTCCGGTCTTTGTCGATTTGGAGTATTTGCGGTGTACCGTTTGCGCCTCTTTTCGTCGTCTGTATCCTGATCATTCTCCACCAAGTTTGAAGGGGAGTCAGGGGCATCGAACTCGGCCGACGATGTTATGCTGGCAGTCTCCACGGAAGCATGGTGAGCACCACTGTGTGCAGGAGGCGGCGCATGCATTTGAGTTGCCGCGGCAACGAATGCATAATCGTCCTCTGTCGCCGAATTCGACGACATCACTGTCGGGATGACGTCGAGTGCTTCGTTCGGAGCTCCTAGGGTAAGCTCGTCCAGCAGCCCTTCTGGTCCTCCCGTTCCGGACAGCAAGTAGTCCAGCAGCTCATCATCTTCTGGGCAAAAGTTAATCGATTCGTCAATCTCGTCCAAGTTAATGGCGGCGGCGGCCATCTTTCCAGCACAAATATGTTGGAAGTCGTCGAGGCGATCGAATATATCCGAATATCCGGATAACCAAGAGAGGCAGACAAGGCGTTTGATCTGGATGTGGGACCGAGTGTCCAATCGAAAGGAAGATGCATGAAAGAGCCGCGCATCCTCTAGGTGCATGCAGAGCTCGGTACACAACTCACCTGGGTTCGTTGGAGGGCATGCAAAACCGTCCATCCCATTGCTCTCAACATGTAGCTATCTGGGCAGGATATAGACACTCCCTTTCAGCTCGGGAGATGCATGAATACCCTATGAAATGAGTTATCTAGGGTATTTTATGTCCCACTTTCAATATACAGTTGTACCGTGAGCCCTTGATATCCGAATTACTGATAGGGATTTAGATAGGGATTTAGTTATACCCCTAAATAAGAGCACAGACGATTTCGCGGCAGATGTGACCGACATTGATTATCTCGTCGACGAAATGGACGCGATGACATCCACGCAGGGTCTCCAAGATAGCGACCTCGCGAATTACTTTCTTGAGAACGCCGGTGGGTCGACGAAAGGACCATACGAAGATGTATCGCTCCACCAAATATCCACATCGCTCGGCCTAGCGATGCCCAAGGCAGCACCCATCGACTTTTCGTTCAACCCCATGCCAGGCTCTAGCACGCCCAAGAGCGATGTCCCTGCAATGACGTACAACAGAAGGAGCTCTTCAATTGAAAGAGGCAGTGCGGCATCGTCAGATGGTGGCGATGGTCCTCAATCACCTCGCTTTGGTGGTGACAATGACCTCGACACCGAAGACGAGAAACGTCGCAAGCGGTAGTGTGCCATGCTCATTTTTTTCCAAAATCAGGTCGTCATGAAGTTTGCATTGTTTTTTACAGATTAGAACGGAACCGCATTTCCGCTCGCGACAGTCGGCGTCGCAAGAAGCAGTACTTGGAACTCCTGGAAGAGAAGGTTGCCCAGTTGACTGAAGACATCGATATCACTCGCATGGAGCACTTGGATACGGCGGACAAGACTATCACGGCAGTGAAGGCCCAGATGATTACGTCGCTATATGAAAAATTAGCTCCACTCCCACCGAACGCCCCGCTCCCCGCGGACGTCGAGGACGAGTTGGGTCAGGTGGCGCAGTTACTCAAGGATCGATATGGACCGAATTCCGAGGTTCGTCTGACCTAAGGATGTGCCCGTAGCCCCTCAAATGTTTTCATCATCTTAGGAACGGCAAGCCCTGATCAAATATCACTTTCACCAACTTGACGGTCTACTCTTGCCGCCGTACACGTGCTTCCTGCTGTGGATGAGTCTCCAGGTGCATGTGCTTGTCGTGACCCGAACGAATCATCCCATTTCCTCGCTAGGACGACGCGTTTTTCGCTCGCACGCTTCAAACGCCGTCGTCATCGAGTAAGAAAGCAGGTGAGGCGTTGGAACAGCGCAAGGATGGTGGCAAGAAAGATGGGCTGTGGTCGTCCATGTCGTCGGAAGTCGCCATCTTGTACGAGCAGGAAGAGAAAATCAAGGGTCACTACCGCGCGAACCAAGACAGCGAGCAGACCAAGATCGAGCGCCGCCGGATCGCCGCATCGCTGGTACATTGTCAATCAGGGATGCATCCAATGTAATCCGCTGGAGTAGGGAAACATGTCGCAATTCCAAGAATGCTTGGCGATGCAAGCAGCCGCGATGCAGACACACTCCGATACGATCCAGGCAATATTGACCCCTGAACAGGTCATTCGATACCACCAGTGGGTGGCACAGAATCGAGAAAAGTACAGCGACCGGCTCAAGAGCCACAGCACAAGCAATTTGCAGCACTTCAACAATACATCCACGTCCAGTAGTGACGTCCTTGCCGCGTTGTTGCGAAAGCCCGACACGGACTTGTCTGTCGATGATATCACGACTCTGCTGGCGACATTGAGAGCCGAGTAGTATGCCGCGTAATGGCACAACTAGAACGTAGTCAATAACGACGGTGTAATCGTTGCCGCCACAGAAGCGATATATCTTCGTTTCCGATGTCGCAATACCGCCATGGAGCCACGAGGTCCATCGTGATATGTCGCAAAAAGATTGGATTTAGGACGCCGTCGTTACGTGGGAAATGAATAAATGCATCAAATTGTATACTGACATCAAGTCAAATATGATTCTCTCGATTGGTATTACGTGAGCAGTTACATGATCACCATCGTTCCGTTCTCCCCCCACCATGATGGGGCTGTTACAGATGACAGGTCCAAATTTAACTCGACAAAGCCACCGCGATGTCCGAGCGCGCGCTGGATCGGCTACATGTGCCTGTGCCGGACGGTACTGTTCCTGGGCACGACCGCACTTCATCGTCCTTCTCGCTAACCTCGCCTACGTCGGGGCATGACCGCACTGGATCGTCGTGTCTGTCGCCTGTGCTGTCAGGGCCGCCATCTCCGACACGCTATGCCCCCGTCAACTGCGAAGTGCACATGCTTGTGCCTACGATTCCCGCGGAAGAGCCGCTGGCGGAACATATTCGTGTGCTGCTGAAAGAGACGGACTCAGACCCGTCCGCGTTTCAGCATTTACGTGATATTTATCTACAAACGATCCAACCCAGCACCACTGCATCGCCGCTACTCAAGCAACTGCATTGCATGCCAGTGACATCATCCGCGATTGCGAACGCTGTACAAGCGTCCGAAGAGAGCAGCGTGATTCTCGGGTCGACGTCCACGTCGCTTTTGAGAAGTCCCATGGCGCAAAAGATGAAGTCGAACTATCACCAGTGGAAATCTACATTCCTCAAGACAAAAGACAGTGAACATGACGAGGAGAGCGCCGACGAGGACGGTTTTGCACCGATGCAACCTCCCATCACGGATCTCGTCGTTGTGTTCAGCGGCGACGTCACACCCGAAGACTTCGAAAAGGTTGAGTCCGTTTTCGGACTACTCGTTGGGTTTTTCATCCTTTTGCTTCTTCGTGCAGATTGAAAAGTCTCCCGGTGGCATCAAGGCCGATCTCAACCGCGGGCGTCGTGGCCAGTTCGTGTATTTGTGTCAAAAGCGCGAAACGCCGTCTGCTTTTGGATACAAGCGCCCGCCCATCAGCGACATCATCTTGATTTACCCTGAACGAGGCGAGTGCCCGCCGCCCAACTACGAATTCGTCCAACGGCGTGGCGTGGCGGCCAACCTCAACGCGGTAGGTCCTTTCCTTCTGGGTACGATCAACCCCTTGAACAACGTAATGTTCCCAGGGAGTAAGCGGTGAAAAGCTGTACATGTGCTTCAAACGGTCCGCTTCGTCGTCGATCACAGACATTGCCGTCGTGTTCCCCAAGAAAGGCGAGAAAGTGCCATACGGGTACTGCGCCGTCGCATCTTGGTACGACTACTGACATGGGCATGCAGGTACATGAAGATCGACAAAACTCCCCATGGCCACTCCGTCGACATCCACACCAACATGGAGGTGTCGATCTGCTACAAAAAACACGTACGGAAGATTGCGACGGGTGGAAGGCCATCCGCTACATTCTTGTCGTTGTAGATTGGCCTCGTCGAGTACTTGAAACCCTTGTGGTGGCACGCCACGCTTGCCAACTCCCCGCACGGCCCCGTGCCGCTCAACGCACACGCGCCCCGACCGAAGACCCGCACTGCATTCTTCGACGGTAATCCAGATCGAACGGACATGAATTGAAAAGTTCATCACCGGTGAGTAGACGGAGATAGCAAAGGCGATGCGACGAAAGCGGTCGAAGTTGTTCGATCCGAGATGGCGACCAGAGACAAGTTGGCGACGGCTCCGTCGTTGTCGCGGGCGGCGTCAGTAAATGATGCCAGCTCAGACGACGACTTGTCGACGCTGATCAAGTATATGTACCCACTGCTCGTGTCGTGCCACATGCGGCAGGGGACGATTGCAGTCCAAGCAATCGCAAGGCTCGAGACGCTGTTGGATTCGGATCTGGTCAAACGCCACGTGATGAAAAACGACGCGTACTTGCTGACAGCGCTTGTCGAAACCATCAACACGTCGTGCCAGCAAGGGTTGCGGGACCGCGTGCCGATTGTGATGGGAGTGCTGTCGAAGGCACGTCGTCCTCGATAGTCTCTTCGACGAAGTCACCGCGCTCATTGTGTTGTGATGGTAGGTGATCAAGCAGTACGCGCACGAGTTTTCGTCGGTCATTTTGCACGAAGTGACCAAAGCGCTTCTGTTTGTTAACGATTTCGACGATGGCGCGGCCCGCGCGGCCTTGGAAGACATGATCCACTCGGTCATTCGGCGCGTCGACGTCGACAAGAACATGATCCAGGCCAACTTATCCAAACTTTTCGCGGCCAACCACCCGTCGATTGCGTCCAGAGATGGCTTGCTCGCCAATATCGTGTACGGTGTCGCAAGCGAAGCCGTGACAACGGTCGAGATTGCCCGTATGAACGAAAACGCCCTCAACATTATCAAGGTACGTTACCCGCCACCAATTTCAAACCATCTCTCGTCTCCAACTGTTCTATCCAGGGCCATTCGTCCATCTACTCGGCGGGGTTTTGTCACGAGATTCAGCATTGCATCAAGGGGCTGCTACAAACCACGGTATGGTCGATCATTCGCTTCTCTAGGAATTGTGTCATTGAGTTTGGTGCGATGGACGTAGGCTGAGTGCAATGCATACCAGCTCATAGCAACCCTGAGTAAATATGCCACAAAGCGCAATTGCTCGACGGTCGATCAAGCGTATGAGAAAGACTGTGCGTCGATCACAAACACACTGCATATGCTGGACGTTGCCCTCCTGAGCGGTCCACCCGTATTCAAGGACCACCCAGTGTTTGGCCAGCAGATCCGTCGGTTTGTGTGCAGCGTCGTGAATTCGGCCTGTGTGATGTGGTCCGAGTCGGTCATGCGTGCTGCTCTCAGCCTTGTCACGACGCTGTGGAATCAGTACCGACTGCATTTGAAAGTCGAACTCGCGTTGTTGTTTGAGAACGTGTTCCTGCGGATCCTACGCAGCCCCGGCCCGACTGCGGCCATCTTCCAGTCGTTGGTGCTCCACGAACTCATGCCGTGGTTTCAACTCCCGCACAACGTGGTCGAGATTTTCCTCAACTTTGACATGGACCGTCAGTTTGTCCAGCAATGGAAGGTATTCGAACAGTTCTGCGCCGCTCTGTGCAGCATCACTGAAACAAGCTGCGTGAACGGCGGGTCCAGCGACGCCGACGACTCGAATGCGCTGGATATTGGCGTACGTTGCTCACCACAAAGCTGTGTTATGCAAGAGGGACATGGAATCTGTGATGTTTGTAGGAGCAAGCGTTAAGCACGATCTTGGCGATTTTACGCAGTCTCATGGACGCCAGCGGCCACGCACACTTGATTCTTCGCAACGACAAGACTCGAATTCTGTCGATGGCGAAGGGTGGGTGGGAGTTGGACGAGTTTAGCAGTCCAACAAGCCCCACGGCGGCTTCGCAGCCCGACCTGTCGCCGCACGCGGCCACGTCGTCTGATGAAGTCGCTCCCCAGCCACAAGACGACCACGAGTCGAATCCGATTTTGAACCAAAAACTCGGGTCGATTTATGGCACCGTGCGCGAACGCAACGAGTTGCAAAAGAAGAGCCAGCAGTTGCTCAAACGCGGAATGGAAATCGCGGAAACCAAGAGCTTCAAGAAAGCTCTCGAGTACCTGATCGCGATGGGGCTGATCAAAGAGTCGCCACGAGACATCACATCGTTCCTTCGCATTTACCACACGTTCTTTGACGAGAGCGACATCGGCGACTACCTTGGCGAAGGCGACGAAGAGTTCAAACTCCACATTCGCCTTACGTACGCCCGGGCAATCTCGTTCACGGGCATGACGCTTGTCGAGGCGCTGCGACACTACCTGACCCATGGCGGGTTCAAATTGCCCGGTGAAGCGCAAAAGATCGCCCGGATGGTCGAGGCGTTTGCTCAGTGCTACTACGAGGATTTGGCCGGTGCAACGGCGTTCTCGAGCTCGGACACGATTATGATCTTGGCGTACTCGATTATCATGTTGAACACAGACCTGCACAACCCTCAGGTGAAGAAGAACAAGATGTCCAAGGACCAGTTTGTGAAAAACAACCGGGGCATCGACAACGGGAACGACGTCCCCAAGTCGCTGCTCGAAGACATCTACGACGACATTTTAAACACCCCGATCCAGCTCAAGGGCCTCGCGTACACGTTGCCAAGCACGAAACCCGACCACGCGACGAACGCAGACGCCGAGTGCGAGAAATTTCGCATGTGGCTGTCCAAATCCGTGACGCAGTCGGAGGACTTGATGAAGGACTTGGCCCGGTCCAAGTTTACGTTCAACTTTTTTGGCGTCGATGCCAGCATCAGCCCGGATCTGGTCAAAATCCTTTTTGAACGCGTGTGGTTCCACTTCCTCGCGCTCTCGACGACCATCTTGAGCAACAACCAGAGTGACTTGAGTCTCGTCTTACAATGCCTCGACATGCTCCGCTACTGCATTTCGATCTGTGTCTTTCTCGAGATGCACGTCGAGCGCCAAGCGTTTTCGAACCAGCTGACCAAACTCCAAATGTCCGATACGTTTGGAAAGGAACCGCTCAAGGAACCTGCGTCCACGGACGACCACCACCGGCAACAGCAGCAGCCCGAGTGGCTCGAAGGCCACAAATCCAGTGACACAGATCCGTGGACTGTCATCGGCGACATCCACGTGTACGTGAACAAGCTCAAGGACTCGATTCAGAAGCGCCAGACGGTAGAGAATCTCAAGAGTGTCACAAAGCGCATCAACCGAAGCCACGTGTACCTTCATGATTCGACGCAATTCATCCGCGAAGGCGATTTGACCAAAAGATGCCGCACGGGCCGCCATCGCGTCTATCGTTTCTTTCTCTTCAACGATCAGCTCCTATACGCGGACAAGGGCATTTCAGGCAACTTCAATGCTCACCAGTCACTGCGTCTGCGTCTGACTCGGCTCGCAGACATCCCCGACAGCCTCCTTGTGCGCAATGCGTTCCAGATCTTGAACCCTGTCAAGAGTTTCACCGTGATTGCCGAGACCGCCCCGCTGAAAGCGGAATGGATGCGCGAAATCGAAGAAGCCATCATGGAAGCGAACAAGAAGACAAACATCAACCTGCGCCGTCTGTCCACGGCGCGCGGCCTCAAGCGTGAAAACAACGCAGCCATCATTGCCGAAGCCAAAGCAAATGCCAAGGAGAAGGTTGATGAAACGAGCGCACCAGCCGCCCCAATGGCGACACCGCCCGAGATGTGGGTCGCGCAGTTGGACGTCTGAAGGCCACATTTGCGCTGAGGGAGCTTAAGGAATACAACATGTTTGCATGGAGATCTGGCAATGTTGAACGATAGACAGGAACACGAGCGATCCCTTCACATGGCACACAGCCCAAAGCTACGACTGGCAAGCGTGATGGATGTGATGCCCCTAGGAGCAGTGTGCCTTCCACTGCATGCACGTTTGTTGGATGCGTGCAATGCTTGCGGGAAGCATCGGTCGCGATGGTCGGGACGTGGATGTTCCGATTGAGTGTGTCGCTCGTAGAAAGTCCAAAGAGCACCAATTGCAATCATTAACATGGTCAATGCGCATGCGACTGTGGACACTTGACCACTGGAATCAATCGTTTTGCATGTGAACGATCACCAAATACGTCAGGCACGCGATGGGAGGCATCGGTGTTGCAACGATGGGAGCTGCTGGCGGATGGTCTCGAGATGCGCCAGGTCAACGTCTCCCACGACGACCCCTTCGCCCTCGCGCAGCTCGGTCACAATGGATCCCCATGGATCGATGAGCATGGATTGCCCCCACGTGTGCCGCCCATTTTCATGCACGCCGCCCTGCGCCGATGCCAGCACGTAGCACTGGTTCTCAATCGCGCGGGCTTTCAATAGGACTTCCCAGTGCGCCTTTCCTGTCGTGTGGGTGAATGCGGCAGGCACGACCACGAGCGAACACGGACCCAGCGCTCGGTAGAATTCGGGAAAGCGGAGGTCGTAGCAAACAGAGAGGCCCACAGGACCGAGGACGGTGTCAACGACTGGGTGCTGGGCCAGGTCGCCGCGGAAATTAGTCGCCGCTTCGTCGTAAGCTGGTTGACCATTGCCAGGAGTGTACCCAAACAGATGAACCTTGTCGTAGCGGTGAACAACTTCGCCTGCGGGGTTGTACACAAGCGTCGAGTTAAACACTTTGGTTGTGTCTATGGGGTTTTCGAGCGGGATCGTGCCCCCAATGAGCCAAATTTTGTGCTCTTTGGCGAGAGACTGCATGCATTGCTGCATGGGCTTGGAAAGATCTTGGAAAGGCTCACGGATTGCAACTTTGTCCGTGTCCATTCGCCCCAACAGCCCCCAGTACTCTGGAAGGAGAACAACGGACGCTCCAGAGGCTGCCGCTTCTCCCACAAGGCGGCGCACAGTGTCAATGTTTGGCGGTAATGTCGCGCGCGACACCATTTGGATCGCTGCGACTGTAAACTTCTGCATGCCCTTCACTTTGTTGCAATGTCAGCATTCTTCACCAAATACCCTATCGTGTTGAAGCTTCATTTACTTTGATCTTGTTCGCAGTAAATGAATGTCATCTATAAATAGGGAAGAATATCTCTTCAAATCTCGACAACTGCATTATAAGCAAATCTAACTTCACAAGTGCTGCTCATGAGGCCATGCCTCGCAGGGGCATAGTGCGACTTGCATGCGCGTGCAGCGTGAACTTGAGACAATGTTTATACATGGAATCGCTGTTTACTTTTTGTAGAACCGGTTGAGCGCGGTCGGGACTGAGTCCATCTTTTGTTTCCACTCGGCCGCCTGCTTGGCCCGCGCGTCGTCTTTGGCCTTGCTCTCGAGCATGTCCCTGTACTTTTGCTTTTCGATATCGACAACGTTCTGCTGTTTTTTCCGCAATCGGCGCGATGGTCGGTTCTTTCCGCGCATCTTTTTCTTGGGCTTCTCGCGGCCTTCGTTGTTGGCTTTGTACTGCGTCGCAACCTTCTCTTCGTACTCGTCGTTCGCGTTCATGTCGACGCGGCCGATCACCATCGGGTTGAGAGTAATCATTTCCGGACGCAACTTTTCCAACAGCGACTTGACCTCCGTTTCGCGGCGCTGCTTGAGGGTTTCGAATGGGTTCGCTTCGAAAGAATCGAAGTTGGCCTCCCCCGCGCCTGGCACGACGATGTTGGCAAAACCGAGGGCGTGACCGATGCTGAGCACATCCTCAAACGGGCGAAAGCGGACGCTCGTGGCTTGAGTCCCCGGCATGCGGTGGATCATGTATGGACTCGACGCCTTCGTTGTCAACGCATCTTTCCACACTTCCACCGTCGGGCCAAAGCCAACAGCCACCATGCCGCGATGACTGATGTCTACGGTCGTCGCACCCGAGCTCAAGTAGTACTGATGAAGTTCCTTGTACGTGCGCAGATCAAAAATCTATGGGAAAGGTCCGTCACAAATGAAAAACGCCACGTCTTGTCGATCACACCTTGAGTTTGCGATCGCTGCCGGTGGTTGCCAAGTACTTGCCATCCATGTGCACCGCCATGCCTCGAACTACGTAGAGTTGAACGGGAATCGTCAGCAACGCGTTTGGCTCATCCGTTTGTTTCCCCAAATGAACGCATGGGAAGCACGTACTGGGGCCTTGGTGGCACTGCATCTTGATGACTGGATCGGGCATGTTGGGTGTCCACAATGTCACAAGTCCATTAGCATGACCAAGGTTCACCACTGCATTCCATGGGTTCTGCATACACGAGCATGCGTCCGTCAGGTGTACAACGCTGGAAGGTGCAGGAGGTTTACCAAGGCCATTGTGTCGCAGACGCCGAGCTTTGTCTTGTGTGTCGAGATTTGAGTCCCCGTCGTGATGTCATTGTAGCTCAAGAGGCCGTTGCCGCTGACACACGAGAGCAAAAAATGGTAGGGCAAGAACGCCATGCGCTTCGGGTCGGCCATTGTGCGAATGCAGTGCGCTTCGGCGCCCGTGTTGTCGTAAATGTAGCTGCGCAACTCGCTCGGTTAGACGGTGGCAGCAGCTTGGCATGACGACACGTACACATATTTCTTTTGCGCAACTGCAAATAACGAGTTGTTGTGGAGGAACTTGACGTCGCGCACCGATTCCTTCACATGGAATTCGCAGCTGAGATTCATGCGCAGCGTATCGAAGACGGCCAAATGGCCCTTTTGACCACCCAAGATGAGATTTCGACCGTTCTTGGTGTAATCGATGTTGTACGGCCCAAACGTGGGCAAGTCCAAGTGAAACATCTTCTGCACTGTGTTCCGATCGACGTGCTCTGCCAGCTGCTGCTGTGTGAACCTATACGTCTTTTCTAAACCTTCCGCTGTCAAGACACTACGGAACCATGTATGAGAACGACGGCCACATGACGAGTGTTGACATGCCCGGCTTCCTCAGGGAGGAGGATTTCCGCCTTGGCGGCTGACACTGCGGCTTCCTGGAACTTTTTGTTGTGACGCGCCAATTCCCCTTTTAGCTTTTTGTCCTTGGTGGTCTACAGCACCGCACATTCAGCACGTCTGCGTTGAACAAAGACTATCCAACGACGAGTCCCGCGGTGTACCCGAATGACTTGTCCTTCTGGCGCTGGACGAAGGTACTTGCCGACGTTCTTGGTCTTTTGTTTCTTGGTACCCTTTCTGCCTCCATCTCTCGAGTCTTCACCCAAGCGCTTGGGTGCACGGCGCTCGTCGACGTGGATTTCTTCAGCCTGCTCCGTGTCGCTGTGGTCGCTCATGGCCAATATCTGCTTGAACCACCGATCGAATCGGTGTTTCAACCAACCAATGGATGGGCGTGATGCAATAACCAATCAAATGCGGCCGGATTCGTGAAAAACCTGGGCGCCAAGTCGGCGGCACCAGCGCCCGTCTGTAGTTGCTCGTCAGGAAGCGAGAAACCTTGCATTTGAACGCAAGGAAAGTTATCGACCTCGACCCCCACTTGGTAGCCCCCCCCCCTGCTTGGTGCGATTTCAATTTGTGGAGAGTAGGAAAGGGGGTAGTTCAAGAGGGGGCGCATTTTGCGAAGGATTGCACAAACACGCACCTGAAGCAGCGGCGTCCAACCCGCTCTGTATGCGTCGTTCTCGTCGCTGGATGGGGCGGTGCGGCACTCGACGGCGATACTGAGTACGACCGAGCTGTGTTGACGCGGTGAGGGTCGAGTGTCTTTACTGTGTATAAGTGGAGTTGTGGATGGCGCTTTTTACACCGTGATTGGATGCCTTATACATACTTCAAGTGAAAAATCTGGGAATGGAAAGTAATTTTTTATGGACGATCATAACGAGGGATTTTTCACGCAATCGAGATTGCGCAGCGGCAATGCACAACGATGAGGCGGTCTCGAAGCGGTGGATCGAGATGGTTCTGTCGGAAAAGATACATGGGGACTACCTGTGTGCGTTACAGGATGGAACGATCCTGTGCACGCTCGTGAATCACCTGTACCGAGCAGTGGGCAAGCACATCCGTGTTCCGATCGAGACACATCATTCCTCGCCCAACACGTTGTTCAGCACCAGCTGCAGGCGGCAGAACGTCCGCACGTTTATCGAGTACGTTGCGCGCATTCCAACTTAATCGTCGACTCTCACGAACGTAGGTCGTGTCGTTACTTTGGGGTTCCTGACGATGCCATATTTCGACCCAACGATTTGCTCAAGGCATCCAACCCCGCACGAGGTATACTTTATTCCTCGACTTTTCGAGGGCGATTCAACATGCATGGGTGCGTAGTGTACTCGTGCATATTGGCACTTCAAGCAGAGTCGCTGCGGATGGCTCGGCAGAGAACTCCACACGAAAGAGCTTCCATGGGGACCTTTGCAGCGTCATCGTCAAGGGTGTGTGTGTGCCCTCTATCAAAGTAGCTGCCTCATCCAGCGTTCCCAGGACTTTACGGAGACCATGTCACGGGTGGATGACGCGTCGTCCCATCTTCATCCTGCCTCGACATGGGGAGACACGTCGATGTTCACCGTCGAATCGTCCAGCATCTTGGCATGGACTGTCTTGCTCGAACTCTTTGAAACCCAGCAAAACGAAATGTACCTAAGCGCGTCGCATGATGGGACTCCTGTTCATACCGACGACAAGCTGTCGTACGAGCTCTGGCGCACGGAAGAGAGGGTGCGGATGCTGGTGCTCGAGGAAGCATCATGTCGGTACTTGACGCCACAAATGCACGGCAAGCTGTGGATGTTGCTATCTGGGGCCAACACAGAGATGGGACTGCAAAAAGGCCACTACACCTCGCTCGTGAACCACAGCTCGGTCAAGTACGTACCCTACCTGTCGCTTGCAGATTCGATTTCAACGTCTCATCGTCCTGTATTTGTTTTTGAAAAAGTGCTGAGTCTGTCCGTCAAATCGAAGCCGACTTGACCCGCACGGTATCCCCAGAGGACCCCGAGTGGACCCCGGACCGCATAGAAAAGCTTCGACGGGTCCTGGTCGCGTATGCCGTCCACAACCCCAAGCTCGGGTACTGCCAAGGACTAAACTATGTCGTCGCGCGACTGCTCCAGTGCCTCGACAACGACGAGTGTGTATTCTGGCTGCTTGAACGTATGATCGCGTTCCTCCCAGACGATTACTACACGACGATGCTGGGCTTGGCGATTGACCAACACGTGTTTGCCGAGCTCGTGGCACTGCAGTCACCAGAGATTGTTCAGCACATTGAGGTACATGCAGTGCGGCCTGTGCCTCGTACGTTTGCATCCTCTCACATCCATCGATGCAGCAACTCGGCGGGTTTGGTGCCGAGCTCTCGTTGGCATGCACGGAGTGGTTTTGCACGCTATTTGGGAGTCCGTGTCGAAAAGACATTACACTTCGCGTGTGGGATCATTTTTTCATCAACGGGAATGAGGTACGAGTTGCTCGCTGCCGAACGAAGTTTGACACTCCCTGCGACCAGGCGTTGTTCCGCACTGCATTGGCCTTTACCCAACTCGAATACCCGCACATCATGTCGTGCCAAACCTACGGCGACCTTCTCGTGTGTCTCAACCAGGTAATGAAACGAATTCAGAACGGCGTTCATCGATGGATCCAGATCGGCCGAGATGCGCTCCTGGACTCCAAGTTGCTGCTACATATTGCCAATGGCCAAGAAATCGTCACGTCGTCTCGGATTGACGACCTGCGAGCGTACCATCGGTTGGAGTTGGCATCGGGCATTGCGCTCTCGAACGACCGGTGCCAGTCAACGCCAACGGGCGTCGCGGACGATGGTCCGCCGCTGTCGAATGAATCTGCAACGACCAAAAAGCGAAAACACCCCCTGTCGAATCGAAAAATCACGTCCAGGTACCATCTACTTGGGTTGGTGTGATTTTTCTAGTCTGTGTGTCGTTGCACAAGGTCATGATGAACCAACTCCCTCTACTAATGTAGGACCATTCCGCGCCACCTGTCCCACGAAGCGATTGAAACCAAGATCGACGAGTCTGCAGTGGCCAAGTACTTTACGACTGCGCCGCAGGTACGTGTCTACGTCCTAGCAACGACGAATCGTTCTATCATGCTTGCTGAATGCCAGATACTGGACAATTACTTGGGAGAAGCCGAACCGGGTCCGACGTCGTGGCAAGTGGATCAGTTCAAGCTCATCACGAGTCCTAGTGATGCGTCGCAACAGGCTCGTCCTCGGCAGTTTTCCGACACATCGTATCGGCACACGTTCTCGGACAGGACGTCGTCGTTCCGAGAGGCCCGCAGCAAGAGCACCACGGACGGCCTGCGCGTGCACCGCGCGTCCATATCGAACCCGCCACTCGCAGCGTCGTCGGATGACTCGATACGGCCGCACTTTTCCAACAACATCTTCAAGAAAATCGAAGCATGGACCAACAAAACGCTGAAAAAAGACAGGCGACACAGCACACTCAACTTTGAATTCCTCGGGGCTGCGATGGTTGGCCAAGCCAGCTTTTTCAGCGGTCCGCGGACGCCCACGCCGGAGCCAGTCATCGACGGGGGTATGTTTCCCCCGTCATCGCGAGGGTCTGTCGTGGAATCGGCGAGGTCGTCGCAACTGTACGGTCATGTGGCAACCCCGGACATGACAATCGAGCCATCACTTCAGTCCGCAAGGGCGCCACCTCCGGCACCAATTGCTTCCCTGCCACCATCCCCCACCTTTGCGGAGGTCTCGTTCTCAACTGCAGGATCACCCACCCCTTCAACACAATTTCATCCTATTCCCGTGCCACCTCCGATATCTGAAGGGTTGGTCAAGCGCATTGTCAATTCGCACTCGACTCCGTCACTCGTGTCACTGGAAAAGTCCTATCACGACGACAGCTGCGACAGCTTCGACGGCGGGAGCTTGGACGATGCAGACTTGTCCTCGTCTTCGATTGAATCGTCCAGTGGGATGCGGTATCGTTTCCGCAGCTCGCCTTCGTCATCGTCTACCACGACCATCGTCCGACCACCCCGGCATCAACGCGACGGTAAAAAGCCTCCCACCACAGCACTCATGACCATCCCGGACGACTTGGCCCCTCCCGACATGAGGCGGCACACGTCGATGCCATCCCGCAGTCGATCCAAGCAGGTCGGACGATCCACGACAAGCATCTCCCAACTCAACACAGAAAACGCGCGACTACTTCGCGAACGGGCCCACGTTGTGTCGTATCTGCAGCGCAAAGCCAGCGATGTGAGCAGTTTGAACAGCCCCGTCGACTCAGACGAGTATCGAGGCAGCCTCAGTAGCGACGAAGGAACACGGCGGGCCCACCGCGCAACCAACCGCACCAACTCGTTTTCGTTCCTCGGGAGTTTGTCCGTCGACTTGGAGCGCAGCCTGCTGCTGGAAGACAAGGAGTAGGAAACACGTTTGTGTGTCTGTCGCCCCCTGGCGCATTGCCAATTTGTTTGTAGTGGACCAAAATTCGCACATGTGGCGGCAACGGATACCCTGTTGTGGTCAAGTGGGTGTGGCATCACTGTCGTTCTGTCCATCGCTCAGACCATTGATCGAACGCTTGGGTTGAAGGCGCATCCTCACCAAACACCAGGATCGCATCAAGCGGAACGTAGAAAGCTGCACTGTATCAGACATTTTTCCGATCGCCGCAGCTGTGAAATAACAGCACGACCCCTGTCGTGCCTTGGTTGAATTCACAATGCCAGAACGATTTCAGCCCACCACGCATGCGTTACCAGCTACTGCTGCTGTACGTGGCCATGACCCCCCAGTGATCCGACGGAAACATTTTCGAGTGGTTCACCAGCGGGTCTTTCCCAAACGTGGTAAAGTCGTCGCAACGTAAGCCGTGGCTGTAGAGTCGATCAAATCGACACTTGGCAGCAAAGTTGATGTTGGGCAGGTTCTTGTTCACGGTCGTGTCCCACGTGAATTCGTGGGCACTCGGTCGGCCTCGTGCAATCCACGCATCTTCCACCTACACGACTGCCACTCATATCTTGAACTCCCTGCCGATGGATCGTCGTACCGCGCTTGGAATGGCCACAACGTCTTTGCGGCCGAGGTTCATGTCCCCTCCAAACACCCACGGCGACGTTGACTTAGGCGACGAGTTCTCTAAGAGGTGGGTGAAAGACCACTTGAGCTGCGCCAGGCGAACTGTTTTGTTCTGAGCAAGGCTCTCGAGGTGGGCTGTGGCCAAGCGCAGCGCGTGGCCGTTGAATTGCGTGTCTACCACGTGCAAGTGTCGACCCATGGCAGAGTTTGCAAAGCGGTGGCAGGTGTACTGGAGAATCGGGAGGCCTTTGACGAGAATGAGCTCGCTGTACGCTTGCGTTGTCACGGCGTTTGCAGCGACATACCCGAGACGAGTGAGCTTCATAATCAGGAGGTTGCTCATTTCTGGCGTGACTTCTTGGAGAAAGATCACGTGTGGTGCCAAAGTGGAGAAGGCTGTGCACATTGCGTCGATGCGCTCTTCCACGAGAACTTCGTCAAACCATACGTTGAGCGAGGCAACGATTAATGACGTTGGGGTGAGTGTCGTGTTCTTGAGCAGGGCATCGGAAGGAGTTGTTCCTGGTTGTGCCTTTCGTCTCTGCATGCGTTCGCTGTGTAAATTACGAAGCAATGCATTCGACGGCGGAGCTGGTGACGTCAAATCACAAGAGCTGCATTCGCGTGTTGTGTCGTTGCGTCCTTCCTGCGACTGACCCGATGCTTGCATGTGCTCCAGTGCGGACGCAGCAATGGCAGCTTTCAGGTCCATGTCTTCGTCGTCGTCACTAATCAAATCCACCAAATCGTCAACGCTAAACTTCATCCGCTTATGTGGAGAAGTGGTTGGCAAGTGATCTAGCAGTTGATCCGGGAGTTGGTCTGGAGAGAGGGAGGTACGTCTTCAGCAGCAGTGCAATGATTATTCGACATACCGTCAAGTTGTGGCAAATCAGCGGGCTTGTTGTAGGCACAGGCATCGCAGAATAGGAGCTCCGGATCGTTAATCAGCGAGCAGCGCGGACATTCCCAGTCGCTCCACGCTTCCATGAGGAATTCCGTTGAAGACTTGTCATAAAGCATCGAACCACATATTAACTGGGATTTCGAAATATCATGGATTATATTTTATCAATATCACGCCGTCTGACCATTATATCTGACGAAACTGTCGTGGCCATGGCGACGCAGGAAGCCGTCGCGGAGGGTGTCCTCGGAGTCGTGGAGTGCATGGTGGAATGCATCGAAGCATTTCACTTGTACCTGCCGACATCCACCTCTGACGAAATTGCTGTCACATTGCACGCATTGTGTGTCGCAGTGTCCGTGTCATCCCCCGCTAGTTCACTCCTGGATGTTTATGCCATGACAGCAACTCTTGTGCACAACTTCATCCCGTGGAGAGCTCTGTCGTGCGCTCCGCAACTGCAGACACTGGCTGGCCAAGACGACAACGATTACTCCTATGGTGGGTTCACAATCTTCGCGAGGTCGTAGTGACATGGCCTGGTGTTGCTGTGGGGGAACTAGAGATACAAGAAATGCATCGGCTTGTCCAGTCATGTGTGCAATACACCCACAGACACCGCCTCACTCGGGGGTGCAATCTCATCCACGAACAGTACAAGAATCCATGGCCACACACTGAGCTGGCACAAGTCGCCGAGGTACTTGCTTCCATGCCGGTCTGGAAACGTTCCACTCAGCATCGCCCAGGACCCTGTCGAAGATCGGTGGACGCCAGAGGGCGAACTTGTGTATGCTCGTAAGATATACTTCGTTGGTGGTCCACATAGAGATCAGAGGGGCGCTATCTTGTAGGAAAGAACGTTTTCAACAATGCTTTCGCCCCTCTCCACGACTGCCGGCGATACGCCCGGCACCGACTTCCAGACGCAGCCATTTACAAAGCATTGCGCACGATCGTGCGGCAGAACATCGTGGCGCGTGAAGTAAATCGGATCGCGCAGCTCAATCAGCCCAAGCCGGACACGCATCCCGACAACGACGATGTAAATGAGGTTGACAATGAAGGAACGGCGGTAGTTTTTGCGTCTGCGTCACAGGAAGGACTTTACGACGTGTAAACTACACCAAGATGCAACTGTATTTGGCAAGTCACGGGCTTCTGCTGCTCCTGCTGGATGCGGTGATTTTTGCTTGGGGTCGCCGCAATGGCTCATTGACCGCCTACGACGGGGGCGGTTCTTTGTGGTAGTCGATTCCACTGATGCGATTGGCGACCCCCAACAGAGCGGCAACGTCGTCGTGAGTGAAGACGACAGGATGCTGTTCGATGAATGACAGCACTTGATGGGCAGCCTCGAGCGCTTGGCACGCGGTGGGAACTCTTGGCGCGTCGGTGTCGTCAGGGTTGGGAGGGTTCGGCGAACTCGTCCACGGCGACGGAGACGATGGGGGGTGGGCTGACGGCGGCGCAGCTAGGTCGCCATCGCCTTTCAAGCCGTACACCATTCCATGCAACGTCTTCCATTCCGACTGCGCGTGGGCCATGAGCGACTCGGCCATGGATTCCGCTTCGTCGTCGAGGACACTGGAACCATCCACGCTGTCATCACGTTCCCAAGCCGGAGGCCAAGATGGTGGCAACCACTGCGACTGTTTCCAGCTGGTCTTTGCAATGGATGCTGGGACCGTCTTCCACAGCTGCGCGGCCCACGTCAACGCTTGCTGTTCATGTTGGGTCACCGACAACGCAGACGATGGGAGAAGACCAGACGACGGCATGTCGGCCGTTAGTTTCGACTTGAGGTGGGTGATCTTGTACTGGAGGTGAAAGTAGGTCGTGAGGCCAGCTCCGAGTGGGGTCAGCTGAGAAGGGACTCGCGGTGGGAGGTGGGCCAAGAGCATGTGCGACAGCTCAACGGTGCGCATGCCGCAGATGGTGCTCATGTGTCCTTCCATCGAGATTGCGTGGCATGGCGACGAATCGAGGAAACAAAGGATGCGCCGTGGCGGGTCCTGCATCGCGAGTACCGTGTTGACGTGCAAAATGAACTTTGTGAATGTGTCCTTGGTCATCTTCGCGCCAGGGTTCGCGTAAACGAAATCGGCCGTGTAAAGCATGTCCGCAAAAAGAGCGGGCCGCGTCGAGCGCTCCTGAATGCAGCACATCATCGGTGCGTCCCCCACGACATTGGTGAGAAGACCGAGCAGCATGCGGCCTTGGCGTTGGTGACTGCGGGACGAGGACGATGAATACGATTCGTTCGGGAGCTGAAAATGCAACACATGCTCATCGTAATGGAACACATCGCAAGGCTTAAACCCACCGTCCACAATCAGTTGATGAATACCGCCGAGGTGGGTGGACGTTGACGACGGTGACATGTCGCTGGCATCGATGGAGGACGCGAGTTTGAGAAACGAGAGGTCCCCAACCTTCGTGTCGTCCGGGTCCCCGCTGCTCATGTGCATATCGCCATGGTGGTGGCTGGACGTCGCATGCATTCGAATGCTGTGTCGACGTTTGAAATTCTGCACCCATCCATTCGAAATCTTGAATTCGCTGTCCTTGATGTGGTGCTCTTCGCGCAGGCGCTCTGCGTGGGCCGTGAGAAGACTGTCCGACAAACGAGTACCTTGGGCACGGATTTCTTGCAGGTAGAGACTCAAGGACTGTTCGAGTGCTTCAAATTTGCCACCTCGCATTCGTTTCCGTCCAAGCTGCGACTCGTCCATGCTGAGCCACTTGTCCTTCTCCCGCAACGTTTTGGTCACCATGAGGCGCTGCACGCTTCTCTCCGCAGTCTTGTTGAACTCGTCGGCCACTTGCTGGTGCGTCGCTTTCACGAGGACCTGCGAGATCTCGCATATGCGCTTCTTGTCTGCCAGGGACAATGCCTGTCGCGTGTGCTTTTTTGTTGGAAGCATCTTTCAATGGTTACAAGAACTCCGTGTGTTCTTCTAACCAGGTCATCCGGTTAAATAATCCTCATATCCGAAATCATCTTTTCTCCAGAGGACACGCACGGCTGCGCCCAGATCGACACGACGAGCAGGGCCCACTAGTTGCGAATGAATTCGCGGTCGTCATGAAGATGGAGCGAGAAGACGTACGGTTGCATGGAGCCTCAAGGGCGCGATCTGTGTCAGATTGTCGCAGCTGCGAGTGCACACATGTGTGCTGACATTGTTATTTATAGGCGTGATGGCATCAACGAAATGTTCCGCAGCATATACGAGAGGGGCGGGAGGCCGACAACACCCTACAGTGAAATCGCTGCGACGATCCAGAAGCTCAAGGACAAAGGCCGCCAAAGTGACGAGACGGACAAGTTCCTCCAGCGCGTGTTGATAAATTCGGAAGTGACCACGAAACGCGACGCTCTTTTGGACGCAAATGCCGTCGTCGTCGTGGCTGGTCACTTACGAGCCCACGACTGTGCGTCAACCCAACAGTATGCCGCGGGGTGCGTCCATGTGCTAGGCGCTCTATGCTCACACGTCCATAGAATTCTGTTGAACCTGAGCCAGTATGACCGCGGGCGCCTTGCCATGGCCTCGTGTGGCAGTTGGGACTGCGTGTCATATCGCCACGCGTGCCCCCTCTTTTATTTGCTACAGCTAGCACTCACGAGCGCAAACGTGATCGTGAAACGTGTATGTACTGCAGCTGTCCTCAACTGCTCCTTCCACGCCGCGTGTCAAGGCCACATCGAGGATATAGGCGGTGTGAATCTTCTCCTGAAACTACTTCACGTCAATGACGAAGGTCTTATCGTGGCGACTGAGTTCGTCGTCTCATTCTCGAGCGTAGATGTGTGCGTCTTCGCGGCTGCAACGTGCTGGAACCTGACCAAGTCGCCCTCGTTTGTGCTCAAGTTGGAAACTATCCATTCCATCCCCCAGGACAACTTTGCGCGCACGTTGTCTCAGTTGCTCTGGACGCGATGTTCGCACTACGGACTCACGATCACGACCAACGCGGCCATGTCCGCCGACCAAGCCGGCGTTCTCGAAAGGTAAAGCATGTCGGGTGTATCGTGCTCGTAAAGCCACTCGCCGTCGTCTATGACCTTCCAATGGCTTTGAATGAACAGTGTCTAACTGTGGTCTCCACTGAGTAGTGGCGGATCCAACCTCCACCTCGTCTTTGCGTGCGCGATCAACTCGAAACTTGCGGTTGCGCTCCGCGTGGAACAGTACAACGTGACTGCAAACCAAGCTCAAGTCGAAGCGCAGTCGTCCAAGTACAAGAGCCAGCAGAAATTTGACGAAAACGGCAAGCGCGTTGCCGTGACTTGCAGCACATGTGCCAAGTCGATCAAAGAGAAGGACAAAGCCAAGTGTTTGAGTTGCGCGTCCGATGGGTGTGTCGAGATTTATCACGTACGGTGCAGCCGATGGGCGAAAATCGTCGACGTGAACGTCCGCGACCACGCGTTCTACTGCGACGGGTGTTTGCCGGGGGTGCCGCTACAGTACCTCGATTTTGTCGCGACCGAAATGAGCAACAGGAGCGTCCTGACCAAGTTGGACTTTGACATTTTAAACGTCGCGCGACCGGACAAGGTCGACGTGTGTATGCTGCGGGCTCCGACGACGAATGCGCTCGTGGGCATTGGTGACATGAAGTACGTGTGCCATGGGGCCAAGGACGGCACAGCCATAGTCCAAGTCAAGTTTTTTCTGAGGCAATGCTCGAGCATGTGCTACAACACCACCAGCAACAATGTGGTGGCGACTACAACAGTCGCCATGCCCCCGTTTTCGTTTCCGTTTTTGAAATCGACGGTGCCCCCGACGACGCTGTCGTTGCACGCACTCACTTTGTGGCCAACCGCTCAACTTGTGCCTGTGAACGACAGCATGTACTTGGCAAAGACAATCGCAGACCTAGAGCAAGCGTCTTTGTACGAATTCGACGGGCGAGACGAGCGATTTGCCATCGGTTCGAACGATGGTACGGAGATTTGGAGCGCTCTCCAGCCCAGTCGTGCCAAGTGCATGAAGATGATTACAGAAGCCACCGCCACGGCACGACCTGCTCGAAAGCACCGACGGGAAAAGAAGCCCCACGTCGAGCGAAAGTTGGAAAAGTAGGACGAGTTCAATGATACAACGGTGATTGGAAGGGCAGCCCCCTCTCGAGCCTCAGCAACTCGTTGTGACCGAATAAACCATCTAGATATGCCATCCTTGAGATGGAGAAAGAAGTTTGCGAGCTGAAAAGTTCACTGTGCACCAGTCTCGCAGAAAGCCACGGCAGTGTGACGGAACATCGTGCTCTTGCCTCGTCGTGAGAAAGCAGCTCTGTTCTTGATGCCTGAATGTCACGTTGCCGTGATCGATGGGGCAATGACCGGCCACGACGCGCATCTCATAAGGATAAGTTTTTAACACCCCCAGTTGGACCCTTTGCAGCTGTGAAGTGACTACTGTTATGCGTTCCCCAACAACCCCATTGTTTGCTCATCAGAGGAAAGAATACTCTAGGATTCGACTTAGCACACGTGTAGCTACAAGTGACAATGTAACAAACAAGCCGGGATGCATGATTTGGCGACGTAGAAAAAGCACGGCATTCCTGCTGCGCGGTTCGTGTTGAATCCGCTGACTCTGAAGTGTGTCGACCTCGACACCCACAATTGGTGGCGCAGACATCGTCAGTTGCCCCGTTATTCAGGTTAAAGTATGCCTGCTGTGTCGGCGACATGTCCGTGTTGGACTTCACCGCATGCCATGCCGTTTCTGGCTGCGGCTTGTCGGCGCCGCTGTCGGTTCGTTCATTTGAAGACGACCGTTCATGATAACTGTATTCCACCTTAACCGTTCAATATAGTTTAGAACCTGAAATTGAGTTTATTTTCGAGTATTTGAAACATGCTCAATTGACATCTGAAACAAATGGCAACGGGGGCGATGTCGGCGACCGCGCGCAGGCTGCGGCATTTGCGATTGACATCGGTGCCCAAGGCTCATGCGGAGAAGATGAGCTTGCCAATGGGTGAATTGCCGCAGTTCACTGGGTTTGAGATTGTCCTGCTGGGAACAGGTGCTGGCATGCCTTCAACCCAACGCAGTGCTTCGTCCTTGTGTGTCCAATTACCTGCGAAGAGTTGGCTCTTTGACTGTGGCGAAGGCACTCTTCGTCAGATCTTTCGAAGCACCGTGCGTGTGACAACGACAGAGAAGATTTTTCTCACACATGTCCATGGGGACCACCTATTCGGGCTGCCTGGCATGCTGTGCACGCTGAACGCGTTGAATGCAGGGAACATTGATCCTTCGACGAAGCAGGTTGTCCGACGCCCCATCGACGTATATGGTCCGCCTGGAGTGTTTGACTTTGTCAACATGGCATTGACCGTGTCATGCGCTCACCTGGGCAACGTATCGATCACCGTCCACGAACTGGTGCCATGTGACTTCGATTCGACGCCACCGTCCGGCGTCCGTTTGCATGAGGTTTTATCTTCGCTTTTCTGACATGTCTTGACACAATTTAACTGCAACAGGACCTCAAGCGCGCCGTCATTCGACCTGAACACGTCGATGGGTCGCTTGTGTGGCGTGTACTGGACGATGGCGACCACACTGTCGCGGCAGGGCCTTTGGCGCATAGCGTGACCAGTGTAGGGTACGCAATGGACCTCATTTTCATGCCTCGTTGTCTCATACGATCGCAGATATGTCGTGGAAGAGAAACCACGACCGGGGCGGATAGATGTCGCCGCCGCCACGCGCCGCGGACTTCCGCCAGGCCGGCTCTACAAGCTGCTCAAAGCCGGCGAAAGCGTCCACCTGCCAGATGGGACTGTGCTTCATCCTGATGAAGTACGTAGCACACCTCCACTTGATGCGAACCAAACCTCATTGTCGTAGGTCATGGGGCCTCCCCGTCGTGGTCGGAAAGCTGCGATCATGGGAGACACGGCCAACTCGTCGGGAATGTATACGTTGGCTCAAAATGCAGACGTACGCTGTCTTCGTTATACTTGAAAGTTCATTGTCGAAAGTTCCATGGGTGCGATGCGTGTATAGGTGCTGGTGCATGAAGCTACGTTGGCACACGGGAATGGAGCCATTGTACGCGCTGCTGTTTTCATGGGCATGCTGACTAGAGTGTGTAGGCATTACAACGAGGTCACTCGACGAGCGCGATGGCGGGGTACTTTGCACGCCACATGAATCCAACGCTCTTGGTGTTGACGCACATCAGCCACCGATTTAGCCCTCGCCACACAGATCCAAGCTCTGTCCAGCAGCTCGTGGACGAAGCCCGTGTGACGTTTCGAAAGCGAGCAGTCGTGGACGGATTCGACTTGATGCGAATTCCCATTCCCCTGCCATCAACCACTGAGATGTCGCGATCATCTTCGTGTTAACTTCTAAACTCGACCACTTGCCCCGTCGCCACTTGTTCATACACTTGCCGTTCAGTGGCGAGAAACGACAAAATCGACTGATGGACAGCCGAAGCGTCGACAGCGTTGTAATTTGCGACAACTGCGGCGCAAGCATCGCGGACAAGTGCGTTTGCATTGCGCATTGCTGCTTGATCGGGCCATGGGACCAAAGGGTCTCCGTCGTCGTCACGCCCTGTGGCGGCGGTCGTGGCCTTGTCGACAACTCGGCGAAGTGCGATTGCCAACGAAGGTTTGTCCAGCACAAGCAACTGCACTTGCTCCCGGTACAATGAACTCGCCAACTGACCCGACGTTGCATCCAGGTGCACCAGGAGCCCAGCGGCCGTGATAGTCGCGCTCCGTTTTTGGAGGAGCAGCGTTCGCAACTTTGCGAGTGGATCGTGTTGGATATCTTTCAAAGGCAGCACAAGAGGCAGCGGACAGTTGTACGGGTTCTGAGGGAGGGAAAAACCAGAATAGATGAGGAGGTCGACGTTCGGCCTCGGCCCGTAGCAGATGTAGATTTCGTCGCCGGCTGCAAACTTGTTCATGGCGCTGCAGTGGATGGCATCGGTGTCGGCATACGTCGTCATTTCCCCGATTGCGTGGTTGCACATGTCCCATCCCGGGATGAGTGCGAGGGCGGACGGATCTGCCGGTGTTGGGACGTTATTCTGGCGCGTCAAGGCCACGGAGAGTGCCCACGTGTAGTTGGACAAAGAGAATGCGTCTGAGGAGTAAGGTGCCGAGCTGGGTTCGTGACTGAAAAGCCGGCAGAGGTAAAGGTACTGACGGATCGAATTGTAGAAGAGCTGAATCGCAGACTCATACGCAGCCTTCGAATGCGACAGTGCTGCAAAGTCGGCCACGGTGTACTCAATGGGGAGATGAAATGTCCGAGGAAGGACGGCGATGTACGGCGCAAAGAAGGACGAAGGGGATAACGCCTCGTAAAGAATGTGGAGCGCCAACGGAATGGTGGGGAATTGGCGACACAGAGGGTCTTGGCGGAGGTGAGCTAACGGCGGTGGCAGTGATGAAGACGTGAGCAGAAGGTTCAATGGGATGGATAAGATCCGAGATCCCTTGGGAAGGTCCATGCGTGCACGGAGGCCATTTCCATACTCACCCATGCTTTCCACGTTGAACGTTTCTTCGCCAAATTGGACTTGCATGCCCCTTTTCAGCCACGACTGGAAGTCTTCTACGGTCGCAGGCAAAGTTGCTTTGTGCACTACGTCATCCGCAACCAGGGAGTTGCTTCGTTCCAATCCGCGAAGTGTTGCAGCAAGAGTCACGATCTTGTTGAGCACCGTCATGTCAAGGAGATCCTTCCACGAGGTGCATCTGCCGAGGGCAGCGGTCAATTCTCGCAGCGTCGTCGCCACGGGGTCGGTCATACTTTGAAGGCATCGCCGCCTCGTATCCGGATAAAAGCACATTTAACCGTACCGGTCAAGTGGAGCGGTTGACTCAAGCAAAGTATGGCCCTAGGCTTTTCGATATTCGCGACTTGACCACTCAGAACCCTTCTTTTGCGTGGAAGAAAGCCACCGCCGCTAACACCATGATGATGGTACGTTGGATCCGAGGGGTCTGGCGGCGCCTGCGTCGTCATGTCACTCTTGTACTTATGCAAGCTCCCCCGAGGTGCGCGTGAGTAAGTTGTCTCATGTGGGTTCGTGTGCGCGTAGCAACCGCAAATTATCCTGCTTAAGGAAGGCACAGACACGAGCCAAGGCAAATCGCAATTGATTAGCAATATCAATGCGTGCCAAGCCATCATGGAAAGCGTCCGAACAACGTTGGGACCTCGCGGTATGGACAAGTTGATCCACAAGGGAACCAAAACGACCATCTCGAACGATGGGGCGACGATCATGGGGCTCTTGGATATCGTGCACCCTGCTGCCAAGACGCTGGTCGACATTTCCCTCAGCCAAGATGCGGAAGTTGGGGATGGCACAACGTCTGTGGTCCTTTTGGGTGGCGAGTTCCTTCGCCAAGCCAAGCCGTTCGTCGAAGAAAACATGCACCCGCAGACGATCATTAAGAGCTACCGCAAGGCGTGTCAATTGGCCGTGCAAAAGATTCGCGACATCCAAGTACACGTGTCCGAAACAGACTCGGTCGCGTACCGTCAAATGTTGGAGCGTGTGGCCGGCACTGCGTTGAACTCGAAGCTCATCAGTTCGCAGAAAAAGTTCTTTTCCCCCATGGTCGTTGACGCGATCTTGAGTCTGGACACAGACATGGACATTAGCATGGTCGGCGTCAAGAAGGTACCCGGCGGGTCGGTCACCGACTCGTTCTTAGTCAAAGGCGTGGCGTTCAAGAAAACGTTTTCGTACGCCGGATTTGAGCAAATGCCCAAGTACTTCAAGAACCCCAAGATTCTACTGCTTAACGTCGAGTTGGAGCTCAAGTCGGAAAAAGAAAACGCCGAGGTAGTATGCGATCGCGCACTTGTCAGCTCATTTGCTCACGGCTGCATTCCAGGTCCGCTTGGACGATCCCTCGCAATACCAATCCATTGTTGACGCCGAGTGGAACATCATTTACGACAAGCTGGAGAAGTGCGTCAAGGTAATCATTCTCGCTTGAGACGTGGATGGCAGAATGGATTTTTCATGGATAGCCGTGATGGGTTGAAGTATTTCTCGGGGTGTCTTGGTGGCTTAGTGGAAGCAGTGCTGCTGTTGAGGGCTGCTATGTCCAGTTTTGGAGCTGCAACGGCATGCTAATGGGTTGGTTTTTCGACTAGTCGGGAGCCCAAATTATCCTGTCCAAGCTGCCCATTGGGGATTTGGCAACACAGTACTTTGCCGATCGCGGTTTGTTTTGCGCGGGCCGTGTCGCCCAAGATGACATGGAGCGCACGATGCGTGCCACGGGCGGGCTGATTCAGACCAGCATCCAAGACATCACGCCAAACGTACTGGGATCATGCGGTGTGTTTGAAGAACAACAGTGCGGGAACGAACGATACAACTTGTTCACGGGCTGCCCCAAGGCCAAGAGCGCAACGATTGTGTTGCGCGGCGGTGCGGAGCAATTCATTGAAGAAGCGCATCGATCGGTGCACGACGCGCTCATGGTGGTCAAGCGCACGGTCGCCACGTCCACGGTGTGTACAACATGGCTGATCCGCAACTTATCTGCGCGTCATAGGTGGTGGCTGGTGGTGGGGCCATTGAAATGGAGCTGTCGCGCCACTTGCGAGAGTACTCACGCACGGTCGAAGGCAAGGCGCAGCTCCTGATCAACGCGTTCGCCAAGGCATTTGAGATCATCCCTCGCCAACTGAGCGACAACGCTGGCCATGACTCGACTGACATCCTCAACCGACTGCGACAAAAGCACTTCAAGGACCCCGAGACGGGCAAGTGGTTTGGAGTCGACATCAACTCAGGTGGCATTTGTGACACGTTTGAGTCGCATGTGTGGGAGCCTGCGGCCAACAAGGTGCTTGGATATGATGGTTGATCAAACGGTGAGGCTGACCGTGGAAACTAGATCAACTCGGTGGCGGCGGCAACAGAAGCGGCGTGCTTGATCCTGAGCGTCGACGAAACTGTGCGAAACCCCAAGTCGGAGCAGCCACAAGCCGGTGTCGGCGGTGGTCCAGGCGGCGCGCCATTGAGTGCCGCCATGGGTGGCCAAGGCATGAAAGGCCTTGGCATGGGCGGCCGAGGCGGTGGATTAGGCAAGGGAGTGCGTGCATTCCGCGGCAAGGGTGGCGCATAATCATGAGTTAGCATATAGGACCAATCTTCTTTTTGGAGATAATTACACCACACGATTTCAATTTGAAGTCTTGGATCAAAACAAAATGTGCTGTTACTGTCGGTGTGCTTACTACCATTTTCGTCGTTGCGTGGCATCTATGATGGGGCTCTGTGGAGCAGGAGCTTTATAGATGAGGCAGGCTAGAATATCCTCTTCTTGGGCGCATGTAGCTATGAACGTGCATGTCGACTGACGTGCTACACAGTGCTCGAGCCTCCAAGGCCATGGGACTTGCACCAGTGTGATATGCGACGATGGTGATAATATAACATTCGGGTTGGGATGGAATTAGCCTGTTTGTTTTCTGTGCGGCGGGGTGGTCTACTTGAGCTGCTTGACAACTTCCATGATGGATTTAAAGCTAAACGGTTCGGTTGCCGCGATGTCGGCCAGGACCTTGCGGTTCAACTGAATGTCGGACGTGTTCAGGACCCCCATGAACTTGGAGTACGACATGCCTTCTTGACGTGCTCCGGCGTTAATCTTTTCAATCCACAACGAGCGAAAGTCCTACATGAAAGTGGTGAGGTCGTGAGCCCGATGCACACGCGGTCACTTACACGCTTTTTTTGCTTTCGGTCACGGTACTGGTACTGCAGACCCTTTTCCACGCGGTTGATGGCCGTTCGGTAGCACGAGTTGGCGGCACCGCGGTAGCCCTTGGCCATCGCCAGGATCTTCTTGTGCTTGGCCCACGACATGTTCTTCTTGATCGCCTCGGATTCTCAAGGAATGATGCGGCAACGCAACTTGCAAATGACCACCAACAATTTTAACCGGATATCTCATGTCGTATCCGAATTCACCTCTCCGGATAATTTCCGGATAATCTGATTTGTCCCGTTTTTAGCCTAGCACGCAACGCGATCGACAATGTCGATCACGGTGAGCAACTACTGGGGCGTCATTGCGATCGCGAGCGTCGTGTTCGACATCGATGTGGGCCAGTCGCTCGACATGGTGTACCCTGAGGCAGTGGCGCTTTCGGCTGAGGTGAAGCAGAGCATTGCTTATTTGGCGCTGCCGCACAGCAACAAGCTCGTCGAGGGCGACACACAATTCTCATTTCGAGTTCGCCGCCAAGACGCATCATTAAACGCCGATAGCTGCACCAGTACCGACAGCGACGCGACGTCGTTGTCGCCTTCGTTCTACTACGGGTTCGTCCTCTTCCGCCAACGGAAAGACGCGACGCAAAGCCGTGGATACTTTCAAAAGTCGATGGTAGTTCTCACCGAGGTGCCATTCGTGGGTCTATACGATCGCGTGCTGCGCATCGTGGGCCCGCTATTCTTTCAAGTGGGCAACCCACTACTACAGGCACTTTACGAGAACTTTGGTCAATGGTACTCATTTCAGAGCCAGCCTGACAGATATTAACTATCGTTCTCGCGTAGGCCAGCTCCCGTGGCCAATTCCACCATGGCCCTCCAGGTGGCAGGGACCGTCGTGACGTTTGTTGTGCCCAAGACCATATCATATCAGGACGCAACGCTGTACACACGACGGTGGAGCATTGACGACGAGTCGTTTGACGTGGAGCTTGGAGATGTCGTTGATGAAGCCACCGACGACGACAGGGTCGGTGCCACCACCGACAAGACGATCATCCAAAATGGCAAGTTTTGCATTGTCCACAGCACCGACGTCTCGGCGTCCGAGGCAGTGCCTCCACCTTTGTGCTTTGCCGATTGGCTCAATCTGAACGAGCTTGGAATGTCGTTCGAGGTACACCGTCTCAGTTGGAAAGTTCCCAAGCGTCACACCGTGACAGAGCGTCGGCCTCTATTCGAGCTTCGAAGGCGTTGAAACGTGTCTGTGGGACCTCTGGCAGCTGGCGATCACTGGCGACAGCGTCCTCATGGCGTCGCCAAATGCTCGCGTGTGCAGCCAGGCCGTACTGGCCTTCACCAGGTCGGTCCATACTCATCATCCACCATGGATCTTACTCTTGCCACTTGCATGTTTAGTCTCATTGCTCCAGTTCCCTTTCGAGGAGACTTTCGACCGTATTTTACGCTGTACGAGCCCGATTTCAATGTGCGAAGTGCACAACGCCAAGCGTTCATCGCGTTGTGCTCACCGAGTTGCTCAGGTTTTGGCTAAAGCTAGCGAATCTAACTTGGCGCTGCCCACGACAATACTGGGCACAACGAATCCATTCTTCCTCAAGGTATGCATCTACGCTGATTTTCACAACGTTCAACCAATACTTCGACGGTGCAGGCCCTCAAGCGGTGGCCGAACGCTCTCTTGTTCCCATTTGCAGACGCGCCACCCCAACCATCCACACGTGTGTCGCCTTCGTCAAGCCATCGTCCGCTACGGTATAGAAGTCGGCTAACCTGTTGTCTCGATTTAGATCAAGTGGACGACTCAAGTAGCGGTGGAGCTCCCGTCACAGTTTACAAATGCATCAAGCGAAACGTCGACTTGGATGTGTATTCGGACGTTGAATCGCCCAAGGTACTGCCCATCCAGACATGGCAAAGGGTGCAGATGCGCACGTCGACTGTAGCTATTGACGCGAACGACGCGCCTGGTCGTTCCAGACAACACGATCCTGAGGCAGTTGGTCGAGCCTAACTCAACGGAACAAGAGGCAGCCGCCCCAGGAGAGGAGCAGCCTTACGTTTCCATCAACAACGCACTCCTTCGAAAGGTATACTACATGCCACGATCGGTCGGTTCGACATGACAATCCTCACTGGGCGATGGTCAACGTAGCACTTCAAACACGTGACCGAGCTGTTTCTAAAGCCATTTGAAGTGTACTTTGGAATCTGGTCGAATCATTTGGGGGTACATCCGACTCCTTACATGGACATTGCGTCCTTCATGAAGCCATTCCACGCCAAGGCATGAGCTGTCGAGTTTCCAAAACGACCCGAACGTGTTGATGTCGTAGGAATTCCTCGCGGCGCTCGGGAAGCGGTCGCTGAAGTTGCCGTTTGCGCTGCGGACGACAAAAGCCAAGGTCAAAATGCTGTACGCTCGGTTCATTGCATCGCCGCACTTCCAGCCGTGGTTCAACTACCGTCGCAACGAGTGCATTGAAGCGTTTGATGGCATGCTGCACACGTTGCGAGGGACGATCTCATCTCAGGACCTCATGCGGGAGCCGAGTGGCATCGGCATGGCCCTACCTGCCCTGTACACCCTCGCGGCCCAGGTAAGTGATGTGCCAAACTACTTGTGTTACCTCACGTCTAAATGTCGTAGATCGACAAGATGATCGCCGTCGAATCGGCCAAAGTTCCTGTCGATGCGGCGCACCTCGAGATTTTACACCGTCATTTGCGCGACGTGCAGGACGCGATAGCGAATGGAAACCACTAGCGACCCAATGCCATGACTCGAGGGAACTTGGTAAAGGATCCCTTGAGGGCGAGCTGCATCTCCAAGGTCGAAATCAGCCCCAGCAACGGCGTGATCGAGTGCAGCTGCTCGTCTTCAGAAATCGCAGAGAACGGCGGCACGTGCACGAAGTGCACGTACCTCATCATATTGGCTGGATGAAGTTTCGGCGAGGACGGGAGATGGAGAGATATCGTACCTAGTTCTTCGCCGCGCGCTTCTGCGATATGCAAAAGCGAGAAAAAATATGAGTAGTTGCAAATGTTCGACCTAGGCCAGTGGATAATTCGACCCTGACGCGTTGCTCCTTGAGCGTCGCCAAATACGATTCCACTGGCAGATGTGTCGTGGTCGAGTCTGTTTGATCTACGCCAATCTTACTGTCCAGGGCGATCCCGCCCATGCTCGTCTGGGATGGAAGGCGACGTTGCACCCGACTTGGTCGAGCAAGATGGTCTTGGTCCCGTCATGGACACTTAATTAGATAAACACGGTGGTTTCGTCCGCGTGGGATCGTGGCGTTCCTGGAGTATGCGAACTCGGCGACAGTGGACGAGATGTACGTACTTACCTCGGAGTCAGCCCAAAGCTGCACGCACGTCTTGAGCCGACACTTCCAGCGCGAACGAGTCGTGGAAGGTCAAGTCGCCGTTCAACAACGTCACGAGTTTCGTCGGGGAGTGGACTGAGCACACTTGCAGAATCCTGCCACGATGATCGTGACTATTTTGCGTGTGACGAGGATGGGGGGGGACAGACAGGGTTCACCCACTTTCTCGAGCCGGCTCGTCGACGGACGAGATCCACGTGCCATCGACCCTGAGGCTTGACCTTTGGCCGTCCCCCTGAACAAAGCATCAGTGGTACCGTTCGAACAAACGATTGTTGTCGCACGCGGGTGTGTGTTAAAACCCAATCACCTTTCTCACCCATGTACCAATTTTCCCAGAGTGGAGAGGATTGGTCGCTCGGTGACGCGCACGATGGGGGCTCACTCCTCGCCAATGCACAGCCTGCAGGAATTTTTCTCACGACTCCCGCCACGTTCCAGTGTGTGGGATTTCCTGGGCGACTACAAACGCTGTCGCAGCTTGCTGCTGAGAGGCATATAGTTGTCTTCATGGTTCACGCAAAAACAAAGTGTGTCGGTACATATTCCACTGCTGAAGCGGTCGATGTGTGGCGCAACTCGATTTTAACAGAGTGGAAGGGTAACCAATAAACGACACCGCCTTCGCGAATTCACGCACTCTATGAAGATTACAAAGTTGCATGCATAGCGGCGACGAGAGTCTTAACAGCGTGGAGCTGTTCTTCTTGGGGCTGCACGGTGAACGAAGGCACGTGGACGAACAACGCGTACTACGCACATCATGCTATCATGCAAGGGGAGGAATCGAGGAAAACGTACGTGGTTGGGACGACCCTTTGTTTGGGAAAGAGACAGGAAGTACGTGTAATTGCAAATGTAGCGACCGGGGTCGTTCGAGATCGCCATCTTGCAGCCCTGTTCCGTGCAGTGCGCGAGGAGCTTTTCCAAAGGAAGCGACGTCTCCAGGGACGCGGCTTCATTTTCCGTGATAGTTTCGTTGTTCGCAACCCATCCTCGTTCGTCCGGGATGCCAAAGTTGGCCAAGTTGTACCCGAATTGCTCCAAGTCGATTTGCTTGCCTCCAGCATTCACACCCATATGAAGGAAGACCGTGGGCTCGTCCGCATTCTACCCAACGCCGACAATTTGAAGTAACATCAAGGCATTCTCACGAGGACGACATCAGTACCTCTGCTGCGTGTTGCCACATCGGCTCCAAGGCAGCGCGGACTCCGTCTGCAGAGACTTCCAGCACGTGGGTCTCGTGGACGTTTGGATCGTCCTTCAGCAGTTCTACCAACTTGGTCGTCGGGTTGTCGACGATATTGCCAAACTTGCCGAACCCCGTCACGATGATCTTGACCATGCTCGATGCGGCGTTTTCGATTGTGATGGCCGGCGAAGTCTATTGACTGTGGCTTGGTCAAAATAGTCATGTGGATGTAATACCCAACTCCACACGGTCAATCACATACGCTATACATTTTGATTGGCTAATGTATAGATTTACCCACCCAAATCAATGATTAACCTGTTGAAAATATCCTCTGAGTAGTCAAAACATCTCATGCACTGTCTGTGCCATCCTGCCCGCCATCGTGCGAACTCCTCCTCCCACGAGACTTTTCGCCATGGGAGGGGCTGAAACACCATCGCAAACGATAACCCGTTGAGTTGTGCTGCATGGGCACGGCGTAAGTGTGGTTTCAGTCGTTGAAAGGAGATTGAGTTCCCAATTTCATGTCATGATGCATGAGTACGTTGACCAGCCGAAGGACACACGCTGTTCGGCTCACATCAATGCGTGCTGTAGTATTGTCCGTGCATGACGTGGATCCGAATCGGTGCTCTGCGCGTTAATCTGATGTAGGGTGCGCGTCAATCCGATCCAAATCCGAATTCTTGTCGACGATTAGCTACAGCGTGGAGTGCAACGTGGCGATCAAAGCCCGCAGGCTGTCGACTTGATCCTTTTCGCTAATCACGTCAAAAGACGGAACGTGGATGAACAACGCATGCTAGAAAGGATCAAACAATGGTGCGATGCTTGTTCAAACGCACCTGGTTCGCGTGAAGTCTCGTGCGAGAGAGCGAATGAAAGTACGTGTAGTTGCAAATGTATCGTCCAGGGTCGGTTGATATGACAAACCTGCATGGGACGCCATGGACTTGGTGAAGAGCCACATACTTTTCCAACGGCAGCGTTGTCGACAAGACGTCCGCTTCACCCTGGAGAATGGTCTCGTTGTGGCAAACCCACCCGCGTTCGTCTGCCAGGTCAAACGTTGCCTCGTTGTACGCGCATTGTTCCAGCACAATGTGCTTGGCGTCATCACTATCTCCCAAGTGCAAGAACACGGTCGCTTCAGATTCATTCTACGACGCAGGCTTCCTATGACAACAGCCTCATCGACGCGCGACCTCACCTCGTTTGCATCTTGCCACAAGGGTGTCATGGTTTCACGGACAGCTTCCGCCGCTATTTGAATTACAAATGCAGCGTCGACATGGGGATCCTCTCGCAGGTGCTCGGCCAGCGCCATCGTTGGGTTGGAGTACCCCCGGAAAGTGCCGAGCGCAGTCACGATTACCTTTACCATGACAGGACTCGTACGTGAATGGAGGTATGGATTGTGCAGTCGTCTGAGTGAGTTGTAATCATTATGAGAAATACGGATACAAAACTCAAGATTATCAGTCGAAATTAAAATATAATCCGTGTAGTGCGATTTCCGACATCTTCCCGCCATGCCACACGAAGTTGACATTGCCTCCATTCGAGAGTGCACACTTGGGCTGCACGATCGGTCACGAAAAGATCATCGCTGCTCTTACAGCACACTGTTGTTCTGGCTCATGGTTTGCATGGACGATGGAGTCATCCAGTGTACATGGCATTAACATGCAGTAGCGGTGGTCGGGTCCATATCGCCTGACGTGACAGGTACCTAGCCAAACAAGAATCCGATCGAGCCTTTGCTGATGCCAGCGATGGTGGAAGGCAGAAAGGAGGCACTTTTGTTGAGACGGTGGACGACTTCGTCAAGCAAGGCCGTTGATGCACGCAACTCCCTCGAAGGCAGCTCTGGACCGTTTCCTTCAGTCGAGCTGTCCGCTCCTGGGACAGAGAACAGGACTTTCAGCACCTTGTGCGGATGGGACAACTCGGACGTTTGGATCGTTGCATCCCAGCTCAGCACTTGCACAAATAAGCGCCGTCTGTCGCTCTCATCAACGATGTCAAAGCGGAAGATCCCGTCCGACTCGATCACTTCCAGCATTTGAGACACAAGTACTGCATCGCACGAGTAGGACGCAAAAATTCCGTCCCGTGTGTCGATGCAATGCTTGAAAAGCCGCACGTTCATGTTGTTTTGGATGGTTCCGATCGCCGTGGTGCAATTTGCACAAGAAATCTGAGCGTCGTTGGACGACGTCTTGGCCACTTGGACACTGTCCAGGTTGATGTTGGACGCGTGCAACAACAGATCGGCGGACGCTACGTAGATGCGCCCGGCCGCAGCTTCGATGCCGTCTCGAGGGATGTGCTCAAACGCGCCTTCTGCCGCTCCCCAGAAATCCGCCATTTCCATCCAGTTGGACGACGGCAGTGGCAGAGCCTTCACCCACAGCGGGCCTTCCTTCTTGAGGTTGGCGTTGCACGATCGACAAAGCAGTTGCGAGTAGTTTTGAACCTAGGGTGGTGTTATGATCACTTTGGTGATTCCAAGGTGAAGGTAACGTGCCTCGAGCTCAGCATGTGGAATTGATCGCGATGTCAAGCCAACGGTCATCGACGACTTTCGGCTTTCTTTCGCGGCGGCCGTGAGAGGAATACGAATGTGAACGTGATCTTTTTGGACTCGGACGATGCTCGATGTTGCGTCCACGGCATGATCCAGGGCCACGTCCAGAAGTTTGTGCTGTGAACTCGTGAGTAGTTGAAACTTCTTCGAACTCGGATCTAGTTGGACGAACGGGACCGTTGTTGAGTTCGTCATGTCGATATGCACGTAGCACTGGTAGCACCCAATGTTTGCTTGGAATTCAATAGCGTATTCGGGTTGCATCGTGACATCGGCCAACGTAGTGTCCAACTTTATAGCGAGCACTTCCACTTCGTCCGCGTACGCTTTCTTGGCCTGCAGTGCACTTGTATATAGTTCCTTCTCTCGCTCGTAAGCTCTTTGGGATTCTAGAAGATGTCGTCGCGCAGCTTCTACCTCGCGTTTTGCCTCTTCAAACTCCTTGAGCAGCGCCGCCGCTGCTTCTGCCATCGTGCCGGGCAGAGCAATTGTGGAATAGTTCGACAAGGGATCTGTGCATCCATTGGTCAAAATTTCATCATGCCAATTTCGGATAACCCATCAGTAACCGTACATATGACGTGGCAGCTTCACGAGGAAGCATTGTCAATTACACTTATCACGTGGACAGCGCGCCGAGCTCACACTAGCGACGGGTAGCTGGCCTCAGAGGTGACGCCACATGTCCCATCAGTGTTGGTGCGCGTTCGGCGAAGGTAGATAAAGCCTTGGTCCCCCCACTCTTCGCCCCACGAGTTCTTGATCTTCCAGTGGGAATCCGTGTAGCCGACGACGACGACGGCGTGGTCGAGTGCCGACGTCGAGCACGAGTTCAAGACGCCGCTTTTGTATTGCTTCCACTCGTTGTTGCCTGCAGCAACACCTGCTACGACTGTGCGTTGTTGCAGAGTCGAAACGAGGGAAATGTCACCGGCCGCCACCGACACCGCCTTCTTCACCCCTGTAGCCGTCATGGCGCAAGACGTGGAGCAGCTTTCGTTTTGCGAAGTAGATCCAGACACATAAGGGTAGTCTTCGAGTAAGCACACACCCGCTGATGCTACATAATCGATGGCTTTGGTGGGGTAGCCGCCTTGGCACCCCATGTTCCCTGACATACCATCGTACATCAGAACGGCCATACCGAAACAAGGACGCACCGGTAGCCGTATCGCACGAAGTCAGCTGCTGCTCGGATAGCTTGACAAGCGACTTGGTAGGGGACGCCAAGCACATGGCCGTCTCAACGGCCGAGATCGTGGCAAACGCCCAGCAGGAGCCGCACTGCCCTTGTTGCTGGACGCTGTTGACACAGCCAGACGTCATCCAGTCGCGAGAGGGCGGCACCGCTGAGCTGCCAACATCGGCAGATCGCCCAGCGACCAAGGTTGCCGCAGTTTGGTTGGCAACCGACCGTGTCATGATCGTCTTGAACTCGGTCGTCGAAAGGAGCGAAAATGGAGAGTCCATGGAGAACTTGGCGTCAGGGTGAAGGAGGTTGAGACGCTCAACATCTTGCTTGGTTTCGTAAAATCGCGTCAGCTCCGCTGTAGTGGACTCGAGGCGAGGAAGGAAACCGTGCGCTTTGGCCACTTGGCCAGCACGACTCGCTCGCCACGCCTCCAATTCGGCGGTCAGATCGCTGAGCTCCGCACCAGTTGGTAAGGCACACGTCAAGCCGAAGCTTGCGACAGCGATGGGAAGAGTAAATCGAGACGAAACCATGGGGAAAGGGTGGTGGTGGAACGGATGCAGTTCAAAAGTGAGTCCAACAACATTCAACCACATTGCTGGGAAATATCGAATCCAATGTGCTCTTCCCCATCAGGAGGATCATCGAGCTCCAGCGCATCTGTGAAATCTTGAATGGGAGCGCGGATTTGATGCCGAATGATGCGTTGCGGTGGACAATCGCTCTGATGGATATAGATGGCGCATGGAAGCGGAAAGCCAACACGTTCGATAGCCAAACGCGGTCCAGCTCTTCCTTTCGCACGACAGACCATGAACTAGTCTGAGCTTCTAGTGCCTTTGCCTTTCTTGGAAGCGTGCGCCACTCGTTGGTGCATCAAATCCCAAGGATTCGTCTTGGATGTGTGTGCCAACACAAGCATTCCTCCACATGTTATACCAACTTAGACGATTTCGCCTTGGTTGTCTGTTTCGTTGAATTTGACCCAGTCGAGTGCAATGGGGGCACCCATGACGTAGTCGGGAATGTCAAACGCATGAATCAAGTGAAGAGCATCGTCACCAAGGCCGCCTTCGTTGGAACTGCACAACTCTTTGACCACGTTGTCCACCTAAAGCAAAAAAGAACTTGAGATCACGTTGATGCAATCACACCAATTCCTTTGTACCTCGTTCCCGATATCGGTGGCGACCACATTGTTGCATACGTACCACCCCAAGTCGCGTTGGACGCACGTCACGCCGTACAAGAGCGCCAGCTTGGTCAAGGTTGGTCGCAGCTCCACGTTCCTCGAGTCTTGCAGGGACTCGAGAGTCGCTTCGAACGACATGCGCTCGACGTATGAGAGCGCAATGTCTTGGATCAGCGCAGACTGTTCCAGCATCCAAACCTACGCATGCAGCATGCAGTGAGACCAAGTCAGATGCACCCTCGTCTCACATCAAACACAGTTTTGCCCTGTTCCATGTCACTCTTCATGATCTTGCCCAGCTTGCCAAACAACGCAGCTTCGCGCACGCCAAGCAAATACTTGAGGTACTCGAGGTCATTCCACGACGGCGTGCCTGCAAATGGTTTGTCCGCAGCTACAAGCAAAGAGATTCGTTTGACTATTAAAACAAGGGGCAACGAACTTGGAGACAGTTTGTATCGGCCTTGCTTGAGCAATTCGCCAAGCTCCTTGGTAACCTTGGTCATGAGCACACGGTTGTCGCCCTCGGCCGTGATAGCAGCATGGGAAAACCCCAAAACTTCACCAAAGCGATTCGCTGACAGATATCCCTGACCACCGCACCGTTCGCGGCAGATACTCACGACGTTTTCCGAGTTCCACGACACGACCGGCTTGATCGCCGAGCACAGCACAACGAGCTCGAGGCGTTCCAGCGGGTCTTTCGACTTATTCCACGCCTTGTACTTGTCTTTGACGACATTAAGTCCGTGAGCAAGGACATATGTGCGGGCGACGAGAGGCAGCAAAGTTTGTTTCTGAAGGCCATAGTGCAAGATGGCTGTGTCCGACTTGCCTTTGGGCCCGACGGTCGCGCGGCTGGCGGCATACCTACCAAGCATCCAATCGTATCATGGTCCATTCCATATTTGCTCTGGTCAACGTCACTCACCGCATTGCAATCGCCAACGACAGCTTTGTCCCACCCATTAACATGGCGGCGATGCACACACGACCACTGAGCAATTGATCTGCATGGCTTTCGTGCGTCAGATTCCATCCATGAAACAGTCGCGATCACGTGCTCACCCGCGACAGCCAAAAATCGACCACGCTTGCTTGGTACGTGACTCGTGAATGTTCCATCGGCACTCACTTGCGAGAGCGCATCCAGCATGTTGGCACGGGGAATGCGGACGTTGTCAAACAGAATTTTCCTACCACCAAAACGATAAGCACCAGATCGCATGGAGGCCAACGAACGCCACAAAAGTACAACTTGCCCGTTGTCGACGCCGTTGCAGCCCATTTTGTGCCCCATGTCCTCCACGCGCACATGTTCGCTCACAGTCATGTCTTCGTTGCGAATGCGTACAAGGAAGGCGTGGATTCCGTGCTGCTCGTTCTTGACCTGCAATTGGGCAAACACGACGACCCACTTGGCATGCACTGGAATGCAAAGTCAAGGAAGGTTGAGAACCATCGGGGCAAACCTGCAGAGTTGGTAATCCAGTACTTTTGCGCCAACACGGTAGGGGTGTTGATGATAAACTCATCGGTAGCGTCATCGTACACCGCCGTCGTCTCTTTGTAGAGAACATCGATGAGCTCCAAACACCATTGCACGGTCGAAGGTCGTACCCATTTCAACGGCATTGTTTCCATACCCCAGCTCAGTCAAGCCAAAGCACCCAACAGAGTCTGCATGAGCCAGTGAGATAGTGTATCGAGGGTGGAGTTCAGTGACAACATCACATACCCAACGAATCGATCTCGTCGACGAAGCGTTCGTGGTGCTTCTCCGTCCCAAGCTTCAACACAGTGCCGCCAAACAAGTTGAACTGTACCGTCATCTTGGTTGCCATGGAAGGGTTCGTGAGACCGGCGATTTCATGGGCCGCGTAAATATTGTGCGGGTTCGTGTGGAAGTCTTTAACCGAGAAGAACTTTGCATCACAAATCTTCTTCAATTGACTCAGCGCAATTTCCCGTTCCTCGGCGAGGGGAATGTTGTACCTGCCCATAAACTCCCCATGAAATGGTGAATTCTTGCATTATCGGTATTCACATACCGCGGTCGGAACGAATCGTCTTTGAGGAATGCTTTCAACTCGCGGCGCATGTCGCGGTTGTCGGGATCAAGCCACTCGTTCATCTTGTCGATCGGGAACGGCGACACTTTGTGCCCAAACTTGCTTCTCTCCTTGGCCACGTCAAAGCCCAGCGGGCGGGTGAAGGGAAGGCTGGAAAAACTCTTCACCGCATGGTAACGATGCAGCGAAAGGCGCGCGGACGATGCCGACTGGAACATTGTGTGGAAGTCGCTTTTCGCTTGTGTGTTGGCAAAAAGATCCGAACCAGGGCCAGGAAGTCCGGATAATTAACGGAAGGTGCGTTTATCTGGCATTAGTGCGTTTTTACTTTGTCAACGAAACAGTGTTCTCCAGAATTGGGTGCGTATTTCGTCGAGTCCAATGCCCATCTTCAACTTGGGTTCGCTTTGGTGCGACCAACTGGCTGGCCGCGATCTACATGGACAAGCTCGATGGCGCGAGAGTGGCGCTGAATCTACAGACTCGTGTAGATTGAAGTGGCGGAGCAGGGAGCTATGCCGGCATGTGTGACGGCTCAAGGTGGGGACTATAATTGTTCGACAATGTCAACATGGAAGGTTCATTCCTCGTCGGGTTCGATGACAAAGTACACCAGCAACATGAACGAAAGCCATGGGGAGAAGATTGCCATCTGCATGATCAACTTGTACGTTGTGTTAATGTTGGATGAGTTTGCATCGAGTCGTCTCAGTGTCGCTGGGACGCTGTGACTCCATTGTTGCCATTGATTGCCTCGGTACGTAGACAATAGGCACGCCTTGTGGCTAGTGCGCGCATCCATGGACGTATAAAAGACAGATTCTTGGAACCGACGAAACATCAATGAAAGAGTTGGCACATGCGATGAGCAACCGTTAAGAGCTCGAACTCTATCGGTTCCGCCGTATGTTGCGTTCAACCAGGCTGGTGCAGATTGCCTCATGAAAGTCGTAATGATTTTCAAAACATTAACCAATCGGTTTTGCATGTGAGCATATTTTTATCCAATCAATAACCCTTAACAGTTCGGTCGGTGTCCCCAAAACTTCGAGAGTGACTTGCAATGCTCGAAGACACGGCGCAAGTCATCGAGGCGACACTCGCGCCAGCCTTCGCCCAGTTCGCCATCGTGGGCAACCTTTTGACACCGCTCAAGTTCAAGGCGTTGAATGCTTACGTCGATAGCATTGTGTCCCCCACGACACCACCGCCCGATGTCGTGCGGTACATGGTGTGCCTCTTTGGAATGTATCCGGTTGCGGCCATGTTCGCGCTCCTCCCGTCGCCAACGATCAAACATGCTGTTAGCTTGGGTTTGGGTGTCATGATTGCACAGTTTGTGTTTGGGTCGGCGTGGGTGCACACTCTCGTCATGGCGCTGGGGTCGTACTTGATATTGTTGTGCGGGTCTCGACGCCACATCGGCACAATCTCCATGGTGTGGAACTTGGTGTACCTGTCGTTTTCCCACGTGTACCGCATGTACGTCGACTACATGGGCGTGACGTTGGATATCTCAGGGCCTCAAATGGTACTGTGCATGAAGCTGACGGCGTTGGCCTACAACCTGTACGATGGTACGGTGGATGCGCCTCGCCTAGCTTCCAAACCGGACAGCACAAGTCTCGCGCGGGTTTTTGCTTCTCGGAAGGCGCTTGCCGTCTCGTCCGTGCCGTCCGTGCTGGAATACCTTTCGTACGCATTCTGTTTCCCAACCTTTTTGGCCGGGCCAGCCTTCGAGTTTCGCGAGTTCATTGACGTCATCCATGGGATCAAACCGGCGGGCCCAGGCCGTATTCGCGCGGGCGTGACGAAGTTGGCAATTGGGCTTTTTTATGTGGGCTGGACAGCGGCGTTGGGAATACAGTACCCGACGACGATGTTCTTCGACGACGCGGTGGCAGCGCTGCCGTGGTACCAACACATTCCGACGCTGTACTTTGTGTTTTTCCTCTTCAAGTGCCGATTCTATGGGTGCTGGACGGTTGCGGAAGGCGCAACAGTCCTGTGCGGGTTTGGTTACGAAGGCATTGTGGACGGAGCGCCTCGATGGAACGGTGTACAGTACATGAACGTTTGGGAGTTCGAGTTTGCGACGTGCCACCGCGACAGCACGAGGAAGTGGAACAAGATCACCCAGAGTTGGCTCGAGAGGTACATCTACTCCCGCACCAACAACTCGCTCATGGCCACGTACTTTGTGTCGGCGTTTTGGCATGGATTTTACCCTGGGTACTACATGTTCTTCATGCTCATGCCCCTTCCCACCGTCGTGAATCGCCTTGCGCGAAAGAAACTGCGGCCGTGGTTTCTGGAAGCAGATGGGTCGACAGGGTTGAAGAAGAGGGTGTACGACATCGTTGGCGGCGTTCTTAACGCGTTGAGTATTCACTACATCTCGCTGCCCTTCCTCACGTTAGGATGGACCGAGTCGATCCAAGCGTATGTGAACCTCAAGTTCTCGGGGCACATCATCCTTGGCACGCTCTTGATCATCTTGTACTTAGCCCCTAGTCGAGAACACCCCGCAGTTAAACGAGAATAGATGCATGACAAACGTATGCACACTGCTTTGGTGTGAGCATTTTGTCCACTCCATCGCTTGAACAAAATCTCTGGGGGACGTCGGTATGTCATCACTCACTGACTTTGAAAGAATGAGCCCCTCCGTCTCCATTGGGAGCTTCTCGGCGGAGTTGACGTCGTGATAGCTGTACATCTCGGCTATGCCGTGAATCGTTCGCCTTGGTGGCGCCGCAGCAACCGTCCTGCACGCGTCCAACACAACAAAAGGATGTGTATGCAATTATCCGGATGATTGATTTACCGGATGCTGGGCAAGCATACAAATCCCAAGAGCGCTATTGAATGGCATTCCATTTTGATTTGAAGTTCAAAAGGACGAGAACGATGTCGGTGTCCACGGAAGTGAAGGAGCTCGTGGAGTTCCTGTCGAACCCCCGCGCAGACGTGCGCCAATCTGCGATCCAGCTGACTGTCGGCCTCACGGGAACTGACTCTGGCATCCAGCAACTGATCAAGGCAGATGCAGTGAAGGCGCTTTGCCGCCTTATCGGAGACTTGAACGCCATTGCGCGCGACGCGATTCACGCCCTGGTCAACATCACGGCTACCCACCCTGGAGCGTGCGAAAACGCGTTGAAGCACGACATTGTGAATCGCTTGATGAATCAGTTGGACTCGGACTTTCAGCACAAGGACTTGTCCGTGATGCTACTTGCGAACGTCACAACCACTCCCGACGGTACACTCAGATCATGATGAACACCCTTTGTGATGATATTGCACTGATTCATCTTGGCCTAGGTGCAAAGGCTTTGGTGACAAACGATGCCAAGTACAGCGTGCGTGAAGTGATCCTGCAAAACTTGACCATTCGATTCCTCGAAAGCGAACCGGAGCCTGATGGCCTTGACCCGGCCACGAATGAACCCAAGTGGGACGACGATTACCAATACGTCGCCAACGTCCTTGCAAATATCACACAGCTGGAAGAAGGCCGCGCGTTTCTCCTGCAACTTCGCCCCAAGCAAAATCAACCTGGCCACGTGCAATCGCTCGTCCACGTGCTACTGCCACAAGTCCACTCGCCGAACGTAGTGCGCCGCCGCGGTGTTATTCAAGCTCTTCGCAACCTGTGTTTTGACAGCGACAACCACTTCTTTCTCTACGACACATTGGACATTGTAGCACACATGCAGCGCCGCCTTGCTGGTCCTGAACCGATGGAAGACTCGGACAAGGTCGGCATGCCAGCATCCGTTTTGGCTGTCCTCAATCCAAAGAAGAAGCGCGAGACCGATGCTCAAGTACGCAAGGACATCATCGAATGCCTTCTCCTCCTGTGTTCATCTCGCAACGGCCGAAACATCTTACGTCAAAAGAAGGTCTACCCCATCGTGCGCAATGCACATCTCGTGGAAGCGGACGAAGACGTGAGCGATCAAATCTACAAACTGGTTGACTTCTTGATCCGCGACGAAGAAGGCGAAGAGCCCGATTGGAATGAAATCCGTGCCAAATCGTTGGGCACGGACGATATTCCATCGCCGTCTCTAGCAGCCGCATCGACACAAGTGGCTGCGCCTAGCACCAGTGCGCAAAAGGAAGCACCCAAAGCCAGCCAAGTGCCCAAGCCTGTAAAGCCTACAGCACCTGTCACGCCATTGGTGGACGAAGAAGTCGAGGATGCTCGAGCGGCAGCCATCGCCAAGGAAATCGCCATTTTGGACGTCAGCAGTGACGAAGAAGACGACGCGCCACCTTTAACCAACTAAACGGCGCTCTAAACACCTTAGTAGTATGTTATTCCAAACCGTGTGGCTGAAAGGGTTTGATTTACTCAACAAAATTGCTCCTTCCACTTGTGCGCCGTGCTGGGAATGAAACGTCGTATCATCAAAGTCTCCATTATGCCAGTAACCCTGGTGCGAATATGCCAATTCGACCCCATGTCGACAGGGCACAACAAGAAAGTGCTAAAGCGGTGCCATTCGGCCATCGCGGGATGCGGACCACACGGGTTCCGCGAGGACGATTGCTTTCGTTCCCTTATCCCGGATGAACCTGCGAAGTTGAATAACCTGTGGAACCGAGTCTGAGATCTAGCGAGTTCTGGGGAGGACACCATGATTGATGTTTGCCCACTGCCGCATCGCGACGGTCGGTTGAAGCCACGGCATGTCCAGGCGTTATTGTACTCCAACGTCGCCAGACAAATCACGGCATTTCAGCCTGGGCTGCACTACGACATGCGAGTATTGAAGGGCCTTCAAGTGCCCCGATTCGACTCGCACGACTTGCTCGCGGCGTGGATGCACGTCGACGCTGTCCTCGCTCCGTGGCTAGCCTTGCACAAGATGTCGCGGCTCAAGCTTCTCTTTTCCTGCCTCCCACACTTAAAACACGTGGTTGCCATTCACGCAGCTATCACGGGCAACGTCCCGTTGCTGAAACATTTGCATTCGCAGTTGAATGTCCTCATGGTCACCCCATACTACGTTGTCGACTTTGCCGCCTGGTCCGGCCATTTCGACGCCCTCGTGTTTTTGTTATCTATTCGCCACCGTGGCATGTCCGCACATGCTTTGAGTCAGGCTGCGCGACACGGCTACGTCCAGATTGTGCAATTCTTGCTACGTCACCTCCACAGCCGTAGCCCGACTGCGGTGGTTGCCGCCGCCTCCAATGGCCACCTCAACATTGTTGAATTGCTATGCCCAGATTATCAAGACACCATAGATGACGAAGCCATGGACGTTGCCGCGGCCGGCGGCCACCTCGACGTCGTCAAGTGGTTGTACAACCGAGGCAGTCGGTCGTGGCGCGCGCTGTCAGCCGCCGCAAAGCATGGCCACACCCACGTGATGGAGTATCTCCTGGGTACATCGCACAAGAATTGGGGTCCCGTGTCCATGGACAATGCAGCATCTATGAATTATCTCGACGTGCTGCGGTGTTTGCAAAACCACCCCCATGTTGCGAGCCAACACCGCGCGATTGACGCAGCCGCCACCAATGGGCATTTTGAAGCTGTTCGATTGCTGCACGACATGAAACTCGCCAAAGCCTCGGTCAAAGCCATGGACGATGCAGCGTCCAGGGGATGGCTCAACATTGTTGCATTTCTGCATGAACACAACGCTGCAGGATGTACTCTGGCCGCGATGGACAACGCAGCTGCCCACGGCCACCTGGACGTAGTGAAGTATTTGCACAAGCATCGAAACGAGGGATGCTCCACGGACGCGATGGACTGGGCGGCAACTCGCGGTCATTTGGACATGGTACAGTTTCTGCACAAGCACCGCCACGAAGGATGCACGACGGACGCGCTGGACGGAGCCGCCTCTCGTGGTCACTTGGACGTCGTCAAGTATCTGCATGCCCATCGAAGCGAAGGATTCACGGATGTGGCTATCGATCGTGCGAGTTTGAACAACCACCCTGAAGTCGTGGAGTTCTTGGTTACGTGTGGCCGAGGCCGGGTAACGTCGTCGTGCGCGATTGACGCTGCAGTGGCTCACGGCAACGACCACCTTGTGGATATTTTGTTGACCCACGGGCACCATCCCTCTGTGAATGCCTTGGAGTCGTGTGCATGGTGCAACGATGTGGAAATGTTTGAAAAAATATATCCGCTGGTGGAACCCAGTCATGCCCGAGCCAACGCGGCTCTCGAAATCGTGGCGTATGCTGCAAGCGCGGGGCATTTGACGTTGCTGCAATCGGCGATGCGACTCGGATGCGTGACAACTCCCCCAGACCTGGCGCTTGTCGGCGCCGCTAAGCATGGCCACTTGGAGGTGGTCAAGGTATTAGCTCCACTTTATCACCACCGCCCCATGGCGGCTCTGGACGAAGCAGCCACTTGTGGGCATGCCGACGTCGTGAAATACCTCGACCACGTTGCGTTCCCGTGTACGTGTCGAGCGATGGACGGTGCAGCGACTAACGGCCATCTTCATCTCTTAAAATGGCTGGCCGCTCATCGACAAGAAGGCTGGACGACCGATGCATTTGACGGAGCGTGCCGCAATGGCCATTTAAACGTTGTCCAGTGGCTGTACCCTCAGCGGCAGATTGACATCTCGCCCGATGCATTGACGTGGGCCGTCGACGCTAACTGTCTCAAGTTAGTCGAGTGGCTGACCTTAACTGGCCGTACGCATTTCAACGTTTTGAACGCAATGTCTTGCGCCGCCGCGAATGGCTCGCTGCCCATCTTAGCCCACCTCGTCGAAGTTTACTCGACTTGGTCCGAGATGGATGGAATGGCAGTCATTGCTGCCGCTGGCGGTCACTTGGACATGGTCAAGTGGATCCTGTCGAACTCGAATCGACGAAAATCTATCGAGGAGGCCATGAAGGCGGCCAAGCACGCACAACGACCCATTGTCGTGTCGTATTTGCACACGATTTCTTCAGCAGAGACGCTGGACGACCAAGCGGTCGATGACGATGAGGCCGAAGATGGGGACGAGGACATTGTTGACGTGCACAGCGACACCAGCGATGGCGGCGCACTACTTGAGCAAGCCATGGAATTGGCGGATGACAGTTCCAGCGACGACGGGATCGAATCCGAGTACGAAGAGGAATAAACGAGGAAGCAGCCTTTCGCCACTCGATCTATTGGGATGCCGCGAGCTCATGCGGCTGACTCCGTCGATTCTCTGTAGGAGCGACCTTGACCCATTGCATTTTGCTTTCTGACATGAATGCTGATGGTTGAATCCGTGGACGTGGCTGTCCACACTTTGAAATCGCCATCCCGTGGACGTCTTCGACAGACTGCATGCAAGCAGACGCGTCCTAGCAACTTTTATTGAAACAACGTGAGACGGTGCTACTACACGACTGTCGCCGGTTTCTCGGCAGGCGGGGCGGCCGTGGGCAGCTGGCTGTAGTTACGTCGTGCTTCAGCGTACGACGTGACGATCGGCCCTTTCGGGGATGTATTTAGGTTCCGAAACTGCTCCATCGTCAAGAGTGGCGACTTGACGTCGAGGTGAGTGGTCGCGAGAACCGGCGTCTTGCCGTCGGTGCCGTGCGGGGGGTGCATGGGGTCCAGGGACGGCAGGTTGTGCTGGTGCATGTAAAACACAAACAGGAGCAGCGACCCCGCCGCAAAGACCGACCCGAGTAAGAACGCATTCTCCCACATGTCAAACGTGGTGTCCGAGTCGTCGCCGTAGATGGCGCCGCGACCGCCTTTGCAAAGGTCGCCGTTGCATGCAAACCCGACACGGAGATTGTCCACGTCAAAGAGTGTGTAGTACGTCTTGATAAAGATATCGCCGAGCACCCACCACGCTTCGTCGCTAGAACAACTGACCTGTGAAAACCAACAACGTCAGCGAGATAGCACACCCCGAGTTTTGAAACTGGATGCGGCATGTCTTGCGCGCGTCGCAGGAAATGTAGTCCCGCGGTTGGAGGGTAAAGACGTTGTCTGGTACCATGCCAAGCTTGAGCGGGGGAAAGCTATCCAGGGTCACATCGTGGCACGTGAGCCCATCGCAGGCCAGTCCCCGCGTGATGGCTTGGACAATTTCGGTGTATTGCGTCTCCGGGATACTGATTAACGACGTGCCCGTATCGATCTACTGGCCGGCGTCAAGGACGATTCAAATGACGATCGGCGTACAATGGCATAGCAGAACGGATCACAGTGGTTGTCCGTCTCGTTGCGCACCGAAAAGCCATTCATCCTATCGACCACACGACTCGCTCCGTGAGCTAAACTGGCGCAGCCGAATTGCGACAATTTACTGGACAGCCCAGTACGTGAACGCGTTGAAACCTACGCAGGGCATGGTGCATGGATGGTCAAGTTGCTGCGATCACGAACGATACCTGGAAGCTTGACGGTTGGAGTAAAGTGCCACGACGCGTTGTCACCCACGACGGACAGGTCGTACCCACCCAGATGCAGCTCCGATCCTTCCTGATTCGGTTCGGCTGTCATGTACATGGCAAACATGTTGCGCACTTCCGTCTACCGAAACGCACATCGTCATGCCATGGAATTCTTGTTCACGGACGTACGAAATGCGATGCCAGGGTCGTGAACAACGTCGGCCGCGAGATCTTGGCCAAACTCTCAAAGCCAAGACCAACCAACCCATCGGCAATGAACATCTGCATGCATGCCATCGGTGACTTTGAATAGATGATGTGGTGGTACAAACCCCAAGGGACTCGGTTTCTTCCGTCACCACGCCAAATCGAACGTTCGGCACTCTGAACGGACCAAATCCAATCGTGTCGACCCCAACGACGCCACCAACTTCGCCGCTTCCGTACTATTCAAGATGCGTATAGCGAACAGGCGACGTAAAATGCTTTTGTACCGAATCGAGGAACTTTTCGTGCGTGTCGATGAACGTTGTGGATTGAGTGTAGTCGAACGCGCTGTGAAAGCCACACTCTGCACACGAGATGCCAGGGATCCACGTATCACTGCTACCAGTGTCGAATACGACTGTCAGCATCTGCGGCGGGCTTCCAAACGACAACTCGCCGACGTATTGGACGTTGCCGTAGTTTTGCAGCTTGACTCGACCAGCAGCAGTGGTGTTTCTGGTACCGTCTGGGCGTCGCGAGGACAGCGCGATGCGGTGGGCAGGCAGGCTATCTCCAGCATACACCACCGCAAGATTGACTAGAACGAAGGTGAAGAACAGGACGAGCAGCCGCCGCCCGTGCATGGCGCTGTTCAATAGCCTTGATGTTCGACACTTCATCCGGCAAGCAATGTCGCTTGGTGGAGTTTCGTGGAGGCTGGCATTCAGAGTATAATTTGTTTCATAGTAAAATAACTCTCAATACAACCAAACTTTCGTCGTGATTGGACGACGAGGGATATCATTAAAATAATATCCAAACGATTCCCCATGTTAAATACTTTTAACTGATTTCAAATTCAATTGAACGCAACAGTACATCATTCATTCATCGGTCGTATTCCCTGCGTTGTATAGCGCCTCTTGACCCGAGCAGGACAATGCGAGCGGCTCACAGAGTCATGCCCACAAGTGTGGATCGATTCCTCGATAGCAAGCATGCTAACGGTCGCGATCGCAGGCATCCGCTGGTCTGAGTGCACGTCAACCGGTGCACCGTCATCATCGCTGGAGGTTCGCTTATTCACTACATGAAGCTTGATTCCAGGGGGAGGCTGGACCAACTCACAATGCCGCGCCCAAGGGTTATTTCAGGAGGGTCAGTGGTGCTGTGACGACCTGAGCGGTGGCAGTCGAGTGCCCCATTCAGAAAATGAGCCACTGCTTCCCATCCTAGCGAGATTCGTCTGCTCCTTCAATACAATACACAAGCACACGGTCCCATGCATCTGGCGGGTGTGATCATGAACAGCAAGCAGCGGGCTAGCGACAACGTGCTGCATCTCTTTCGCTCTGCCAGCACAATAGACATACGTGGCACGGTGTGCGGCGCACTCCGGTTAACCAAAATCTGGAACTTTCGATTCGACAGGAGGGTTCATCATCCGGATACGAACTCCGATCTTTCTGCGAAGATTCACATTAAAATGCGCAAATCTATTGGCCAAAAATATTATTATTGCCAAGGGCAACAGTTAATATACAAACGTCAAGCCAATGCCGCAACAACAAAAATAATACGACTCTCAAAGATTATCCGGAGTTATATCCGGACAACGGATCACACGTGAGGTTCTCCCTGTATTCTCCCTCGAGAGGATCATTTTGGAAAGTGCGAGCTGACCCCCGAAGCGACCATGTCCAAGTACGTCGACGCCGAGAACAGGGAAGATGAGATTCTCACGAATGCATCCATAGGAAAGACGACTTCAACGCAGGAATCATGGACAGAAAACGATCCCCCAACCGCTTGATCGTGGACGAAGCTAGCAACGACGATAACTCGGTCGTGGCCCTCAGTATGGCCAAGATGGAGGAATTGCAGCTCTTCCGCGGCGATACTGTCTTGATCAAAGGGAAACTCGGACGTGAAAGTATTTGCATTGTCCTGCAAGACGACACTTGTGACGATTCGAACATTCGCATGAACAAAGTGGTTCGCAAGAACCTCAAGATTCGTTTGGGTGATTTGGTCACCATCACTGCCTGTGGCGACGTTCCGTACGGCAAGCGCATCCATGTCTTGCCCATTGACGACACAATTGAAGGCGTCACCGGCAACTTGTTCGATGTGTACCTGAAGCCGTATTTCCTTGAAGCATACCGCCCTGTCAAGAAAGGAGATTTGTTCTTGGTACGCCAAGCCATGCATCCTGTAGAATTCAAAGTCGTCGAAACGGACCCTGCGCCTTACTGCATTGTTGCCCCCGATACCATTATCCATTGCGAAGGCGAGCCCATTCGCCGTGAAGATGAAGAGAAGTTGGACGAAGCCGGATACAGCGACATTGGTGGTTGCCGTCGGCAAATGGCACAAATTCGTGAAATGATCGAGCTGCCCTTGCGCCACCCCACGCTCTTCAAGACGTTGGGTGTGAAGCCCCCTCGAGGTGTCTTGCTGTACGGTCCCCCTGGGTCCGGGAAAACGTTGATTGCCCGCGCTGTTGCGAACGAAACTGGCGCGTTCTTTTTCCTGATCAATGGACCTGAAATCATGTCCAAGATGGCTGGTGAATCTGAAAGCAACTTGCGCAAGGCGTTCGAAGAAGCTGAAAAGAACGCCCCCGCAATAATCTTTATCGACGAAATTGATTCGATTGCCCCAAAGCGTGACAAGACGAACGGCGAAGTCGAGCGCCGCATTGTGTCGCAATTGCTTACGCTCATGGATGGGTTGAAGCAGCGCTCGAGTGTAGTCGTGATCGGCGCGACAAACCGTCCCAACAGCATGGACCCTGCGCTCCGTCGTTTTGGTCGCTTCGATCGCGAAATTGACATTGGCGTCCCTGACGAAAATGGCCGCTTGGAAATCTTCCGCATCCACACGCGGAACATGAAGTTGGACGACTCGGTGGACCCGGAAGCTATTGCCCGCGATACCCACGGTTTCGTCGGTGCCGATATGGCTGCGTTGTGCACCGAAGCCGCTCTGCAATGTATTCGAGAAAAGATGGACGTGATTGACATTGAAGATGAATCCATCGACGCCGAGATATTGGACTCGATGTCGGTGACCCAAGACCATTTCAAGTACGCGTTGGGCGTGTCGAACCCGTCGTCGCTTCGCGAAACTACCGTCGAAGTCCCCACAATCACATGGAAAGATATTGGTGGGCTCGAGCAAGTCAAACGCGAGTTGCGTGAATTGGTGCAATACCCCGTCGAACACCCTGAAAAGTTTGAAAAGTACGGTCTCTCGCCGTCCCGTGGAGTACTTTTCTACGGCCCCCCCGGGTGTGGTAAGACGTTGTTGGCCAAGGCCGTGGCGAACGAGTGCCAAGCCAACTTCATCTCGGTCAAGGGCCCTGAGTTGCTTACCATGTGGTTTGGTGAGTCGGAAGCGAACGTCCGCGAAGTGTTTGACAAAGCACGCGCCGCGGCGCCATGCGTGCTCTTCTTCGATGAGTTGGACTCGATTGCGCAACAACGTGGTAACTCGTCGGGCGATGGCGGTGGCGCAGGAGACCGTGTGATGAACCAGTTGCTGACGGAAATGGACGGCATGGGTGCAAAGAAGAATGTCTTCATCATTGGGGCAACGAACCGACCCGACATCATTGACCCTGCTCTCATGCGACCTGGTCGTTTGGACCAGCTGATTTTCATCCCGATGCCCGACTTGGAATCGCGCTTGTCGATTCTGAAGAGTGTGTTGCGCAAGAGTCCCGTGTCGAAAGATGTCGATTTGAACTACTTGGCTGCGCAAACCGACAAATTTACTGGTGCCGATTTGACTGAAATCTGCCAGCGCGCTGCGAAGTTGGCCATTCGTGAAAGCATTCAACGCGACATGGAACGAGACCGTCTGAAGGAAGAAGCCGGGGAAGCTGCCGACGACATGGATGTCGAAGAAGACGACCCGGTACCCGAAATCACCCCTGCCCACTTTGAAGAAGCCGTTCGCAACGCGCGCCGATCGGTCAGTGACCGCGACTTACACCAGTACTCGACGTTTGCCCAAACGCTACAGCAATCGCGTGCCCAGGTGGGGGCTACCGGGACCTCGTTGTCGACATTTTCATTCCCTAGCCGAAATGTCGTTGGCGGAGGTGCGGCCACGACGGCTGCCGTGGACGAAGAAGAAGAAGACTTGTACAGCTAAACAACACGATAGCGGTGGAATTCAGGTGTTTTTATCGTCCTACAAGATTATTTTTGCATGAATCATCGCTGGCATGGTGGAGGTCGCAGCAGCATTGCGTTGCCTCCTTTCCTGTTCATTGCACCACGGCTAGCACGGATGACACGATCGCCGAGTACAAGGAGGTCCATCATCGTGCTGTTCCCGACGTGATCTGCTCACTCTGTCATGAGGTGTACGAAGGCGGAATTGATTGAACGGTTACACATCCGGATAATTACCGGATGGCTGAAAATTCCAAACGGGGAGTTTCTTTCGTCAGCGTTTAACGATGGAAAACGGTTGGGCACCGCCGCGACGCCAAGTACCCAAGAAACGCTTAAGCGTTGACCGTGCTATGGTACAGGTTAGACGTCAACTTAGAAACGTTTAAGCGTTGAACATGCTGTAGATTCATCACGAGCGACGACCGACTACGTTTTCGGACACGATCGTACACCGTCGGTGGCTTCCTGTCTTGCCTCGTGCATTGGTAAGTTTCGTGTTGTTCGATATCTTCAACTTCCATTTTTAGTGTCAGATTGGCAATGTGGTGTAGAGTTAAAATGGCACTGCTTTTCAATGCCTGGCATACAATCATCAAGTGCAATGTTGAAAAATGAAAAATCGAAAAAGAGAAGGTAAAGGAGGACTTTGTTCCACCAATCAGAACTGTCGTAGGGAATGGGGTTTGAAATTGGCCAATCATAATTTGACAAGGAAAGATATTTCTACCAATCAAATGAATTTCGAAGACAAACAAAACGTTTCGACCAAAGATATTTTCCGGACAGCAACCCAACACGATCCAGAAACGAAATAGCCTCGTCGGGCGATCACTCAAACCGACGGCGTAACAGCGGCTCATAACGGCAGGGAAACGCTCCGAGCCATCGTTCGTCGTGAACGAGAAGCGTAGCAACATGTACACACAAAGCCAGTTGAGCCCCCGTGATATGCAAGGCCAAGGGCCAATTCAGTCCTTCTCGGCTTCTGGGCAACAGCAACAGAACGAGCGCCAAATGCAGGACCAGTTTCAAACGATGTCGCAAGATCAAGCCAAGATGACATCACACCACCAAGGGTACAACGGTCAAGCGTCGGATCACCATTCCCAGCAGCACGACAATTGCATGCAAGAGCACGGACATTTGCATGGCATGATGAACGACCAGCAACTTCAGTTGCAGCAAAACCACATGCACGCACAACTCCAAGGAGATCTACAAGGTCAAATGCAGAGTCAAATTCAACGACAAATGCACGAACAAATGCAAGAGCAGATGCAGCGACAAATGCAAAACCAATTGTCGCCGTCGTCCATGATGCACGGTGGGCACTTGCAAAACCAGGCGTCGTCGTACTCGCACGCGATGGTGCATCCGCACATTCCTGGATTAATTCCAGGGCAAATGGGCCTCCAGTTAAAGAACCAACGAAGACATCATGGCATGGTTGACAAGGGAATGGACAACATGCGCCTTCCCATCGGGACCCATGACATGGGGGGCATGATGGAGGCTGACGATTTGGAGGTGTGTTCATGGAAACGTATTATAGACGAGTTAATCTCATGGACGACATGTTGCAGATGGAACAACGACTGCATTCAGGGCTGGATTACGACGATGATGACGATGACGACGACGACGGCAAGAAGGGCAAGGGTGACGCAAACAGCAAGAAACCGTGGACTCGCGAAGAAAATGAAAAACTCATGCTGTTGGTCAAACAATACGGGGCCAAGCGGTGGTCACTCATTGCGATGCATTTGCCTGGTCGTGTCGGCAAGCAATGCCGCGAGCGGTGGCACAACCATTTGAATCCCGCCGTCCGCAAAGATGCTTGGACTGCTGAGGAAGACTACGTGATATTTGAGTGCCACAAAAACGTGGGCAACCAGTGGGCCGAAATTTCCAAGATGCTACCAGGGCGCACAGATAACGCGATCAAGAACAGATACTATTCGACAATGCGAAGGATGCAGCGTCAGTCGCTCCGGAAGAAAGGTGGCGGTGGCATCTCGACAGGAGCGCGGGATACCAAGCCTCGATCCCAATCCATGGTGACATCGTCCCCCACGAATGAAGACAACTCGAGGCACATGTTCCCACGCGGCAAGCAGTTTCAGAAGCTCGTGTTGTCTGCTCACGGCGACAAGGTCGACAGCAATTTCTTTTCAGACTACGACCAAGTCATGCAACGACAGCAGCCGCATGGAGTCATGGAATTCGGGACTCCGTCCTTGTCCAGTTCGATTCCCGGATTTCCGTCGGAATACAACCAAAACGGGTCGTTCTCGTACGATGGCACCCTGCGCCGACACTCGTCAACATCGGATGCCCCCCACATGAACATGTACCAACACCCGCCCATGCACTTGTCTCCAACAGCATCCTCATATGACAATCAACGAGGTATGCACTCTATTGACGCTCTGTGTTTTCTATGACTCGTCAACTTAGCAGTTCGTGTCACTGTAGAGGAGACTGACGAGGACAAGAGGCAACAGCACGACGGATTGGGTGGTGGCAACCACCACAACACAATAGATGATAAGCCGCGCCATCCGTCGGTCAACGCTCGACTGTTCGCCACGGCGTTGCCGGCGCAAGTGAGCGGAAACAATGGCGGACTCTCGTCTTTAGAGCCATTGAAGGACAACAAAGTTGTAGGATTTGACTCGATTGCGGAGACCCAAGAAGTTTACATATAAATTTACTTGATGATGTGTGCGTTGATCATGAGCCATCGACATGAGCCATCGAACATGGAGTTCCCGACTGCTCCCGTGTCGCGGACGCGGTCGGTGGCCGCATTTGAATTGCGCCATGGCGGGAACTTGAATTAAAACGTTTGTAATGTTTTAAACCAGGTATATGGCGCGTAGAACGGACAAAAGGGTTAAACGTGGCAGCGTTTTATTTGCCAATGCTCTGATGTTGAACGGGGGATATTTGGATTATCCGGTTGATTAAAGATCTCTCTGGCTGCAATCTTCTCTTGTATCCGGATTTCCCCCTCGTTATAAAATACTGGTCGCTTGCGATTTCCTCAACATACAGTTTTCAAGATATACGTTGATAAAATTATATTGTTTTGCGGGTGGCGTATTTTCAATTCCTGACCGCTTCTGGCTGCGAGGTATTCCTTGGAAATCGCCGCTCCCAGAAGGCAATTGGCAGCCCCGTCGGCAGGAAAAGCGACAGCGATAGCGATAGCGACTCCCCGACATATGGGCAAGCAAGGGTCCACGCCGTGCTCCCCCCGCACCACCGCGTTCGAGCCCTCGGCAAAGGTACGAACGATTATGGCTTCCCTCAAATCCATGACCTGTCACAACTAATATTTGTTCAGCACCCCGACGTAGATGTCGTGGCGACTTCTAGGGATAGGTTTTTGGAGCAACTTTTGGCCTTTCAAGAACGCTTATTGGTCCAATTTTTGGAGCACCAGGGCGCCGCCGTCAAAATGGATGAGGTATACTGCAGCATTTTATAATGGCGCCGCGACTTGATGCTGGGGACAGGGTGAAGGCAATGTCGGGACCGACCGCCATGCCATTGTTGACATAAACCTTGAAGCACCAGAGCTAGACACGGATGAAGAGCTTGAGAGCAGCAACGTTGTGGACGTGAATATGCCTTCAGACATTCCACCTTCACCGATTCAGGATGATCAACCTGCCACTTCTTTGGAACGAATAGAAGACGACAATGCTGAAGAAGGAACGCCCCCACCGCAGCACGATGTACCCGAGAAAAACCCCACACCTGTCGCACAACACGAAGGATTTGACGGTGTCGTTCCGAATCCTCCGAACCCAACAAGTCCACCACCCACTGCCTCATCAGACCGAAGAAAGCGACCTCTTGATGCCACCACAAACTCAACGACGTCAACCGAAACGACACCTTCCACGTCAACTCCACCCGAAACTCCATCCACAGAGCATTCTCCTCCTCGTAAAGTTCGGCGCTCGGCAACTCCTGTTCGACAGTACCAGCCTCCAGTTGTCACGACAAACTTACGATATTTGAGCCAACAAGCTCTTGTTGCTTTTGAAGACAAAGCAAAATCAACCTCAAATTCCGTGGACGACGCAGCGGTAACAAGCGCAACATTGACGGACGTCATTCGCCTGCACACCGAGAAGGTGAAGCAGCTGCAAAAAGTCCCGAGTAAAAAGCGCCAACTCCCGCGACTCAAGGACCCATGCCGCCCCAAATGCCACTGGGACTTGCTGCTTGAAGAAATGGCGTGGATGGCTGCAGATTTTACCGAAGAACGCCACTGGAAGCGCGCTGCTGCGTGGCGGTTCGCCCGGGATTCCTGCGAAGCTAAATGTGCCGAAAAGAAGTCGCAAGAACAGGATAAACGAAAACTGGCGAGGCAGGTGGCGGTGCACATCTCGTCTTTTTGGCGAGCAATGGAAAGGATTGCAGCGAGGTACCAAACACGTTCGTCATCCACGTCGTTGACATTCGAGCGCCACTTGTCCATTGCTAAAGACCCGTCGTCGCCGCGGCAACGAGGTGTGGCCGACGCAATATTGGCCTTTGAGTGGATGCGAACGGGAGACAATCCTCGCATTCGAGACGTGGTTATTGACCTGTTTGATCTGTCGAAACGAGCACGTGAAGCCATGAAGAAGAACTCGGCAGTCGACAGCAAGTATGCAAGTCTCAAGCTGGCACAATTTCAGTGGAATGCACTGCAGTTTATGCTTGCATTGAAGCAAGGCGGTCACAACCTCATATTGAACGATCAACTAGGGACGGGCAAACCTTATACGGTGTCGCTGTTCCTCCACGCGTTATCTCGTTTGGAGGACGAGCAGACCGTACCGCACTTGGTCGTTGTCCCGGACGCGGAAGTGCACAAATGGGTCCATTACATCAAAATCTTGCACCCCCACCGTCGCATTCAATTGTACCATGGCTCTTCCACGGAACGGTTAAGACATCGTCGGGCGTGGGACCAAGAGTACATGCAGGCTCTGGAAAGCGCGAATGACGTCGTCCCAGTGTACTGCTGTATCGTCGCCCACTCCGTATTTATCGAAGACGCCACGGCCGTGTTCATTCCGCAACCGTGGCATGCCATTGTGATCGAAGACATGGGGCACACGGTTGATTCACCGCAAGCGTACACGGGACTGCAGAACTGCTCGAGTCGGGTGGTTGTGTGCGAAATGGCGCTGGATCAATGGGCGACAGACCGGACGGCGTTATGGGGTGAATTTTTATTGAAGCACACTCTTGAGACCGAGTGGAACGTGCTCGAGTGGGATGAATTGAACTTGGCCGAAGCAGGGTCTGTACAGCGAATGATGAAGCACGCTGGAATGTCGTTCAAAGACGAATCGTCGTGTCTTCACATCGCATTGCGGGCGTTGACGCTGGGACGGCTTCGGAACGACATGGAGGCGCAGCTGGGGAAAGTGGAAGAGCAGACGGTCGCCTGCAACATGACATCGTCCCAGGTACGTTGCAACTGATGCAGCATTTGCCACTGATTGCTTATTTTTGCATTCCTAGCTAAAATACTACAACAATGCAGTCACGGCCTTCAACAGCGCGGCAGACAAAGACACTCTTGACCACTGGCTCCGTTTCATCCTGCGGCTACGGTCGGTGTGCAATGGAGTCGACGTGCTTCAGGATTTTGAACGGTTGTGTGTCGTGGACCGAGTGATGCTGGAAAGCTGCTCGGCAAAGCTCAAGATAATGATGGAGCTGCTGGATCGATTGGTGCACCAAGACAATTCCCGAGTGGTGCTGTATGTTCAGAGCGACATCATGTTGCCTGCGGTTGAGTACGCTGTGATGAACCACTTGAACATTCCATGTGTTCGAGTCACTGGGTCGGTGTCGAGCCAGCACCGAGCGTTGACGCATTTTGCGTCTACGGACTCGGTCCGCGTTGCAATAATATCAAGTCGTGCTCGAACAATTGGAAGCAATCGAGCAGCCTGTGTGTATGGAGCTCAAGCAGTATGTATGCATGCGTACGGCAAGGTGTGGGTTTTACTTTTATATATTAGGTGGTTGTGCTCGACAGCGATTGGGACCCCGTGTGTGATGCCAAACTCCGCGCGGCGTGGCATCTTCTCGCGGTGAATGGCGACCTCACTGTCTATCGATTGTACTGTGAGAACACAATTGAAGCGTCACTGTTGCGGGTCGGTTCAACCGTGTCAGAAAAACTATTTGGTGAAATGACGCCAGTGGAGTGCATTGCGTCTCCGCTTTTCAAGTCGGACGTGTGTCCTTCGTGGTGGAGTGCGTCCATCAACGTCGACATGTCAATGGCGTTGTTGAAAGCCGAGTTGCTTGAAAAATACTGCGGCAATGTCGAGAACCTCGAGTGGTTCCACTTGGAGGCGCCACTTACGACCGGTGGCGAGCTAGACACGGAAGAGCATTTGCTGCTGTCCAACAGCGACGAACTCACACCTGTCGAATGGTATGCCGTGCATTTGGTGCAGTCCTTGAAAGAAAAGCAGTTTCCTCGTTCGATGCCGAAAGTTGCCAAACCGGATGCCAGCGCCACCAACGATTCGTCACCAGTGTCGTTTAACGAGATGGTCACGGCACGGAATCGCGACAAGTGGAAAAAAGAATCTACAGCCTCGTTGTTCTACGACGGCAATCAACCTTCGTGTGCCGTCGTGCAATCTCTCCGACTCGAAGGCATTCACGCGACGTATGACGTCTTTGAGTCACCGGAACCCGTGCCTGGAGATGTGGTACTCGACACTCGCGACGACCAGCCATTCACTGTTACGTTTCGTGCGCGCAAGCCTCCATCTCTGGCGTCTCCAACGGACAAGCTGAAAGTGTCAGATCTGAAGCCTATCAAGGTCAAGAAGGCTAAAGTTCCAGGAAAGGTTAGTGTATCGGATGACGCATTAAAGCGCAAAGCTGCCAACATTGACGGCAAGAAAAGCACCGACTACGAAGGGTTCCCACTTCCCGAACCGTCGGCAGGCTTTGACGACGATGGGTTTTGGGGAGATACGAACTTGGACGCGTTGGACTCGGTGTCGTGGGATGACACTTCCATTCTCGGTGGCATTCAAGTGCAAGGGCTGCCTGACCCAGCACCGACGAAAAAGCTGAAAACGTCGGCGGCAGCAGCAACGTCGGCGTCAAATCTGTTGCAGCGACCTCGAAAACAAGTCGCTGAAGCGAGCCGAGAAGGGTGGAGTTATGTGGAAGAAGGGCTGCTGAAGAAGTTGCACGACATGTATGGCCCCAACTGGAACCTGATTGCTCAAATTCTCACGCGTCAAGCCATGGTCAAACGTCGGTCTGCTCGTCAATGTCAGGAAAAGTTCCAGCGCTTGATGATGCCAAACAAAGACAAACCAGTCAAGGTGAAACCCCTCGCGCTTTCCCCCGCTGCCGTGAGTTCCCGCGTCGGCCTGCACACTGGCGGTGTATTGCTGAAGTACCCCAGTACAACATTTGGCATTCCACCTCCCTCAATTCGCAAGAACTGGGTTCTCAAACAGCCGGTGCAGGACCACGAGCTTCGTCATTTTCGAAGCACGATGGAGGCAGTTTTGACGTCTGTCAAGAAGCAGTTGACGGCACCGCCGATTCCTATTCCGCTGACGTCAACCGCCCCCCATGAATCCCACGCTGCAATTCTGGCGACACCTGCCCTGAGCCCCGAGGAAGTGATCAATAAGAGCAAGCTCCTTGCCACGTACCAAGCCGTGACCGTTGGCAACATCGCACCTGCCTCTTCCTTCCCCGATACGTCTGGTAAGCTTCAGCGATTGACGCCGGACTCGACGTGAAAGTAGAATAGGCTTGGGTGGCCTCGAAATCCCGGCTACCACTCGCGTGCCCCCCACCCCTGATGCCCCAGTACGTCAATATTTCATTGGCTTGATTTTGCACTTACATATACTTCGCAGGCATGGGGTGACTTGTCGCTTTTACACCAGAATTTGACCCGTGCCGGAGCTGAGTCGGGTATGTTTGAAACATAATCGTCCAGTGCCTATGAATTCATGGACAATTTCATGTAGCGTCTGTCATGCCCACTTCGTCGGGGGTCCCAGTGTCCACATCCACCCTTTTGTACGTGATTGATCGAATGCCAGAAATCAAGGTCCAGATCCAAGCCATTTTGCACCGGCACGACTGCACAGAGAGCCAAAAAGTGGCGCTCATCGCACGGCTCTTGAGCGCCACAAGCCAAGCGAATGCTGTACCGTCGTCCACGTCTACCCAACCCGTCTTGCAGTCGTGATCGCAGAACTCTCCCTGGTAGCAATCATCTCGCAGACGTGAACAAAACACGTAATGAAGCCACCAAATGTGACATAATTTTGATTCACTCCCCATCAGAAACGCCCCACTAAAAAATGTTTAAACTAATTGGAAACACGACGACTACAACCCCACCGCCACTTCCATGGCCAGCGAGTACGGATTGAACGACTCGATTGCAGCGAAGTAGTTGTCGAAGCTAGCAAGAAATAGGCTCCTGCTCAAAAATGGTGGCCAACGATGGGAGTTTCAGGGCTCCGTTGGGACGACTGTTGCGAGGACCCTTTGGCGGTGTGGTGGCAGCTACGGTACTGATATTGTTGAGAAGAAGCTTCTTAGTCGTGGCTGGGGAATGCTGCACAACGCCCACATTCGAATGTGACTTCAGGGGCTTCAACTCCAGATGGGTGGATGGCGGGGTCACGAACGCAAGCACCACCTTCATAAACCCCTCGACGACAATTGGACATTGTCGATACACCTTGCTTGAACCGAGCTCGATCAGCGCGTTCAAGTACACGAAGAACATTCGAGCTCGCACTTTCATGTCAGTTTCTGGCGAGCCCCAAATGCGAACGAGTCCCCATCGTTTCGGCGGCAACTCAAGCTCCTCGACTTGTTCGAGTAAGTTGGTACATTGAGCACAATGCGGAAACTCCAACATCACTCCAATGGCTTGTTGCAATTCGAGAAACTTGGAGTAGCGTTGGCGGACAGTCCAGACCACTCCAGACTTTTGGTCGGCCATTTCGACCTCGTACTCAACAAAGGCGGCATTTGACGCCCCATCGGCCTCCACAGAGCGCACGACGATGTCTCGGAACGACACGAGTTGCTTGGTCACCTGCATGGGTGCAGCATTGTTCGAGGTCGTTGCCATGCTCCACGCAGCGCCTGCCGAGGTTGTCGGCTTAACCTTACTTTTACAGATATCCTTCGTCGCGAACTTGTTCTTGGATGACCCATTGAGCGTGGAAATGGAGCGCTGGCCAACAAAAGTTGCCATGCACGAGGTTGTCAAGGCTGGCGCGCGGGCGGTATGATGGAGGTGGTGCTTGCAGCTGGTAAAGTTGAATGTGGAGGTGCGAGCTGAACATGGATGGGTGTGCAGTCTCATCCGGTTGCATCTTTTAAATTACATACAAAACCCAAGTTAGAACTTCCCAAATGTCCATGACCACGAATCGTTCATTTAATCACGTCATGTCGCGTTGAAAAAAAAATGCACCGCTCCAACGCCGGGTTGTCGACTTTGGGAAATAAAAATACGGCGGCCCCAAACTTCAACGACCTGGCCGGTTGGTTGAATACCCCGAGGCAGATACCACCGTCAACCTGCTGGAATGAATATTTCATTATATTAACACATACAGTTGATGAATGTAGTTGACCTGCGCTCGCTGTTTCGACTTGAGAGGCGGCGAATGAAGGGCATCATGAGGAAAGCGCCGTGGTCAGTACCTTCATTCGCAGCTCCGTGCACCTTCAATGGCTGTGATTGCCTCACGATATGCGGCAAGGTTTCGTGAAAAGCATGGGTCGACACGAAGTCTTGGTTGTATGCTAGCCCGCATCCGCTCCAACCGTGTGCCTTCCCAATATGCGTTGGCCCATGGCTAGTCTAGACGAATACCAATCATAGCATCGGGTCTTAATTTAGCCACTTGCGCAAAAAATTGTCGCCACCGCACAACTCGTTGAGCATGCCAACAAGTGGCACCAGTGGCGGCAGCACCACAAAGGAGGCCGAGATCTGCCAGTTGATAGATGAATGCACATGCTTGTTGCAAAAAGACCCGTCCTGCCTTCGCACACGAGCTATACGTGGCCACGCGTGCATGAAAGCCAAGGTGGAGAAGCGCAGCCCACAACACACCGATTAAAGGGATTCCTGTCGTAGAAATGGGACCTAGCCGCAGAAGACTTTACAGCAATCTTGGAGGTCCGACCCGACGATATTTACGGTCGATTCAGGTCTGCCAATGTGGTTCCATTGACTGCCGGGAGGCTGATGCATGCTCAGTCGAGGGATGGCGCTGTTCAAAGGGGGCAAGATCGAACGAGCCCACGAAGACTTTTCGTGCGTTTTGACCATGAATCCAAACCACGTCATGGCAAGATACGCTCGGTGCGCCGGACTCATGCCTCCATGTGCGTTGAAGCATCGTTGAATTCCAGGGCTGGATGCTACAACACCGAGGGAGAGTTTGGTCGGGCAATTCAAGATTACACAATCGCCCTCCAGTTCGACGAACACGGCCACGACAAAGGGTTCCTCCGAGGCGAATCACGACTGTACTTGCACGAAACGGCCGAAAAGGCCATCAACGACAAGCTGAGTTTGAGCTATCGCACGCGCGATGGCGTCAAGGGAAAAGCCGACGCCATGGGCATCACGTCGCCGCCGAAGCGCCCGTCCAATAATGACATTGCGTTCAAGACGAGATCTCATCCCACCGACCTACGGAAACTTTCACCCTCGACGACGAAGGACGTGGGACGAGCCCAAGTCGCTCGGGTCACGATCGATTTGACCAAGCCAGCACAGCCCGTGGCAGCCATAGAACGGCACGCCAACCAGCACGACCACCCACGTTCCATTTCCATGAAGACGATTCGAACCGTCAAGCGAGTGACTGTCGCCCTCTGACTTCACAGGCAACATATTTATTCCAACCACGACAAGTGCCACAGAACGATGCACAACACTTTACTTGTTGTTGAGATCTTCGACGTCGTGAGTGAGGAGCGAGATGTAGTCTTCGTAGTAGACGCGCCCAGTCTCGCCATCTTTGGCCACATGCATGAAGCCTACGGAGCGAGGGTGGAGTTGGACGTGCACGCAGTCTCAGCCGACCTTCGAGCTCCTTTTCGCGGAACGGCGTGCCCTTTGTGATGAGCAAGTCCTTCATCACATCCGCGTCAATATACCCCTTCTTTTCCGGGTCCAACACCTGGAACAGCAACGATGCGACTGCCGCTGTACTGCAGCACGCACGTACCCGAAACGCGGCCAACAACGTTTCGTCCGTGTCTGGCTCGTACTCGTGGCTGTACAAGACCTCGAGCATCTTCTTTTCAAACCGTTCGTACGTGACAAACGTGGATGGCTCGTCTTCTTGCATCTAATCGACACAACGATCAAGATGGGGACGTTTTTCGCGCCACGTACCTCGGGCAATATCTTCTTGATAATGTCTTTCTCGCTCGGGTACGCGCCCAGGTACCGCATGATCGTGCTCACTTCCCTACCAACACCAAAAGAAAAGTCACTCCTCGCCCACTTCGGCAACTGTACTCTTGAATGACACAGCCCTTGCGATCCTTGTCGAACAAGTCAAAGGCGCTCTTGATTCGGGCGCGCAAGTACGCATCCATGTCGGAGGTTGCATCCGCCATTGCTTTGCCAGCGACGTTTGGGCCGCTTCGGTCGATGTGGTCCACGAAACGGCCACCTGAAACGCACGACGAAACTGCAGCGCTCGATAAACTTCGTGCACAGCGTCTCGGCGGCGTCTCCATGTCCGTGCCCGCCACGGACGTCGAGCTCACACCCCTCCCACGCACCACCCATGGACACAAACACCACCGTCCCGACGCCCGCGAGCCGAGCGTGAACTGTCCATCGTGAATTGCCCGAATTCCATCCAACTTTGGTTGACAGGTTCGCGTAAGGAAACATGGACGCATCCAACGCGGGAAGGGCAAAGAGGTCACATGTATTACTGGACCGTTGTCACGAAAAGGCGGAACCTGTCGGACGTGATGCGGACCTAGGGAGTATTGCGCCGCAGGAGCGCTTGGAACTTTTCCTGCAACCTCTGTCGCTGTTCGAGGCGCTTGGACTCCAAGTTATGCGAGTTCTTTTTCCAGTACACGAGGTCGTCTTCGGGAATCGCGTTGTCTTCGCTGTCGTCACCATCGACGGGGTCGTGCTCCCACCCCATGGACGACAGCAGCTGGCGCTCCTTTTCAGAAATGTGCAGCTCATCGCTTTCATCTTCCTCGGCGGGCACCTTGGACTTGGCTTGATTCTTCTTTTTCTTTTTCTTTTCCTTTCGCTTTTCTTTCTTGCGCACCGTCCGCTTCTCGTCCTCGGCTTCCTCCGCGAGCAACTGCTCCATGATCTCTTCTCCATGCAATGCCTCGACGGCCACGTCAAAGTTGTACTTGATCGTCGCAATCGAGCAGTACAAGAGCAGCTCTGCCGACCGCTCCTCGCACTGGATCTTGGACCACATCATCTGAAGTTTATCCCAGACGACGAGCCCCAAACACGTGAGCACTTCATCTTGCGCCTCGGCCAGGGTCCGCGCATGCCGGTCCATCACAACTTCCTGATCGGCGCGGTCCATCAATTGCAGCAAGTACTCCAAGTTGCACGGCAGCACAATTTGGTTCGTGTCCCGGCAAAACGTGAGCTCGTCAAACAAGTACGCGGACCGGTCTGCGTCGTCGTCGTTGGAGCTTGTGGTCGACAAGTGTTCTTCGTGCGACGACAGGTCGTTCGCGCCGCTGCCCGTATCGTCCTGGGAGCTCTTGTCCGAGAAACAGTGTAGCCCTGCGCAGTCTTCGCAGTCGCTTTCGCTGCACCCGCTCCCAACGAGCAAGTCGTACGCCTCAAGCACCTTTTCCTTGCACCGACAGCAAAACCGGTGCCGCCGTAGATAGCACTCCAGGTCGTTCAGAAACTGGTCCGAATCGATTTGTGTAATGTCGATATGGTAGTCCTCCGACATTTTGTCCCACAAACTCGTAAATGCAGACGGCCGCGGGTGCGTCTTGAGTTTGGCCGAGTGAAGCGCACACCTCTTGTTGCTTCCCCCGGCCTTGGCAAAGTTCATCCCAAGGCCGAGACTCAAGCTGGACAGCCCGAGCCCCAGAGTGAGACTCCCGAGACCTCCGAGGTCGAGTCCAGATCCGCCAGGGGGCATCGGAGTTATCGTGGGTCCGGCACTGCCGCCGAGCAAACCAAGCCCGGCACCCTGACTCAGAGCACTTTGCATCGCAGCCGCCTGCATCGTTGTCATGGTGGATGCCGCCGGGGTGTGGTGGTGAGTTGACGACGTGCCGCCCCCTGGGTGGTGTGTCGTGGTCGTAGTAAGCATCGACGACGTCCCTGCCGTGCCATTCCCGCTCGAGTGCATTTGCAATTTCATCGTCGTTTCGTAGTTGAACGTTGTCGACTTGACCTTCAACGTCGTGTTGTGCTTCGTCAGTTGGTGGAGCTGCGGCGGCATGGGCGGCATCATCGGGTGATGATGCGTATGGTGGTGAGAAGTCGATGATGAGACAGCGGCAAGCGCAGCCTGCTGTTGGAGCTGAAGATGCTGTTGCTGCTGCAATAGCTGCTGCTGCTGCTGTTGAAGTTGCTGCAGGAGCTTCTGCTGGTGCTTGTGACTGTGCTTGGACGTTCCCCCGGAATGCCCGCTGCCTCCCCCTGTCGCCTGGATCACGTGCGACAAATCGTGCGATAAAAAAAGCGCGAGTGTCGCGTCCGGTGACTGCAAATACGACGGATGCAGGACGAAGCTCTGGTCGGTGTGAAACAGCACGGCGCCATCTTCATTCAGCTGAATGCAAGAGTTGATCATGTTGGTCGGGTTGAGGGAACCACACAGGAGGGGAAGGGTCGTGGTCGCGCGGAGGAAGAGGCTTTCCGCGCCACTTCTGCATGCTAGGCATGGAACGAGTTCAGCGACGGTCGCGAAAAAGCGGGCCCCTGTTCCACGCAAGCACTGCATGCGCTCCGTTTCCGATAAGATTGTCCACCGCTACACGAACGATTCAATAAGACTTGCGCCAAAAGGACTTGTGCGTTTGAGTTCAATACATGCCTTTCGAAACTCCTTCAGTGCGGTCGCCGACGGCTGGACGCTGGCCGATCTCTTGCTCGCAATGGACGAGCATGGCTTTGACGTGTATGCTGCAGGATCGAGGCCGTTGTTTCTCATATCGCGCAAATGCGGCGGCGTATTCGCCACGCGGGTGCTTGGCGTGGCGGTGTCCATCACGCTGGCTCTGCTCATCCGAATGGAAGAAATTCCGGCCAATTGATTTTCCGATTGCTGCTTATGCCAACAGCGGGGCATACCGGATAACCATTTTGTTATCCGGATTTATGAACGAAGTTTCCTTGAAATGTTGTAGAAAGGCAGCTGAAATACTAAAGTCAAGTTAAATTTTGTCAAGCAAATTCAAAAAATATTCTAAAAAAATTCAGGAAATGCCGACGACTGACATGTGGCTTGGCAAGCAAGACGAAGTACCTCATGGCGATATCCGCCGACGTCCAAGCGTTCCGCAGTCGGGTCAACGGCATCTCGCTGGGAAGCGTCGGACTCGGTGGACTCTACCAAGAACTTCCTGGAGAGGCCGTGGCAGTTGCCGCAGAGACCTTTGAAACGGCCTTCCCGCGCGGCGTTCGCCTCATTGACACTGCACCCTGGTACAACAACGCCGAGGAAGTTGTCGGCCAAGCTCTTCGTCGTATCGAAACACCGCGACACGAGTACTTCTTGGCGACCAAAGTTGGACGCTACCGTAGCGACAAGCATCCAAATGGCGAATTTGACTATTCCCGAGCGCGCATTCGTCAGAGCGTGCAAGATTCACTCACGAAACTTGGGTACAGTTGACGATGACTGCTCGATGTACCTTACATTGTCCCGAGGAAGATCGACTTACTTGGACGTGGTGTACTTGCATGACGTGGAGTTCGTTCATCGGGACAAGGTGCTGCAAGAAGCGATTCCTGCGTTGGCTGAACTCCAAGTTGAAGGTATCGTCAAGCTAATTGGCATTTGCGGCTATCCCCTCGACGTACAACACACCTGAAAGATCTACTACGGCTCGATCTAATCGTGTCGATGTAGGTGCTCGATGATATCGTCCAGTCGTCGCCGCATCCTCTTCAAGTCGTGCAAAGCTACTCACACTTGACGCTGCAGAACGACTCGCTCCTGGCGAAAGCGGCCGCATGGCACGCTCGCGGTAGTTCATGTTTTGCTAATCATTGAAGCTTGTTTTCTCACGAATTTTCCCCCAGGCATCATTGTGATCAATGCCGCACCTCTGTCGATGGGTTTGTTAACGACGCGCGGTCCGCCAGCATGGCACCCGGCATCGCCAGAATTGCGTTTGGCCTGTGCCGCCGCCCTGAAGTGGCTGGCGACTGTCGATTTCCCCTCCGAGAAGCCCTCCGTCGAAGGCCTCGCGATTCAGTACGCTTTGGACGCCCAGGCACAACACGAATCGTTGACGACGACGGTGGTCGGAAGCATGGGTGCCGCAGAAGTCTTGTCGTCCATCGCCGCTCGAGATAATCCGTCGCCCCTTGTCAAGGCTCACATCGAAAAGGTATCGACATCTAAGATGCCCTCTCGTTTTCACGTGGCTCACGCACACTTACTAGTTCCGCGAGATCCTTGGTGCCAGCTATAACGAGTCGTGGACCCAAGACCTATCTAGCTTCCAAACGACCCACTAACGACGTTTTTCCCTCGACATCCTTCATGAACGACGACGTGCCTGTCGTACCCGAAGGGCATTGCTAGAATGCGCCCGCTTCGGCAATATGAGAGTTTCTCGCACATGGGCATCGGAGCAGTCTCTTGTGAAGAATCGCCAGCACATCTGAAAGACGTGCAAGTGATTCTGTTGAAATTGAGGTCGAGATGAATCCGGTCGTCAATGGTCCCCCTGGGCTGTAACGACTCGAAGCACGTCATGAACGTGAGGCCACGGAGAATTGGATCCAACCAAACTGTCGACAAGGGAGAGCTTGGGGAAGTTACCAGCGCGACGTTTCAGACAACTCGACCGTCATAACTGAGATCTGTAGGGACAGCAAGTCGTCAAGAATCGACATCGTCGCTGAACTGTAAGACATGGCTGTGGGAATGCGCATCGCGCGCAGTCTACAATAGTGCGGCTTTAGACAGGTCTTCGCCGACTTCGCGGCACGCACGTGCCGCCGCCGCGTCCTCGGCCGTCGCCCGTTTTGAATATGTAATGGATTAGAAAACGGCCACTTGGTGCGACAATCGAATTAACGGATCCGTTCAAAAAACGTCTGGATCTTTTAAGATTCACTTGATATTTGTATGACCCCAGGCGAGATGGAATTAAAACTCCCACGCCGATGACCCAATCGAGTTCAAAGTTCGGAACAAGCACAAGGCACCCAACAACACACGACTCGCCGCCGCCGCAATCGCCGCTTCCGTCCGACGTCACGCCTCTCCACTTGCACGATGATGACACTCAATGAAATGATCTGGAAACTTAGCTTCCTGCTCTTGACGACTCCTGCACTTACAGAGGCCGCGAATGACCTGTCCGGCGCAGGTTTGCCGCCGTGGGTCGCCTGGGTGACTGGTGGCGTCCTTGTCATGATTGTGCTGTATTACTGCTGTCGTAAAGCTGGTTTTGACGAGTCCCTGCAGCAGCCTCTCCTCGGCGGGTACGTGTGGGAATCGAAATGTGATCGTCTCGGAGTCCACTAAGCGGCATGAATTGTCGCTGTGCGCTCATGTGTTTCCGCGTCGACTCCGTTGTCTGAATATGCCATAAAACCTGGATAGGCAATACACCGAAGACGGCCAACCTCTCACCCGTCAAGACGTTCAGGAAAGGTACGATCGATCGATCCCACCGGGGCATGAACTGCCATGCCGAGCCGTCAACTTCAATCGGAACGTGTTGCGTAGCAAAGAAGAGATCGAAGGGCAATGGAAGTGCGAAGTATGCGATTTTCACAATAAAAAGTCGGCGAGGTCATGTGTGCTGTGCGGCACGGACATGGGGTTCAAGCTTGGTCTCACGACACCCTCGCCTCGCCGCAGTATTTCCTTCAAAGACTCGGCACACGGCGCGTTGAGCTCTGGCGGCGGATCGTTCAATCGCACGCGATCTTTTGCAATTCGGCGACTCAATATGCTCAACTCTCGCCAGCGCGGTGCACGAAACCGCGGGGACTGGGTGCGGAAGGTGGGCAAAGATGGAAAACGCCACTGGGGACGGCGCGACGTGCAGGAAACGTTCTTGGCGAAGGACCCTGTCTCGATGGAGGCAGGTAGTGCGACCCCAAAAACTGCTGCTGCAATGCCGTCCGCTCCGGGCGGTGCGCTGCACCTGGACCTGGCGCGACAACACTCGCTAGCGTTTGTGTCGCAGCTGGCTCAAACCCCGCGGCACCCGGAAGGCCGCATGACGTTCAAGGAATACCGCGAGGTGGACGCCGCCGTGGCGTCGCGTGGGTATGAGATTTCCGAACAGGACTTGGAAATTCTCGAACAAGTGGCGGCGCTGCCTTTCAAAGACAAATACTCGTGGTTTCTCGAGCAAACGACGACGCTGATTCGGCCGTGGGAAGATGGCCATTTGAAGATGCGCGTCCATCGGGAAAACATCCTTGTCGAATCGATGGAGCAGCTCCTCGGGGTCCAAATGGAGCACATCTTGATGCCGCTTCGCATCGAGTTCATCGGCGAAGTGGCGATTGACGCCGGCGGCCTCGAACGAGAATGGTACGGTGGAAGCCTTCGTCCTTGGGCCATTCTGACTCGACTGTGTCGTGGCATGCCAGCTATCTGAGTGTTATGGCGTTCCAACCACAGGCTAACAGACGTGCGTTGCGGTAGGTTTGCCCTCGTGACGGAAAAGCTATTTGATGAAACGATTGGGCTATTCATGTGTGCCCATGTCGAGTCCCTGGCATACGTGATCAACCCGAACAGTATTGAAGCAAGCGCCGATCATTTGCTGTACTTCCGTGGCGCGGGTCGGCTTCTGGGCCGCGCGCTGCTGGAAGGCCAGCTCATGAAAGCGCATTTGGCCCTGCCTGTCCTCAAGCACTTGCTCGGGTGCGTGAATCCACTGCGACGAGGTTTTCACTCTGTGGCCTCGACGTAGCGTGCCGATTTCGTTTGCCGATTTGGAATTTGTCGACCACGAAGTGTACCGGTCGATGAAGTGGATGAAGGAGAACGAAGGCGTCGAAGCACTGTGCTTGGACTTTAGTGTGACCAACCGCCGGATCAGTGGCGAGATCGAAGTGATCGACTTGAAAGAGAACGGCCGCAACATCGAAGTGACCGACGCAAACAAGCTCGAGTACATATACTTGCGGCTCCGCTACATCATGCTCGAGAGCTTCTCGGAGCAATTGCAGCACCTGATGGCGGGCGTGTTTGAAGTACGTGGCGAACGTGTTGGAGTTAGTTGGTTGGTTTCATGGCGCTCGTGGGCCACAGGTGATTCCCCAAGAGCTCATTTTGGTCTTTGACTACCAAGAACTGGAACTTGTGCTGTGCGGCGTGCCATCCATCGACATTGCCGACTGGAAACTTCACACCCAAGTGTCAGACGACATGCCGGCAGACCTCCTCGAGTGGTTTTGGGAAGTGGTCGAGGCGTTCTCGGACGAAGAGCGCGCGCGTCTGCTGCAGTTTACGACCGGTTTGTGTATTCATGCGATGAAGAAGGTCGGTAACGGTGGTTTGGCTAGGATCGTCCCGCGTGCCGGTCCAAGGGTTCAAGGCTCTCACGAGCTACGACGGGCGGATATGCCACTTTACGCTCAAGGCGGTGCCGTACCCCGAGAATGCCTTCCCCCGAGCGCACACATGCTTCAACCGCATCGACTTGCCCAAGTACAAAACGAAGAAGGAGCTGGAGGACGTATTGTCGCTGGTGATCAACATGGAAGTGACCGGGTTCACCGACGAGTAATCGCCCCCCCGGACGTACTCTGTCCTACCTGTCGCAAGGGTCGTCCGCCGTCAACGTTGTCGTCGCGCTATCTCGTTATGTTAACTCGATCCTCACCAGCAATATGAATTTGTATCATTCGAGTCGGTGGCTGAAGTGGAGGGCAGAGTTTGGTGGACAACATGCCTGACGAGGTCGAGTATTCGCATCCAAGGAGTGACCTGCTCATGAGAGCGGTGGCTGTTTCGGTCCCGTGCACTGTCATGTAACGACGTGGTCCGTTTCAGCCCCACCATCGGCCATGGACGCAGCAACCGCTCCCGACGACGTCGAGTACGGTGACGACGAGTTTCTATCCGACGAGGTACACCAAACGAATTGTGGACTCATCTCGCACATTCATGCACGGGTAGAAGCCCGACGCATCGATATCCAACGCGACGACAAACAAGGACGACCAAGGTATGCTTGGCCTACGTCCCACGAACCTGACTGAACGACGTGCAGCAGAAGCAGTAGAGGTGTCGGAGCAAGTGGCGGCGACCGCCGAGCGCAACGCGATACCTGCGACGTCGCCTAGCAAACGACAGGCCGCCATCGACGAGCACCATCGTAATACGCTGGCTGCCAAAGAAGTCGAGCTGCGAAATTTGTACAAGCGCATTAGTGTGTATCGCAAGGCAAATGCTGCGCTGCAGAAAGAGCTCGAGGGGTTTCACAACAACGATTTTGTTGCCCAGGTAGGGAGGGGCCCAAACGTGGAAAGGCGAGTGCAGACGCAACGGGCGAATTGATTTGTGACGTAGGTGGAAAACAAAGCGAGGGAGAAGCAGCTATTGATTGAAAAGCTCACGCACGAAAACAAGTACTTGGCCAACCTCCAGCGGACCCAAGCCAAGCGCATCGAGGAGCTGGAGAGTTTGAAGGAACACTTTCCATCGAAGCACCACTCGGTCATGGAAGAGCTCCGGATATGCAAGGAAACGTACCGCATGTGCAAGGAGCGCGAGCGGCTCGCCGAAGATCGGTCGGCGAAGCTGCACCAACAAGTTGTGGACCTCATGGCCAGGAACAAAGCGTTGGCCGACAAGATTCGACAGCACCATAGCAGCACCGAGAGCAAGGCCACCACCAACGATGCCACAGTATGCATGTTCAATGTAATGTATGTGTTGACGAAGTTGCGTAGGCACGACGCGGCGATGGCGGCGGCGGCGGCGGCGGCGACGACGACGACGACGACCTGGCACAGTTGCGAACTCGAGTCGCGTTGCTGGAAAAGGTAGCTGGGCTCTCCTACCTCTGCGTCGTGGTTGAGCCTTGACACAGCTGACACAGACCAAGCGCGCGGAGAAAGCCAAGTACGAACGTGTGATTCAAATGTGCCAGGAGCAACTGGACGCATGCAAGCGAGAGATGGAGGCTTTTCAGGCCCAGTTGCTGGAAAAGGAAAAGGAGTTGCGGCTCCAGGTTGTCGAATTGAAGAAACTCAAGCGCCAGCTGCGAGATCTCGCAGTCGACGCCCAATCAACCCACCAAGTGTGCCACACGTTGGCCCAGCGACAGCCCACCCATACCAAGAAGACGCCAATGCCACCGTCAGGAACTTCCACTGCTGACAAACGATCGCCGGCACCCGTGCGAATACAAAAGCCCACCGCGCCAGACCAAGTACATCCACTCGAACACGCAAACATCAAGTAGAGGCATCTTCTACACCATTGATATCGCACACGCCATAACTTAAGGATCGACGGCCTCTCGGGTTAGCTGCACGAATCCGCCCCCACAACGACTTGCACTCTTCTTCCCCATGGCAAACTATACGCGTCACGAACGTGGTCGTTCGCCACAGACACCTGCGATGATGTCCGCATCGGGTTGCCGCGACCTTCCACGTGGTTCCACTGGCGCTATGGTCATCTTCACCGAGAACTTCACAGTATACGGTAGAACGATGTGCAGGCAGGCTCTTTCCACGACAGGGCAAACGGCGCCGCACTCCCCAACCGCTTCTACAACCCCACTGTGATTCTCGCAGTTGGGCGCAGTGACCAACCAGAACGACAGTACCTTTAACAGCAAGTTCTCCTTGATCGTCACATAAAGAAGTGTCTCAGAGGACGCAGTGACCTCCAACGCGGCGGCAGTCGCTAACGCACTCGCCACAACATCTTCCTGCTCGTCCTAAAGAACGAATGCTCAATCCGTGGAGAGGATGGATCGATGAAAATCTTCGTACGGGTGTCACGACCAAGTGCAGCGTGAGTTGCTGAATCATGAGGCGTTTTCGTTCCAAGTCGGCGGCCAACAAGTGGACGCGCTTCTCTGAAACCTGAACTTGCTCAGCCAAATGCGCGTTCTGAGTCAAGAGGTGTTCGAGACGTGATGACATGGCTTGGAGAAACCCGTCCATCGAATCGTCACAGTGTGCTGCGTCTGATGCAAAGTGGTGTTTCGTGAAGGGGATCGACGAGGCTGCCGGAGGCGCAGGAAGAGAAAGTGCCCGTTTGTCATTTGCATCTTGGGCTTGCCGCAGCGCCAATCGAAGCTCCTTGATGATGTGGTGCGCTCGCTTGCATGCAATTGTGTGTTCCTGCGTTGTCGCGACGATGTTTTGTCGCAGTTCAGCGTTCTCGTCTGCCACACCCACGAGATGGTTCGCTTTTTGCTTCCATTCCTCGCTATCCGCAACGGCTTGCTGATAGTTTCTCTCGAGTGACGCATATCGCGACTCGAGATCGTCTACTGCACCGGCAAGCTTTCGCAGTTTCCCGATTTCTTCTGTCAGTCGGTAAACTTCTTCGCCAAGCATGTCGCATCGTTGCTGCTTGTCCCGGCATTGTGTCTTCAGTACTCGGTTGTCCACTTGCGTTGCTGTGTACTTGTCGCTGATGTTTTTGAGCATTTGCTTGAGGTGCTTGACCACAGACCATTGATGCTCCAGTTGCTTTTGAAGCCTACCGTGCCACCCACGACAGGTCACATGTCATAAACCATCGACAGAAGCACTACCGTACATGGTATTCTGCGCCGCCGCTTCCACGCGGCCAGCATTGTGCGACGCGATCGTTGCTCTGAGATGCCCAACGATCTCAGTTAGCTCCTCGACACTCGTAGCCGGGACGTGGGCATCCCTTCTCCGCGAAATCTCGTGGACTGGAGACCTTTCTTCGTTGCCGCATACTTTGTTGCTTGTTTCTGTCGCGGCAGGCGGCACTTCGAGCGCATCAAACAGCACTTCGTCGTCGTCCATCGTTCCAGGATGACTGTTCGCGTCTAGCACAAATTGAGGATTGGGATGTACCCGCTTTTGACACGACGTTTCATTGGCCAAAGGTTTATCCGGATAATCGGACAGTGGACCCGCTTCAACGTAATCAATCACTATGAGCCAACCGCCAAATGCTGGGGCCGTTGACTCAACCGAAGCATCTCGGGGCTCCACCGTCACGCTCAAGCTCGAACACAAGCCATGGCTAGGTAGCCTTTTGGGCATGGCGCTGGTCACCTTGGCGAGACACACGGCGGACGGTGAATGTGATTCTGGTGTGGTTGCATGAGACAAATCCTGGCCCCCGACTTTCGTAACGCCATGACAACTTGCTTACAAAACCCACATTGCTGTCGATGTAGCGAGCCGTCCACGAGGTTTTCAATGCCGCTACGACAGTTCTCCATCGTGTTTCACTTGCAAATGGATGGGGTTTGCAGGCGACAGCTATCCTTCGATATCTGGGGAGCGGGCCGGTTAACGGAACCGGATCGCCGGCGAAACGGCTGCGAAAACGGCGCTTGAAAGATCGAACATTGCATATATTATAATGAGGGGTCTTAAAATCAATACAAAGAATCAATGATAAAATTGTGAAAAATCGAAGCGACACTTGATCGTTATGTGGTTGTTTGTATGGTTGATGGGTTTCCATGAAATTGCGCTCAGAGGTCGCTGCCGTCGTCGCAGTGCAAAAACCCACACAACCCAGAGATATCTTTGGCATCGGCAACACCGACGATGGAAGAAGGAGGGGTCCCAGCAGTCGCGAGACCGAGCAGCAAGCTCCCAGGGCCGCTCGACATCACACACTTTGACTTCGGGGTGACCCTTGGGACAGGCTCGTTTGGCCGCGTGCGGTTTGCCACGCACAAGGTATGACCCCTTCCGTGCTCACGGCTCGGTGCGCATGAGCTCGATTTCGGTCGTCTGTGTGCCTTATCTGTAGATGACGATGGACTGGTAACTTTCTTTCTTGTGTAGGCATCTGGGTCGTTCTGGGCGATTAAGATATTGAAAAAGGCCGAAATCATTCGACTGCAGCAGGTGCAATGCCCACCCTCCTTAGACGGACATGCAAAGCGCGCACGTCATGACCGATCTGTTGTAGGTGGAACACATGATATCTGAGAAGACGATCTTGATGTGTTTGGATCACCCTTTCATTGTCAACCTGGCGGGCACGTTCCAAGACACACGTTGCTTGTACATGGTGCTGGAATACGTGATCGGCGGCGAATTCTTCACGCATTTGCGCAAAGCAGGACGGTTCGACTTCAACACGACCAAGTTCTACTCGTCGCAAGTCGTGTCCATCTTTGAGTACCTTCACAGCCAGGACTTTATCTACCGCGACTTGAAGCCGGAGAACTTGTTGCTTGACCACGAAGGATTCATCAAGATTACGGACTTTGGGTTTGCTAAGCGCGTGGCTTTCAAGACTTACACGTTGTGCGGAACACCCGAATACATTGCACCCGAAGTCCTGCTGAACAAGGGGCACGGCAAAGGCGTCGACTGGTGGACCCTCGGCATCCTGATCTTTGAAATGCTCGCCGGGCAGCCGCCGTTCTGCGACGACGACCCTATGGGCATCTATCAGCAGATCCTGTCCGGCAAGATTAACTTCCCGCGGTACTTTGACCGCAACGCGAAAGCGCTTATTAAGCGATTGCTCACGGCCGACTTGACGAAGCGTTACGGCTGCCTCAAGAACGGCGTGGATGACATCAAGAAACACAAGTTCTTCTCGGGCTGCGACTGGGAAGCGATTTTGGCGCGAAAGGGCACTGCCCCCATCATTCCCAAGGTCGTCACTCCCAACGACACGTCCAACTTTGACCCGTACCCGGACTCGAACGAAGAGGCGCCCGTTCCAGTGTACAACGGCAAGGATCCGTTCTGTGAATTCTAGTCCACCAGCGCCACAAGTCCTCAACGGGCGTATCGGCATCGGTCGACGGCCATTTCGACTCGCCCCAACGATGATTTCGTCCATTCATACATGTATATAGCCCTATGTACGTCATGTGAAGGAATACTTGAGGGGGGAAGACTTAGGGACGATCTTCAGGAATGTGGGCGCCGCAGTTGATGGGGATAACAGGCCTGAATGACATGGCCGTGCTTCATAGATCCTTCCCACCGACCTTGCGCCAATTACCATTGCATTACATCCGAGCTAGAGAGGTGGTGTCGCTTGGGTGACGACGAACGCCTTCTTCGTGACTCACGTCGTGACGCTCTACATTGCATCAAGCATGGGTGCATGATGTGATTGCTACATATGCACACACACTCGTTCTCCCACAGCATGAAGGACGGTATTCCCGAGCTTGCCTTCGGGAGCACGCCGCCATCCGTCCTCATTCGGGTCGCGTGGGTCGCCAATTGCCATTGTAGTGACTTCCTCGCTCAAGTCGTATCCGGTATCCGGATAAAGACTTTGCTGTCAAAGGCACTCAGTTGGGCACTCACGACTGTTGTGCGTTTGTAAAAGACCTCTGAAACATAATTTTGACTGCAAAATCCTGCGGGTGCTGCTGTGGCACATAAGAACTCACCTCATGCACCTTCTAAATAATATATCCTGTATAAATCGATATGAAGAGCTGGCGTCAGCGCCATCACCTCTTCCCCTCATTTTGGTTTTCGATTTCATCCGCACAACGAGCGATGGCGGAACAAGCATTTGTCGGCGCAGGCCAACGCCCGGGCCTTGTGGCGTGGCGTATTGAGAAATTGGTCCCTGTGCCCGTGACCAAGGACCTGCACAAGCTCCACACCGGCGACTCGTACATCTTCCTCCAAACGACCCAAAAGAATAACGCTTTGACGTGGAACATCCACTTCTGGCTGGGCAAAGATACGTCCCAAGACGAAAGCGGTGTTGCGGCATACAAGACCGTCGAACTCGATGAGGCGCTTGGTGGTGGCCCTGTGCAATATCGCGAATGCCAGGGTTTTGAAAGCGACTTGTTCTTGTCGTATTTCAAGAACACGGGTGTTGAGTACTTGCCGGGCGGTGTTGACAGCGGGTTCAACAAGGTTGTCCGTGACCAATACGAAACCAAGCTTCTCCAAGTCAAGGGTAAGCGCACCGTGCGTGTTAACCAAGTGCCCACCAAGAACACGTCCCTTACCAAAGACGACGTGTACATTTTGGACCTCGGTTTGGAAATCTTTGTGGTACGTGAGATCTACATCGTCGTGAACGAGACATCGCGCATGCGTGGCTTACATATTACCTACTAGTACAACGGCGCCACTGCCAATCGTCAAGAAAAGGCCAAGGCATTGGACTACGTCCGCCAATTGAACAATAACGAGCGAGGCGCGCGCGCCCAAATTACGTTTTTGGACGACGAACCCAAAAATGACAAATTCTGGAGCACTTTGGGTGGCTTCATCAACGTGACCAAGGAAGGTGGGGATGACGACGCTCACGACCAAGCTCACCGCGAGTCGATCAAGTTGATTCAACTCAGCGACGCTTCTTCGTCGTTGAAGACCGTCGATGTGACGCCCAAGGACGGCATCTTGAAGAAGGACCTGTTGAATTCGAACGATGTGTTCATTGTTGACGCTGGCAACGTACTTCACGTCTGGATTGGCCGTGGCGCGTCTGCGGACGAGCGCAAGAACGGCGTGATCTACGCGTCACAGTACTTGACACAAACCAAGCGTCCTCCGCAAACTCCCATCACCCGTGTGGCGGAAGGCGGCGAAGGCGCAGCGTTCAAGGCGCTTTTCCGCGCATGGGACCCTCCCCGAACGATTTCGTTTGGCCAACAGCCGTCGGCAACCTCGAACAACCCTGCTGTAGATCGCCCGGGTGTGGATGCCTCGGCCCTCTTTTCGTCGTCGGCAGCTGAAGACGACGACTTGTTTGCCGGTCAAGAAGGCACCAACTCAGTCAAGGTGTGGCGCATTGAAAACCTGGAAAAGGTCGAAGTCGAAACGAACACGTACGGCCAATTCTTCGGTGGCGACTCGTACGTCGTGTTGAACACGTTTACGCCCAAGAGCGGTGCCAAGCAGTCTCATGTGATTTACTTCTGGCAAGGTCGCCAATCGTCGCAGGACGAAAAGGCCGCAAGTGCGCTATGGGCACAACGTTTGGACGACGAAATGGGCGGGTCCCCTGTTCAAGTGCGTGTTGTGCAAGGAAAGGAGCCATCGCACTTCCGCCGATTGTTCCTGGGTAAGCTGATCGTACACGCGGGCGGCAAGGCGAGCGGGTTCAAGAACCGCAACGACGAAGACTCGTACGACAACGACGGCGTTTCCCTCTTCCACATCAAGGGGACGTCTGAACTCAACACGTTTGCCACGCAAGTCGATGAAATCGCGGCCAACTTGAACTCAGGCGACGTGTTTGTGTTGACGACGCCCAAGGTCGTGTACCAGTGGCAAGGGTCTGGGTCGAACTCGGAAGAACGCCGCGTCGCGGCCAACATTGTGTCGATTCTCAAGGGGCATCGCCCCGTGACGGTCGTTGACGAAGGCAACGCGGACGACGCGTTCTGGGCTTTCTTGGGCGGTAAGACCGACTACCCCAAGGTCAAGGCTGGCCAAGAAGCCGAACACGAACCTCGCCTCTTCCACGTCACCAACGAGACGGGCTACTTCAATGCGTCCGAAATCCACTCGTTTGCCCAGGACGACTTGAATGTTGACGACGTCTTCCTCCTGGATTGCTACACGACTCTCTACATGTGGGTCGGCCAAGGCGCGAACGAAACGGAAAAGCATGGCGCCTTGAAGATAGCGAACGACTACCTGGCCGCTGCCCAAAGCGACGGCCGTGGCGAAGGCACACCGATCATCACGGTCCAGTCGGGCAAGGAACCTTCCATCTTCACATGCCACTTTGCCGGATGGGACCCTAAGTTCTTCCACCTACCTGCGTTTATCGACCCGTACGAGGCGAAGCTGCAAAAAATCCGTGAAGAAAAGGCCAAGGCCGCCGGTGTGGCTACCCCTGCTGCTGCTCCCGTGCGCACGCCACCTGCCCCCGTAGCTGTCGCGGCGGTCGGAGAGAACCAAAAGTTCACGTTGGAGCAACTCGTGGCTGGCGTCGAAGGCATCGACTTGACACGGAAGGAATCGTACTTGAGCGACGCTGAGTTCAAGACTGTGTTTGGCATCACGCGCGGCGAATTTGACGCATTGCCCAAGTGGAAGCAACAGGCAAAGAAGAAGGAAGTCCGACTGTTCTAAGCGTCGCCAGTCGATTCCGTCCGTCATGCTGCGGCAAACGTTGACTAATTAGAGCAAGTTCATGTGTGAGCAAGTAAATGCTACGAGTTACTATTAATATTTGCCGGTCATTAAGAAGTAGAGCAGAATAAACACAACGATGACAAAACCAACGAGCAACCACATGTGCTTGCCCCCGCCTGTCTCCATCATGTTGCCGAGCTTTTTCAATGTGCCGCCCATAAGGGAGTTGGTGTTGTCGAAGTCGCGGCCCTGGATAGATCAATCAATGCCGTGATGGAATGACCACCAAACGACTCGAACGACTGATCTTACCACGCCGTCCAAGAACTTGTTGTCCTCCTTCACAGCATTGTTGATATCGTGTGTCATCTACAAGACGCATCACGATACCGCGAGGACTCGAAAAGTTACGAACTTTCTTCAGCGCACTAATCTGAATCGACAGTTGATCAATCTTCTCGTCGTTCTGGTCTTCCATGAGGCGATGTGTTTGCTCCGCATTGACGCTTGAGGTTGGGTTCTACGGTGCCTCGCACATGCACACCACGTGAGCATAGCCATACATACCTTCACACCATGCAGGCACTGGGAATGCTTCGTCTCCAGATATGCGCACGTACCTGCTGTCGGTTGTACAAGTGCGCGCGATCCGCCGCTCGACTGCCCATCCCTGCTCGATTGTACATGCGACTTCCACACGAAAAAGAACTGTACTGACTGTGATTGGCTGTTCTAAAGTTCGAAATAAACATTGACTACATAAATAGTGTGAACAAACATGAGGGCGGCAGAGCGCGGTCATCGTTACCCAGCGCATAGCTCGATCGTTCATCGCAAGCACACGAAAAAATGATCACTGCAATTCATGGGCGACCTTTGCTGTCGCCCTGGGATTGTTTGAAAGCGTGCAGCCGTCGTAGGGACTTCGGTAGGTAGGACCTGAAATAGTGTGAATATTTTTGGCCAATCACCGCTGGCCAGCAAATGGTGACACATCCGGATAATGTCCGGATGTTTGTGCTGAAGTGTTGACAAGCAATGTGTAGCTCGTGGAAAACGTTGCCGTCAAGTCTTCGATGGCTGCTTCCTGCGGCCGTCGCGGTGCTGATTGTGTGGATATTCAGTGGGTTTGCGCTTAATTCCATGGGGCTCGTCACCCTGCCTGTTTCGTATTGGATTCAGTACAACACGAGCTTTTTCATCATGCTCGCGAGCCTCGGACGGTGCATGGCTGCGCGAGTGACCATTGACAGCACCAAGCATATCCAATGTGAAGAGTCCATTGAACTGAAGTACAACGGCGAAAAGCGGCACTGCCGCAAATGCGAAGTGCCCAAGCCCGACCGGACGCACCATTGCAGCGCGTGCAGGTCGTGCATTGCCAAGATGGATCACCACTGTGTGTTCCTCAACAAGTACAGCCCCACAATCCGGTGGCCAAACACTATCCTAACGCTGCCTGTAGATGCATTGGGCTCGAAAACTACAAGTTCTTTGTCCTGTTTCTGTGGTGGAGTGCGTTTGTTAGTTTGGAAACGGCATTCTTGATCTGGAAATTCGTCTTCGCCAAAGCAATCGACCTCCTCGCCCAGGACATTGCGGCCAGTTCGTTCCAGTTTACGGCATCGCATACCCAGGTAGTTCACTTGGTTTTCCCATTTCTATCGACGTCGGTCGCTCGAACCTCCTAGATTGTACTCGTTGGCTTTAGCAGCGCCTGCGTCGGGCTCGCCCTCCTCGTCTTCTTCGGGATGCACCTCTTTCTGTGCATGTGCAACCTCACCACGCTCGAATACTGCGAAAAACGGGGCACGATCGGATTCGTCAACTATTACGACATCGGCATCCCATCCAACTTGCACCAAGTGTTTGGCTCGTGGGATCTCGCGTTCGTTCCATTGTATCCGCCCCACATGGACGCCCTGCGTCGGCAGTTCCCAGTCAACACCAACAAATTCGACTAACTCCTAACGTTGTTGCTGCCTTGCCAGCATTCGATCAAAGACTGAACTAAGGTGCTCTTCTTCGTCCAGCATGTGCACTTGCTGCGTCGTCAGCGCCTGCGACGATGATAAAGCTGCCTCGGCCGCTTTCATATCCATGTCGTCGTATCGTGTCGAGTACAAATGCGAGAGCAGTGGCGCCGGGGACTTTTCCTCGACGGTGCCATTAGCACGGCTGGTGGACGATAGAGACGAGATGCGCTTGGGCTGACGACCCACAGGTGTATCGCCATCATAGTCTTCGTCACCGCTTAACACGTCGATGGAAGATGATGTTGCTGGCTCGACGATTATCAGTGACGACCGCTTGGGTTGAATTCGCTTGTGTTCTTTGAATTCCAACTCCTCGAGCCGTGACATTGCCGGTGGATGACACGAGTTGGTTGGAGGGGACACCGCCGGCGGGTTAAAGTACGAAAGCGCTGCCCGTCGAGTGTCCATGCGCGGCACACCCGCGGCGTCCATGTAGCCTTCGCCTGTCCTGTTGTCGAGGTAGCGCTGAAACCCTTTGACAAAAAAGTCACGCTCTTTCGCGTTGGACACTTGAAGGATCATCCGACGAGGCAACTGCGGCTTTCCCTTGGCATGTGCAGTGCGAATGTACAAGACGAACGTTCTCCGATAGCTGACTTTGCGGAGGAGATACACGGGAACAGCGGCAGTCTCCATGTCCTTCCTCGCAGGCACGACCGACTCGATCTCGTCTGCAATGTAAGAGCGCGTCAGAGTTTCGCCTGAGGGAACAAACATGAAAGGGCGGTGGACGCACGGAGCATGACGCGGGGATCGCGCTTCTTGGACGGCGTCCATGTTAAATAGCATTCGTCGAACGTTGTGTCGATGACAAGGCGAAGCTGAATTGTCTTGAGGTTGCCGTGCACCGACACCTTGGACGCGGTGAACCCTTCCTTGAGAATCTCGCGGAACCGACAAATCGTGTGCTCCAACGCAGCCTCTTCGCGCTGTAACCTTTGCTCGTCGCGGAGACGGTGGACTAGGACGAGCACCGCTTGCTTCCACCGAGCACGGTACATCCGACGACGGAGAAACGTCGAGATGGTCGTGGCTGCCGCGATTACTCGCGGGTTCCTCGCAAAAGCCGTCGTGCCGTCCACGTTGAGTTTGAATCTACAGCGCTCATGACGCGTCCATTGGCCACGACAGACTTACGTGAACGAGTTGTGCACGCCGGGCACGAATTTGTCAACTTTCTGCCGTCGTTTTCGACACTCAGACTACAGGAATGTCGTCATGGGGAGGTCCGAACGGTAGCCTTCCTGTGCCGCGACAACGAAGTACTACCTCAGATTCGGTCAAGCCCCCAAAGAGCCGCTTCATGCAGACAAGCACATTTTCGCCATTCCAATCGGCGCGCTGGGCCACCTGATCCTCGATAAACAAGAGCTGCTTGTCAGTTGGGGCGGCTGGCACCTTTCCTGGAGGCTTCTCCGTCAGTGGTGCAGGTTGCTTCACCGATGTAGATGCTCCAGACTTGAGTGCTGCAGCGCCACCGGCGACCGATGCAGTCACGTTGCCCATGTCGGTCTGTGTGCCAAGTGCCTTGTTGTAACCGTCGTTCGATTCATGTTGTAACTGGCGATCCGCCGTACGACACGCGCGCCGATGCCTGCTGCGGCCGCCGTTGGGGATATGCACCAGCCATTCCCGACCGTCGCCCCAGCACATGGATACCATCCTGTCGCTGAGACATAGACAGCTCGTTATCTTGCGTGACTGGAATTGTTTTTGAAGTTCAACGACGCATGGCGCGGTACAAACGCCATGCACTGTACGGATTTCACACTGTCTGCGGCGAGTGCTCGGTGAGGATTGGACAGGTCGGGTGGCGCCAGTCCGTGTCAACTCGACGTGCAGGGCGCGGCCATCTCACGTTTTCGTGTATCGCGCTACATGACGCTTCCACTGACCCTTGCCGAAGTCGTCGCGTTTGACAACGTTCGTCAAGAGGTTGGGTCGTCACCGTGACCAGCATGTGTGTAGGCGCTCCTTTGTTCGATTTCCCAACGCGATCATGGCCAGGTCCAAGCCATGCTGGCCAAGATTGACGTGCAAAACAACTCCGTAAGACACCGCGCCATTTCCTCAGCGACCTCTGCTGCTGGTTGAACCTCCTCCGTGCGATGATAGGACTTGCGCGAACCATTGACCAGTGGCTTCCTTGAAGCCGCCGGGCGAGACGCGTCCATCCTGAAGCTGTTTTTGGATGCCCACTTTGACGTGGACGCATGCGACGAGGTATGCTGCCGCAAGAAGCGGCATGCAGCGCTCACGAAGTCTCATCTTTAGGAAGGCACGACGGCGTTGATGATTGCAGCTCGCGGGAAAGACTCGGTGCAAATCAGCCATAGCTTCCACACGAACAAAGTGTAACTCCCCACACGTAGGATGCCCTTGACCATGGCAATGACGAAGCTCCGGCCAACGACGGCGTACGATATGTCGACCTGACGAGTCGTCCGTGGCGATTCCGACTCACTTGTCCGTTGTAGGTGGCTGAGTGTTCCTTCGTCGAATCGTTGGCTAACGTTCAGCAGCTCTTGGCGCATGGCGCATGCGTGGACGCTGTGGATCACGTTCGTCGACACGGCCTCTTGTGTTCTCACGTCCGTCACGGCTCGAGGGTGTGATAGACTGGAAGCACAGCATTGCATCACGCAGTGCAGTGCAGCGGGGAACATGTCATTGTTCAAGAGCTAGTTGGCGCAATGTGCACTGTCGATTGCGTGGACGAGGTGCGCTTCGAGAATTTGAGCGAATCGACCAGCAGGCGACGATGCCCCGTAGAAAGGGTACATGGCGCTGCATCATGCCGCCCGGATGGGCCAAGTGGAGAACGTCCGGCTGTTGCTGGCACGCCACGACCCCCAAGACGTGAACGCGACGACATTGGTACATCGTTAGAAGAATTAAACGACTCACTTAGCAGCATAGGACGGCGAGTCTGTCCTGTCCCTGGCATGCCAATCTGGCTGTGTCGACGTGGTGAACGAACTCGTCCAGTGCTGTGGCATTGACCTGGACGCCCCAAACAGCGTAAGGACGAGATGGAAGGAGCACTGCGCGGGTAATTTTCGTCGATTCTCTTGGAATTCGATTAGGATTTGCAAACGCCGTTGATGATGGCGGTCATGGTCGGGTCACTCGATATCGTCCAAGTTCTGGTCCAAGCACGTGCAGATGTGACCAAGAAGGATTCGGTATACCACATCCTTGACCAATGAGTTGTCATGCGTTTGTAGATTGGCATGACGGCCCTCCATCATGCAGCGTGCTGCGAGGCGGCCCTGCCCATCGTCGAGTGCCTGGTGGACGCCAACTCGGACATTAACAACGTGGTAGGCCAGCATCTTGCAACGTCAAAGGCGTTGTCATCGTGTGCATCTTCCACACTAGGACGACATGGCCAACTCGATCATGCACGACGCGGCCATCGTGTCTTCACTGGATGTGGCGCTGTTCTTGTTGAAGTCTGGTGCTGCGAGCGGTTGTGTGAATGAGGTATCTCTCCTACGTCCGTCCCGACGACAGGATGACGAGCATGCAATTAGGCTGGGAAAACTCCGACAATGCTGGCTCAGCAATGGAATCGCCCCGATATGGTCGAGTTGCTCGAGTCATGGGACGGAGGGCCGCCGTAGACGTCGCGTGTAGAATTTTCATTTGATCCTACACATCAGAGTTGGAGACAGCGGAGTTCAGGATGCAGTTTCCATTGGGGCAATTCCTTTGCGTGAGGACTCGAGGATGGTTAGAGCTGCCGTTCGCTTCAAAGAAAATGATGTAACATGTATTTCAAATTGTACGAACGCGTTGCTTAGGCATCTGCTGGTCGTGTCGACTCGCCCTTCTTCTTGGGAATCCACGACATTTCCTTGGCAAGGAGCTTCTGACGTACAAACGACTCGGTTCCGTTCAAGTCCGTGGCCGGTTTCGACTCCAAGTACATGATAAAGAAGAGGTAGTTCCACAGGTTGTGCTCCTCTTCCGTGTGCTTCTTGAAGCTGTTGGTGACGCCCATCAAGATGCCGCGGTATTCAATGTCGTCCTTTGTGTCGGTACACACCAAGCAGATGCTGCTTTCGATTTCTTGCTTCTTCTCGGACGCTTCACGCAACGACGTGAACGAGTCGATGATGATACCCATAATCAAGTTGATGAGCAGAAGCAAAATGATGATGTAGAATGCCAGGTCATACACGAGGCGCTCGAAGAAGGACACATTGTCCGAGTAGTCGAGTGGGTGCGCCATCGTGCCAGACATGTAGTCGCCAATCCCGCCGCCACTCAAGAGGCCATAATGGATGTATGTCAAGTAGCACTGCATCATGGACGAGCACTGGGGGCCGTCGTCGTTGGTCATCAACTCCTGGAACCGAAAGAACCCGATCAAGGAGAAGAGGTAGATCACAATCGTGCCAAAAGCCATCGTCACACCGAGTGGCACGAGGTTCGACGTCACAGCCTTGAGCTATCGCATCGCCAAAGCCAGACGTTAGATGACACTGGTGGTGCGAGGTTGGCCCAGGAAACGTACAATATTCGACAGACGCGCGTTGATGGCAAGAATGTCGAGAAGAGGGAACCCGTAATAGACATAGGCCTGCGTGGAGATGTCGCTGGAAAGCCCCATGAACGCACAGATCGTGTAGATCGTGAACACGACGACGTTGTCCTTGATCAGCGTGTCCACGATAGCGTTGAACCAAAACAGGACGTTCGAAATGCGAACTTGGCGGTTCTTCACCTTGTCGTCCGTGATATACGAAAAGTGAAAGATCCCAGACACTTTTCGGATCGCAAGCAGGACGATATATAGCACATACGCCAACGACACGACGGCCGTGATATACGTCAGCGAGTCGTCCGTGCCATACACCATCGTGATGGCCGCGTACACTGCCACCCATCCACCTAACACCATCCACCATGAGCACACAACAAATCGTCTTGGATCGGCATTGACGCACCGATCGCGTAGAACGCTTCGCCAATTGCACTCCACACTTCATTACGCACTTCTTTCATTCTCATTTTGCGCAACTTGGCCGGCTTGAGCTTTTGTCTCGCGTACGAGAACGACGTCTCCGTCGCAATGTTGTACAACCACAAACTGCTGCACAAGATGCAAAACACACCACCGAGTCCCGATAACGTCCAATACGACTGCATAACGATTGTAAAAATGTAAAAATGGCGACACCGTGGAGTTCAAACGTACATAAATGTGGACAGTGGGAGTCGAGTCGTCCGGGTCGATCGACAGACCCAGTACCATGACAAAATTGATGTAAAAGCACAAGACAAACATGGCTTGCCGGATTAGCGTCTGGTGCTCCGTCATCCACTCGTACGTGGGGTTTTGGGCAAGAATTTGACGAGTCCGAAGCTCCTCCGCGATATTGCTACACGTTCCTGTCAGATGCCAATACCCCTTGCGCATCGTGGATTCTACCGTGACTCGGCGGACGTAAACGCCGCCAACGCATTGTCTTCGCCAAACTCCATGATGTCCATGAGGCGCTTCTTCTCGCGGAGGCTTAGGAACCGCGATTCGCGGGGACGGGGAAAGTATACTTGGATCTCTGTATCACCGCGGACTACCTCGACATTGATGACTTGCTTGGCAAAAAACGCCACGTTTTCGTTGAGAGCCTCGTTCCAACCCTTGCCAAAGTAGTAGAGCGGGTCGACGGTGTTGGTGACCTTGGACAGGAGCGAGTATGCCAACCGGAGTAGCTCGATCGACTCAGCAAACACCACGTTCGCCAAGGTGTAGTTTTTGTCGGCTTGTAAGTCCTATGGAGGATGTGACGTTGGGAGAATGCATGCAGCCATGTAAACATTTCGAACCTTGATCTTCTTGCGGTTCGCAGACAGCACTCGACACATCTCCTGTGGCGGAATCAATTCAACGTAGTGGAGGTGAACCAGGGAATCGTCGCGGCCTTCGACCATCGACAACAAGAGAATGTTGACGTTGTGCTTGAGTTTGGCTACTTGCAGCGGGTACTGGCCATTTTCGCATTGCGGCTTGCCCAGCGCAATGTCGGCGCACAAGCGGGGGACGACCGACTCGGCCAGAAATTGCTGGTTCTCCAGGCACGGGCCTTGGCACGCCTCGCTCAGGAAGCACAGCACCTTGGTGATTACTTTGACGTCCTTGAGCGAAAATACATTGTCCGACTGCTTGCAAATGCGAGACATTAAGTTGATGACAGTGTCCAGAACACTTCGATTGAACCGACTGCTGCGCATGATGTTTTGCCAATTCGTGTGGTGGCCTTCGCACAGCAGCTGAAACAGTGTCAGCGACACGATGCTTGCTTCGTGGGAAGGGCCGTTGATGTGTGACATCAAGAACCCAAACAAGTACGACCGAAAGTTGTCGTCGAGCGCCACGTACCCAGCGTACAACGCGTCTTGGGCTTCTTCGAATCCATCGACTAGCAATTCGCTGATCAAATTGAGGGCGAGACGGCTCTTGACAGGGTTCGAAACCTCCTCCATGCTTTCCTTGATGCACCAAAACACGAGCGACGTCACGTCCGACTTGACCGCTGTTGACAAGAGTTGCTTCCATTCCAAGCGCGCTTGCAGCAGCGCCTTCTCGTCCTCCGTGTGGGTATCCTCACCCGCCAACCGCTTCGATGTAAGCGCTTGGATGAACACGCGCAAGCCAAGCAACGACGACGACGACGACCGCGTGATGAGCCGCACCAGGCACTGCATCAACGTTTGCGGATCCAACGGTTCGTATGAGTTCTTCCAGTGGGCATACGTGTCTGCGCTCGAACTATTGTTCACCTTGTCCACGACGACGCTGACATGGGTTTGCATGGGTACATCCAACGACTGGTAAGTTTTGCCACGGAAGGTTTTATCGCGTGCGATAGACGGACGGAATGCCAAAGCTGCTTTTAAGCGAGTCAATTGTGGGGAGACAGTCGCCCACCTCGAAGGTTGGCTGTGTTTCTTCGTCTTGGAAATTGAGATCTCATTGTGCGCCAAGATGAGCGATATCAAGTCCTGATCGCATTGGGTGGCCTCTTGCTCCAACTTGAGCAAATGCTTGCCAACGATCATCAAATCTTGAAGCGTCGCGTTTGGAATCGACGTTGCCTGCAGGCGTTGAAATGCCCCCTCCACTAGCCTGTCCTTTAGAAGATGTGGGTTTTCCAGCAACTGGCTGGAGGCGTGGCTCACGAGGAGCGACCGCGCTCCTTGGACAAACGGGATGTAGCAGCAATTTTGAGGCGGTGACTTCTTCACCGGCCATCCGTACGCTCGAGCAATGTCGTTGCGAGTGTTGGATACGAGCGCTTTGGAAGCGCATACGGTCAATTGGGTCAGGGACTGCACGACATGGACCAGCGGATACGCCACATTGGCGCAAGTAAACAAATGCAAGTCGCTCAGGACGTCCAGACGGTCTAGAATCACCTTCATATCTGAGACCAGCGACTTGTGAAAGTCCACGACGATGGGATTCTTGGTGTGAATGTTATCCACGGCAATCCACGCCTTCAAGAACGGAACTACGCCGTGCACGACCACGTCATAGTTGTCTGTCGTAAGCAACATGTTGCGGCAAAAGTCTAAGGCTTGGCGCAGCGTATCTAGTTGAGTGGAGACCCACCCGGTCTCCAAATCACTGTCCAAGTACAAGGTCTTGGCCAATGCGAGGCCAACTCGGTGATGCTTGGGAGTGGCTTGGGGATCCGTAATTAACTGGACAATCCACTTGAGTGACAAAAGCGACTTGCACTCGAGATGACCGTAGATTCGCTCGTTGGTCGTGCCGTCAGCCACAAGGCACAGGAGGTCGAACACGTAAAGCTCCTTCGGGTACCCGATCAAGAGCGATTTTAGGTCAAAGTCCGAATAGAACAAGTGGTAGCTCGCTTCGTTCTTCCACGTTTCCGACTGAGATTCTCGAAGCATGTGCAAGACGCACTCGCCCGCCGGTTCGTTGTAGTGGGCGTGCTTGAGTAGTGCTTGGAACACCTATTCGACACCAAATGTTTAAACGTGTGGACGTCAACACACATGACGCGACACTTACGTCTGAATATCGATTGTCGACGACTGCGTTGGGTTGGCGAAGCATCTTGAGTACCAAGTACGCCACATCCTTCACCAGGGTGTAATTGTCGTTCACGAGCGGCACCACTAACACCAACAACCGCAAACTGTACTCCTCTGTCAGATGGGCCGTGAAGTTTTGAAGCAAGGAGAGAAGGTCATGCGCCAATGCGGCGCGGTCCTTGACCGCTTGTTCCTTAATCACGCGAAAGTGTAAGTTGCCTTTAGTGATATTGTCGAAGTTGTCCTTGTTGATGAGAAATTTCTTGTAGTACTCCAACTCGAGCGCCAATTCGTCGTTGGAAGGAACGACAAACGCCCCGCGTGCCAGGGCTTCCTCGAGGTATGCAATCGTACGCTCAGGAATTTGAGCGATGCGAAGCAAGCGTTTTAGTGTCGAGTTCGACACGACATTGCGCGTCCACTTTTTGACGCGTTGAATAGCCACCTGGAGTGGATCGCGGGATGACCGCTTGTTCGTCTTGCGACCCTCGTCCTTGATGTTCATGTGCAACCTCTCGACATGGCCATGGTACGTGTGTTCGTTCAAGTCAAACACAACGTGCGCTTCGTGGATAATCTGACAAAGGGCATCGTTGAATTCTCCACCTTGATAAACTTGACAGAGCGGCTTCCCATCACGGAGCCAGGAGAAGTTTGGGGTCGGAAGCACCTCGGATAAAGTAACAAATGCCTCCTGCGCCACCAACGTATCATTGTGAACGAGCAAGCTCGACAAGTACTGGACAATTTCTTTGCCAATGACGATAGTGTCATTCGACATAGCAGCTCTGCATCGAAGGACCTTGCGCATCAAGGCAACGAGTTTCCTTTGGCACACCACGACCTATGAATTGTTCAAGTTTGAGTATTAGATAAGATACACATGAGTGCGTCACGTACATTTGCTACGCCATACACGGTGTTGCAGGACAGATTCAACGGATTCAACGTCAACCGATCAGCGCTGGACTCGAACTTCACCACGCCATCGCATTTCATTCCGGTGGCATAGAGCGACTCGAACAAATTTTTGTAGCCTTCAGGATTAGTACCGCAGTACCCAAGCATGATGACCCGGTCGACGAAGTTAAGCATTTCACGGAGAAATCCAAAGTACGCGACGCTATTTTCCACCACATCGTGCAGCGTCATATCAAGCAGGGTGTATAGGGCCGGCATTTCTTCCTCAAGTGGGTTCTCTCTGTTGATCTTCAAGTCGAGAAACAGGTTGGACAGCTGCACGTTCTCAAGCATGGATGTCGCGGGCAAATACAAATAGTGCAGAAGTTCCAAGTACAGAGTACGAATTTCAAACGGAAGCTTCATGGACAGGATTCCACCAAATAGAACTCCCTTGGGGAATTTTGGCTGGAAATGGCGTCGCACCTTGATATTCTTCTCACACAACGCTGACACGAGCTTGAGTTGATGCACGTACAAAGCAATCCACTCGTCGACAAGGGGAGTCGATTGACCTCGCAATGAGCCGTCCAAGATACACTCGAGAGGAAGGGTCACATGATACGGCTCCTTGCGCACCACAGTTTCAGGTACAAGACCCACAACACCATTGCGGTTGAGGATATTCAACGTGTCTTGTGATTGGACGTCGTACCAGCGAACTCGGATATTGTCGCCGTACAGAAGCGTTTGGATCGCACAAGTGTCCCACTTGGCGACCCACGTGTCAGTGATACTCATTTCGTGGTCGTACAGTTTCTTGGAAATCAAGGCATCTTTGCGCTCGGCCAAGCTCAAGGCAATGAAAAATTGCGCTGTGGTCGTCCAGTTGCCAGGGACTATGTGTTCCGCATTGATTTTGTCCAAGAGATGCGAGACTGCCCCTGAGTTTTTGGCAATCATGTTGGTCATGATGATGCGGGCATCAACATATGCAGTTGCAAACTTGATGTCCAACCCGGTCAAGATCTTGATTTGCCCCAGCCGGTCTCCAAATTGCTCGTGCAAGTACACTTCATTCAGGTCATTGCCGACCACCAACACCCGCATAGCCTTGAAAAAGGTGACCTAGGGGTGGGACGCAGTCAGCCGTGTCCCAAACAATTTGTACGAGTGTCACACCATTAACTGCTCAAAGCCTTGCATCTTGTCCATGCATCGGAAAATTGAAGTGGCGAGGAACATCGCTTCAAGAATTTCAACATCCGAGCACGTTTGTTGCAAAAAATTGACCACTTCGTCAAACTCTTGACCTTCCATCAACGAGTACATTTGTTTGCAGGCCACCATGACGGCTTCAATACTGTGTTGAAACGACTACCACAAAGATAAAACTTAGATATCAAAGAATAGAGGGAGTATGCGTACTGCATGGTTTGTGCCGTTCAAGTACTCCAACGCAGTGAGTGAAAATGCCAAGAACGCTTCTCTCCATACACACACATGGTGCACCTTCCTCGTGAATTCCGCTGAAATGGGCTCTCCCAAAAGCCAGTCACCTGTGTGCTTCCACACCATCTATGGGGCGTTTGGATGAGCAGGTGGGAAACGAAGTGTAGGTCACAACACCGAAAGTATACCTTGTGTTGCGTTGCACCAAGGAACCATTCTTTCGAGCACTTGGGACACGTGTGCGAAAATTGAAACTCATACTCTCGGATGTCGTTCGTCCCGCTACCAACTTGAGGAGAGGTAAATCGATGTTCAACGTGGACTTGTGCCACCGACTCGACCGCCTCAGGGTTTACCAAGGTCGCAGTGATGTGGTCCTTCTTGACGCAAGGGCAAGCGATCGAGAGGAGGAACCGCGATGCAACATGGCGAAGTTGGTACAACACTTCGCCCGTTGTTGACTTGCTGCACATTTCCAAATGAAACACAGAATTTACTTTCGATGCTTGACGCTTGAAGTCCAACCCGTAGGACCGAGGAAGCGGAACTTGCCGCGTACCGGCCCCTGATATCGCGTTGCCGCCGTTCTTCCACACGAATGGCTGAAGGACCATTGGATCGTGGGTTGTATACAGTCCGACTTGCACGGTGGCCTTGACATGATTGTCCAAGAGAAGCACAGGTTTCGGCTTGCGCACCGCTTGTGCCGCCGATATGACGCTTGCACTCACAAGGATCAACGGCGAGTTGGTCACAATGTCGTTGTCAACATTGGCTTTGCCATCGTGGAACTGAAACCACGAGTAACAGGTCGCAAGTTGATCCAGGCAAACCTTTATGCGCAATTGAGATGAGATCGATCGTAAAAATTCAATTTGTCGTATCACTTACGTTAGCCTTGGACGCAGCTATCATTGGGTTGACGCGGAGGTATTGTTGGGACTTGATGTGAAAAAGTTGAATTGTCGTGTTTTCATTCACTATGTCTCTCGACTCAAGGGCTTCTTGCAACTTGCCTTCATTTCGTCGCTTTTCACTGGAGAACAGAGTCGATTAGTCGACCAATATACTTAAGCCATTACCCACCGCTCTTCTTCTGAAAACGCATCAATCGTTTGAAAGTACGGGTGAACTGCGACCGACATGTCGACGTGGTCGTAAGATAACTTGGGGTGAATGCAAAAGATAAAGTCTTCCCACTCGTTGGACGGCTTAGACGGTCGCAAGACTGTGTGGATGAAGCCGTCGCACCCGAGCACCAGGCCATCGTCAATGTTCAAATAAATCAAGTCCCCAATATGTAACGTCCGCCCGACATTCGACGACAACTGCTTTTGCATTGCTGCTAGAGTGGGCTGGACGGGCGGCTCGTTGGACACTCTGAGGCTGTCTTGATGCATTTTAAACAAGTCTTTGCCCAAATCAATGTTTTGATACATCGCCAACGAAATCGCTGAAAACCCGTTCTGCAAGTGGAAGTGAGCAAAAGTCTCAGCTCGTACGGATTGACCTTGTTTCGGGAGTGCAAACTCGCACCATGCTCCACAAGAATCGAGGTTCCAACTGGGTCTTCCTTCAAAATAGACTCCATCAAAGCCGTGCACCCGTTCTACATGCAATGATCACATCACAATGCTGCTCAAAAACAGCCCACCTTGTCCGCGGCCTCAAGTTTAGCACCTCGTTCCAACAGTAACTTCATCACGTCGTGACGCTTAAATTGCGTCGCCACAATCAGCGGAGTGAAACCCTCCTATCGAATAAAAGTCGAGGATTAAAACAGCAAAGAGCTACTTGATAATAATGAGCAATTGTACGTGGTTTGTGGCTTCGATATTGGCATTTTGTTGAATTAAGTATTCGATGACATTCAACGACGATTGCGCGACGGCATCGTTGATAATCGGATCTGCCGAATACACATCCTGGGAAGTGGTTATGCAGTTTAGCACAACAATCCATTAACGCAGCACATCACACACCGAACAAATATTGCCAACGTCAGATCCGGCCTCCACCAAAACCTTGATCACAGGTAAGTCCACTCCTCTGTAAACAGCCTGGTGCAATGCCGTCATGCCACTCTATGCGAACATTATTATTGTCAGCGAAGTGACAAATAGACTCAATTCCTACTTTGTCCTTGATGCTGAGATCAACGTGGAGACTCAAAAGCAAACGAACAATGTCGATCGAGCCGCACGAAGCAGCCAGGATAAGTGGCGTTTGATGATCCTAACATGGTCAGTTTTTTGTGCTCAGCGTTTTAACACGTTTTGCCCAAGATATGTACATACTTCCGTAAGCTCGTTAAGAACGGGCTGGTAATTCAAGAGAATTTCCACAATGGGTAAGTGTCCATATTGGCATGCCAAATGTAACGCCGACTTGCCCTCCTGTGTTGGTCAATTGACTTAGCCACAGGTTGGCAGCATGAACAGCTTACGCTCGTTTTCGACCGTGGGCTGGCCTTTCGGTTGATCAGAAGCTGCACAACGTCAGGCAGACCCCGTTTGACTGCAACGTGCAAAGGAGTTACTTGGTCCTACATGTCTTGAGAAGAAATATCCTTGAAACCTAACACCGACCTCGTCTGCCTTGTCCACATTTGTGATTTTGTTGGACCGGAGTAACATGTCAACCATTTTAAAAGTTTGGTCGCCACCGTAATTAACAGCTTGAAAGAGTGCAGATTCCCCGCTCTACAAACTCGATGGTCAGTTGGATCCTTACACAGTGTGTACCTTATTGACGAGATTAACATCTGCATCGGTGGTGTCCAACAGCAGCTTTGCGTTCTCTAGGCAACCTTGACTCGTTGGGGCTCCAGCCTACAAAAAGGCTTGGTTTCACACATTCGATTAACACGGCAATGTACTGGTATTTCGTCGTCTGAGTACAATTTCTAAGAAACCCCGAAAAGTATGTCAATGGAGAACGATATCTAGTCGCAATTGTAGTACCAAGTCGATGCCACGGACTGCCGCCATCAGCGCAGTGTCTCCGTCCTGCAGTTTTGATGAAAAAAATTCAAGGATAACGCTCGTTTACTTCGTCGGCCGCATTGATATCGAACTTTGCCTGCACCAAAGGCTGAAATATCGAGAGATCGGTGGCCGCAGCCATAACGAAACTGCGCGCGAGAGAAGGACTTTCCAATAGCTTTTGTTGAGAACATAGAGCATGTGAGCCCGAGGGACATAGCGATACTTTAAAGTACTTTTACGCACCGCAGTGTTTCCATTGAGCTGTCTCGCAAGTGTTTCGACTTGTGCCGCATCACGACCCTCGATAGCGGACACGAGTTTCTATCATAGTTCGTTCAAAGCAAGACTCTGACAAGCATATACCTTCTCAAAGTCTCCTGCGTCCATCACTGAAGAATCCTAAGACCTACGACCTACTGCCATGAGCATGACGAACATTGCGGCTGCAGGGCGTGGACGTACTCCCAACGGTGTGTCCGTCTGTGCTGCCCTGGCGAAGTGACTTGTGAGCCTAATCTCGATCCCTCTGTGTCAATTGTTCAAGTTAGATTTGAATCGTTCGAAAAGGCGATTCAAATTATTTCGCATGATAACTTGCTTCTCACAGCCATATGATTAGTATACGAATGCTCTAATGGTCGAAATAGTAAGATTTTGGAAGATAACAATATGTTCTCGTTCCAGTCTTTCTCTGTCAAATGGTGATAGCCTAATTGACGAGGGGATTTGAGTGTCAAGATACTCTATCGCCCGATTCTGACGTTTTGATTGGAGGATTTGAATGAATTGCGGACTCTGCCCATTTTGTCCCCGCGCTCGCGAGGGGCGACAGTCATTTCGTAAGTTGTCAAGGTATGCATGGTACATGCATTGCGACGCGTAGGCGATGCGGCGGAACTTACCGATATGTGCATGTAGCAAGCTTGTCCTGCTTGAAGATGGACGGTCAATCCTTTGAGTCGGTAGGAACACAAAATGTCAAAGTGACATCAGAACTGACACGCTTTGTGCACTTGTAGGACCTCATTGCTGCAGTCGTGGCGCGCAACCTGAACGAAGTAAAGCGTCTTCTAGGTCCCATTGACATCCATAACAAGGTATAACAATGCCAGACAAATAACACTGAACAACGAGTAGGAAATCAAACCCGCACTTGCGCGGTCATTTGTCCAAGCTGCCGGAAGAGATGCGTCCATTGTACACTGGTTCTTGGAACTAAAGTTTGACGTGAATGCGATGGATGAAGATGTATATCTCCTGATTTCTCTTTTGAAGTTATATTGTGCTAACAATTGATTTGAGTAGGGAGACACTGCGTTGATGGTGGCCGCACGTGGTGAAGTCAAAGTGAGTTAAGTCGTTTTGGGGATATTTGCATGCAATCTTGTCTAGAGCTTCAATCAGGATACGACTGAAACGAACATTGGCCATGTAAGTTTAGTGTTTTCTCTCTCGTGTTCTGACTCCTGCAACAGTCCAAACGAGGGGAAAAGACATTTGTGGAAAGCGCGAAAATACTGGCCGAACTTCTGCAACAAAAGCCAAAGCCTGATGTGAATTTGGCAAACAAAGTATGCACAAACATTTATGGAATTGAATTCTCATGTGGTATGCAGGAAGGGCGCACTGCACTGATTCAAGCCGTTGTGTTCTCTGGGGATCACAACATTGTCCAACTACTCTTGAGAGAGAGGTGCGATCCCAATGTGGTGGACGAGGTAGAAATCAAGTCATGGTGACAATTGACAATGGTTCACGCTTATCCTTTGTAGAAACGGCACTCGGCACTTCATTATGCGGCTGCGAAAGGACAAATTCAGACAATGAAGCTTTTGTTGCACGCGACCTGCGACGTCCTCGCAATTACAATGGTAGCTATGTCACAAATCTCAGTCAATTCATGTCACATAGGATGGAGATTCGGTATTGCATAAAGTATGCGAATCGGGCAAACTCGAGGCGGTAAAGACGATTTTGGCGGTGGAAAATGTCGACATTAACGTCGAAAACAAAGTAAGACTTGATTCATGAATACTTGACAAACTCACTTATTAATAGGAAAAACAAACTCCTCTCATGCTGGCCGCAAGCAATGGGTACTTGGACATTGTGCAAGAATTGTTGGTGTGCGGAGCTGATGTTACAAAACGGAATCAGGTGCAGAGCATATCTCTTGGCAAATATCGAAAATAACATGCGATAAATAGATTGGCATGACAGCACTACATTTGGCTATCAGCAATGGCGTTGACATTGAAGTTGTCCAATGCCTCGTCGAAGCCAACTCTGACTTTGAAAATGCTTGCACGGTAAGCTGGTCATCGCTCGGTGCGCATCTTACCACTTACTGCCAGGATGAGTACTCAGCCGAGACGGTGTTGATCACTGCAGTCATTTCGTCAAGCGTATCTGTTGTAAATTACCTTTTGAGCAAAGGTGCAAATATCCACGCCAAGAACAAGGTACTCGTACTCGTTTGTGTAATTTTATGCCGACAATTAGATGTTTACTGCATATCAAACTTTTAGGATGGTCAAACCCCCCTTATTGCAGCCGCAATGCACAACAAAGTCAAAATGATCAAACTACTGTTGGAACACAATGCCGTAGTCGATGAAATGGACAAAGTACGTATATAGGTAGGATTTCGGCGATGTACTAACACAAATAACTGTAGGAGGGCAGTACGGCGTTGATGAAAGCTGTGATCAACCTCAATCATGATGCAACGGAATTGCTGATTGAAAATGGCGCTAATTTGCAGCTTCAAAATAAAGTACAGACACTACATCATATTCACCTCACCGAAAATTTCTTATATATATTTATAGAGTGGTTACACGGCCATTTCGCTGGCAATCTACAAGAAGATGGAGTTCGGGAAAAAATTGTATGTGAAACATCAAGCCAACGTTGTTAAGAGCCTGTCGTCAAACAACATGGCCAAACCATTGCAAGCCCCTCAAGTGTCGTCTTCCTCCCCGGAGCTCTTGCATATTGGAGATTATATCACGCTTAATCTTGGCGCAGACCATGAAATCCTTGGATGCGATGGATTCGTCTGTACGACTTTGAAATCGCCTGTGGCCAATGGCGAATGGGACGATGGCGTGTTTTGCATCCATCCGCAGTTGGCGTATGACCACGTGGATATGACATCGACGAACCATCCATACTATGAAGTCATTGACCCTTATTCCGAACACGAACGGTGCGGTTTTCATGTAGTTACCTTGATTGAAGGTACATGAATAGCGAAAAGAAGAGAAATTCGACGAAATTGGCCCAAATGTTGCATTCGAAAGAAGTTGTTCAACCAGACACAATTGTTCAACTATTTCACGTCAAATCGCAAAAGTACTTGCGAGTGAATCCCATGGCAGATGACAGCATGACGAATGTAAAGCCTTCTCAAAGTTCTCCTTTGAATTTCACCTCGAAATATGTAGGCGTCGCTGGATAATCTCGCGTCCAACTATTCGTGGATTCAATTCTCCCCGGTTGTCAGCCAAGATTTGGTCACGAACGCAGAGGTGCAACTCATGAGCGCATGCATCCCAAAATTGTACAAAGGAAATCGCAAGCCCAAGCTTGTGCATTTGGTGGACAAAATCGACGACATCAAGCTATATGTTGCCCTGCATTGTACATACGATCCGTTGTTGCACCACCCTCTCAGCATTGTGCGAGGGTCCTGCTGGTTTTCTGGAGATGGTTTGCGCCAATTTCCGCTTTCCACATCCGCGTCCTTGACGCTAAAGTCGGAGAGGATGGATGCACTATCAGCTTTTGAATTGCAAAAAGCATCCGATGGAACTTCCTACGAATTGCGCCACGTGGTGTCTCGATTTCTCTTGGGAATTGAGTGTCCCTGTTCAAAGACCGAACAAATCGGGGCGCTTCTGGTGAACTCGTCAGTGACCAGCCGTGTCGCGAAGTTGCAAATTGATTCAAAAGACAAAAACGCGCCAATTGACGAAGAAAACAACCATGACAATTACATGGTCAACAAGCTCTTTCAATTGTCCCACATTTGCAAAGCATGTGGCAACAAATGGTGCCTGAACACTCAAGAGAACAAGGTAATATGTCAACGTCATGTCTCCTCGTAACACTTTCGGTCTCAAATACGGTTTAGGTTGTTTGGAACCGCTTCGAATCTTGGTTTGCTCTTGACCCTATCGAATCTGGATTTATCCAAAAGATAAACCATGTCTGCTCATGGAGAGAGGCGTTCTTGAAGGTTGTTCAAAACGAAATGGACTTAGGAGTTCACCAGGCTACTCAAGAGGTGTCATCGTCATTCCTGCCTCCAGGCTTTGATCTCAAAATGTACCTAGACTTTGCGTCAAAGCATTCAGGATGCTCTTGTTGCAAGCAGACAAGTATGCGAGCTTATGGAAAATCCGTACCTTTTTGGCGTTGCAGAGCGCATTCAACGTATTTGCTCAGAAGTGATATTCTTGGACGCTATGTTTCTTACTGCATCCATGTTTCGCTCTATTTCCCTGGACGACGAAGTGCTGGTACGTTGCCAATGCTTCGAACGGTATCTGTCCCATAATGTCAATTAATTTTACATGTTTAGTCGCATTTCTTCAAAGCCATGCGCCTGTTGGTCGTCGGGAACGAATCGTTTGAAGCTTACCTTGTTGAGCAATTCGAACATCCCATTGGAAAAATCAAGATTTTGTCTGGCTTGGACATTAAATATGCTTCGAAATACGTGGATGCAAGAACGATCTTGACAAGCATGATCGGAAAAAACACTCGTACTGTGGCGTATCTACTGGAAGCTATAAACACGGACACTCAACTCGACACGTTCATCTGGACGAACAAGGCGCAGTTCTTGATCTCCCTCAGTAACGCCAGCCGAAGTGACCCCCTCATCTCGTACAAACTCTACAATCATGAAATCGCAATTGCAAAAATGTGGCTCAAGAACTGGGACACTATGGCGGCGAAATCGTATACCAAGGATGGTGAAGTATGGGTTCGTTGGAATGACTCGTGCTCTGGAAGAAAAGAATCGAAGAATCTACTCAATCGCTCGCGAGCAATTTCAATGGGAACCTTGCGCGTCGTGTCGGACGATACGTCCATTGCAATTCCACTTCAAGACATTGTTAATGCCTTCGAGAGAACTACCGTGGCCAATGATGCTATCAATTCGTGGATGATCTCGTATCTCCATCACCTCAAGCTTGTTTCAGCTCTGTGCAGAAACAATGCTGATACACGACCTCTCTTTCGCGACCACTTCCCCCCTGAACTTCTGATGGATGGCGCGTGCAACGATGGATTGTCATTCCCTATCCGTTCCTTGTATCTCGAACTTTTCGAACTTTTGTGCGTGCCAGCGTATCAAGTCCCAGAATGTGTGCAATTGACAACTCTCTACTTGGACGTCCGCGAACAGCAATCGCAGCTGACGCTTGGTCAATTCAAACGACTGGATATGCTCATCCAGTCCAAACTCGTGCCACCGACGAAGCAAGAAACGCCTGCCATGTTTGGATTTATTGAACGGCTTTTAATTACGATGGAAACATTGATCAACGGGGGATTCTATACATCCGAAAAGGGGAAGTGTGCCAAAGCCATCGAAGTGTTGTATTCAGTTGCTATGGCATGGGATGACGAGGACCTCAAGTTCGACATTTCTCCACAACGTGAAGATGACCCATTCAACTTATTGTCCCAACAATCGACTGGGACGTCGTCAGTACGTTGCAATTGTGGAGTTATTTTGTTGAGAATGTTTGTAGGTGATTTTATGCCTTCGCCGATTAATTCCACTGGCACGAAAATTGACACGGTTTTCCATCGTTGCGAAATCTCAAAAAGGCTTGAAACCTGACTTCAAACAGCCCATCGTGCATTTCTTGTCGCGCCTCCTCAACCACGATGATAAAGTTGTCGCTCAAGAAGCGTTTATGACGTTATCCGAGCTCCTCCCGGATCATTCGTTTCCTTGGCTAGACAACGACAAGCTGTTGTGTTCAACACTAAAAACTTTGGACCATCCCAAACTGCTGGAAGTATTTTCAGATGCGAACTTGATTTTCAATGGCGGTGCACATGTCGTCCACGGAAATGTTGAAGTAAGAGGCAAGTCAGAAGACTCGGAAACAGCCCGAAAGAAGGCCAAGTCGCCTAAATCTGGTTTACAGCGTGCTGCGCAGAAGATCAACCAATGGATGTCTGAATTTGCGAAGACTAACTTCGTCTTTCTACGTTTGGCGAATGTCCCAAGTCGTATCATTGCTTACATTGAAGACTCCCTTGCCAAGAACATGTTCGTTGTCCCAACCAATGATATCCTCGCCTCGGAATGGCGGTACTACTTGACTACTGTTGATCGCATCGATCTGAGTGACAACGAATCGCTGTTTTTGTTTCGCCAGTCAAAGGAAAAGATTCTGGAAGACAGAGTGGCGTTGATTGACTCGATGTTGGAGGTCATTCACCGACTTGCTCCCTACTTGACGGGGGATTTGTGCGTCGCTCTGTTGAACGTGATGGTACCGTTGCTCCACGCACGATCTAGCTTGGTCGGAAGGGTGTCCAAAGTTGTAACTACTTTGCTCAAGCAAGCGTATGTCGATGTGGATGGTCGGTTTACAAAGGTACAAGCAACCACTGGTATCTATCTGCCAGTTCCATGATCAATTTGTTCATAGATCTTTAACGCTCTGCTACATCATGTGGTCAATAGCGACGATGCGGGTCAATGTGTGCTGCGGATGCTTCGTCAATCCAACAGTGACGAATGGAAACGTGAAACGATGGTTTTTCTCTTCCACTCCAACTTTGACCTAAGTTCAGTACCAAGGCTACCAACGTACCACATCTTTGAAATCATCTGCATTGTGGCCAATGGCTCGACGAATGAGAGTATCTACGGCCATCTCGAAAGCAAGGCATTGTTGCCCCTCGACTGGATGGTGAGTTTGCTGTCGCATGCCACCGATTCAGGTGATGCACAACGGGCAAGTCTCCAGTTGATCAAGACCATGTACTTTGAAAGTGATGTTGAAACAGCATGGATGAACACCGAATTGCCTAAAACGATCGACGCGTTTCAATATTGCCTGCGACACTTGGAAAGCAACGTCAATGAATCCGTCTTGCTTATTGGGATCTTGCCGTTTGTGCGCGCCTGGAATGCATTGTCCATCAAGTACAGGGCCACTAATGCGGCAGTCCGTGAATTTCACGTGGCAATTGGTCCAATCCTGAAAAAGATCGCTGCATTGCTCAAGGATGTAGCATCCAAACATCACTTTCATTGTTCGAATGCCGAACAACGTTTGGACAACATGATGAAACGTTTAGAAGTTCCCTCATCGTGCTCCAACATGCTTCAAGTGACGTTGGCATTCAGGGAAATCAAATACATGTACGAGGACCCTCGATTTGCCACACCGGTAATCAGTGAAATGGACCCAAATCTCAAACCTTGCAAATCCCAATTCTACAAAGAAGCTGGAAAGCTCTTGGTCGACAACATGGCGCCATACTTGCTCTACAATGATGCGCACAAGCGAATTCCGTATGCTGTTCTCCTGTCGACGAAGAAGATCCCCCATGCCACCGCGGACGATGACCCTGACTTTCGTCATTTGAAAGCTGTCGCGAAATACTTGATCCAAATGCAGACCACTCGCGTTCAGCCAGATTTGTTGGCACTGATCATGGAGCAGCAAGAGCTGAACGACGTCAAGACAACAACCAAGACATTGTCATGGCCGAAAACGTATCTGCAAAAGCAAATAAAGTTGCCAGGGTCCAACCCAACGACGAAACTCAACGAGCGCAAGTTCAACGGAAAGAACTATTACACATTGGAAATGCCCGGCGAAGACGACGAAGAAGAGGACGTCAATGCGGTAGAAGTGCATGATTCACTGATCCATATTGCGTACAAAAAGTGGACGAGCAAGGCCGAGCCTTTGGATATGCAAACGCTCATGGAGTCTCTTGTTCGACTCATCACTCTATCGTCGTCGGCTTCCGCGTTGGGCCTTCGTGTCTTCATCCAGTCGTTAGCTTCAAAACGGGAAATTGCTGAAGATGTCCACGTTGACGACGCCAAGTTCCTGTTGCACGCGAGGCTCGAGTGGAAAAAGATGATCTCCACCGCTGTCAAGGCAAACGCGACATCTCTCGTGTTCTGGTGTGTGGGGGAAAGCTTGAAGGAGTCTATGAGCCCGATGAAAAGTCGACTGGCCATGGATTTGATCTCGGAATTGCTGGCGGATGGGTTCAAGGAAGGCCAAGACGCATTGTTTAACGATTATGATGCTCTCGACGACACCAAGAAAGTGCACTTGTTCCAATTCTTGACGTCACACGTCGGTGGCATTTCGCACGAAGTCACTGTCGTGACACTCAAGTTGTTCCAACAGTTGTGTGAAGGACACCACGCAAACTGGCAGCATGCTATGCGTAGTAGCCGCTTCAGCCGCAGTGTTATCGATACCGTCATCAACCTCATGTCACGCATTTGCAACCAAGCTGAAGGGATGTTTTCGCTGGCAGCTATTGAGATTCTGACCAGTGCACTGGTGTTTTTGAGCGAAGTGTGTCAAGGCCCGTGCCTGGACAATCAGCAATATCTCGTTGAGTCTGTCGTCCCTCGTCTGTGCGCCGACTTAAGTTTGGGAAAGATTCAATGTGAAAACGGCAAATACCCGCTTCCCCTGTCGCAACTGAAGCACCGGGCAAATGAGCTATTGCTGTCGCTCGGTGAAGGTCGAACGGACAACCTCGTTCACAATCACTTGGCCGAGCTGCTGCGTCCGCAATTGTTACTCGATGTGATTTCAGGAAATCGATCCCAGATTAAGGTGAGTGCTCTGCCTTGTTGAGAACAGATCATTTCCTAACCCATCTCTATAGGTTTTGCGAAAGGGGACAAAAGATTTAGCTTTGGCTCAGGCGTACTTCACTGAGACGATTGAACTATTGCGTGTGGTGTATTCGCTCTTGTCAAAAGCCACCGCAAGTGAAAACGACATGTTGACCCAGTTTTCCAAGCACTGGGACGAAATAAAGCTGGACAACGAAAACGTGGAATATTTTGCCAAACAAGTCATCAGTGTCGAGATTGTCCGAGGCGATTCCGCCATCCGAGTGTACTTCCCTCAGCCTAAAGAAGCCAAGTACCTTCGCAAACCCGAAAAGAGACGCTTACTCGATATCATGAACCTCGGCGAAGATAATGCGTTAGCTGCATTTACTTCCACGGACGCTCGGTGTGTACTTCATTTATATGACAACGCCATCTTATTCGTTGTTTGGAATGTGTGTAGAAACCTTGCCGAAGAGCTGCGCGCGCGACACGTGCTTGCTTCCAATGTCGAGTACGCCTGGATGAATGAGTGGCAGACAATGCTTCGATGGTGGATGTTTATTGTCGGCTTCTATATCAACTTTGTGATGGTGCTCGGGCTGGCGATCAACCCCGACACTGCAGAGCCGGTCGTTCACATCTGGGTACGATGCATGAATGTGCATTCATCGCATCACTTGGTCCTCGTTAGATTGAATGGTTCATATCAGTCCTCGGAGGCGTGTTTTGTATCTTGTGCAGCAGTTTGTGGCTGTACAACGTGATCACTGAAACTACGTTTTCGTATGCGCGACAATTGCTTCGACCTAGTAAACTTCGGCGCATGTCCAGAAGCGACATCAAACTCGAAATTTGGGATGCTGTTGGATCCGCTGGGTACACTATTGGTATGATTAAATCCAATATTTGCAAATTTTCCTAATATTGTACTTCTAGTCGGGTGGTTGGCGATTTTCGCTGTAATCATCATGGAGTATGGTTTCGACGACGACGTTACGTTTGTGATTTTGAAAGTGTCGGGGGCGTACATTGCAGTCTTGATTGTGCTTTCGCTTCGCAAAATTGGCGACATTTATCACTTTTCTTATATCGAAGGCGAAAAAGTCAAGAGTTCGGATGGCCTTGGCTCGAACATGCTGTTCTGGTTCAACGCGATCATTGACACGGTTACTCGGGGCAACTTTTACGTGTTTACCACGTACACGCTTTGTGCCTTCATGGGCCTTGCTCACGATTCTGGATACTCGTGTTTCTTGTGGTATGGGCTCCCTTTGCTTGACATCCTAGCCATCAACGCACGGCTGTCCAACATCGTAGGTATTCATCTCTACTTCTCTAGATTGACTATCGTATCGTAGTTGAAAGCAGTCACGTCAAACGTTGCCCCGCTCTCGGTGACTCTGGCGTTTGGAGCGATTGTGATTTACTTGTTTTCGCTCATCGGGTTTTTCCGGTACCAGGATTTGATGACCGACAGCGCGTCGGTGCTCCAGTGTTCGTCCCTGATGCAATGCTACTTTACGTTCATCCACTATGGCTTGCTCAGTGGCGGTGGTATTGGCGACTACATCTCCAACACGCTATCGCACCCTCTGGATTACAACTCCGGCACGATGTTCCACGAGCGTCTCATGTTTGACTTGGCGTTTTACATATTCATTCTGGTGCTGTTGATCAACTTGATCATGGGTATCATCATCGATTCGTTCACGTCGTTACGTGAGTCGTCCGAACGCAAGCTCGAAATTGAAATGAACACGTGTCTTGTGTGCAACGACGCGAAAGACGACATCGAGTACCGAGGAGTCCTCGGAGGGCTCACGAACAACTTCAAACGCCATACGGAAGAAGAGCACAACCTATGGAATTACCTGTTCTTCATCATGTACTTGGACTCAAAGCCATCCACGAGCATGAACGGGACGGAATCGTTTGCGTACCAAAAGCTTCTCGCCAAGGACATGTCCTGGCTCCCCAAGCGTAAGGGCCTTCCTACGGAAAAGGCTGTCGAAGGTATAGTACAATGAGCCAACGAATGAATACATTTGGTACATGTTGACTGCTTTGAGTTATTTCGCTCATAGTTTTCATTACAACGTCATTGTTTTCTGTTAAAAATGGCTCTTGCAGAGCATACAAGCTAGGACTTCGATTTTCGATCTTCGACCAAAGCTACAGGGGCTATTCCATTTCTCCACGCAATCATTTCATCTGCGCTGGACGCTTGCAATTGCCATGTGATTGGAGCCTTCTCCACCAAACTTGTCACGCGAAACGAAAAAGGAAACAGGGCGTCTTTGTCGATCGCGACCGTGCATTTGGATATGTCGAGTACCCCGATGATGTCCCTCTTGGCGAATGTCTTGTAGCAATACAGTAACGGGCGCTGAAGCACAAACCACCGACGATTCCACAATGACGACGCTGACATACTGAGCATGAGGTACCCGCTCAATTCGCCCGCGAACGGGTCCAAATGGGACGGATAGGTAATTGTATGAGTCATGTGGTGTTTGAATGCATTCGTCGCTGGTTGATTCATCTCAACCCCAGACATGACGTGGACCGCGGCGCCTTGCCTGGTCGCGCTTGCAATCGTCCACTCTCCTGACACTTGGGACAGCACAAATTCCAATCCAGGAGAAGTGTTCACTCGAAGCAAGCCTTCTTCGCCGTGCAGAGCTGCTTCAGTTGCAACCTGCTGTCGATATCGTTCGAGGTTGAACGCTGCGTGCAACCTTTCCATGCCTTTTCCGTAATGATCCAGCAGTTTTTCCGCGACAACCTCATGCGGAGGAGTCATATCTTGGCCAACATCCACGGAGAACCAGTGTCCCAAGCGATGCATGCGACTTACTTGCTCACGAGCCCACCACGCCGTCTCCTTTTTCATCTTTACCAGCACCTTGGCCGTAAACTTCGTCGATAGCACCACTGGCACACATGATAAGGTAGTTTCGAGGGCCAACGCAATGCGATACACGCGGCGCTGGCCTCGCATGTCAACTGTTTCACGAGCGTTGCCGTCCCACTTCATCACGGACACGACCGACCGCGCTTCTCTATCGACTTGAACAGGGCCTCGAAGCGGTAAGGTTATCCACGCTGCCCAGTCTTCACTCGATGGCCTTGGCGACTACAATGATCAACCCATATTGAGACCATCACTAAAAGTCTTGCAAACCAAATCGGCGTACTTCTTTTGCTCCAAAGCGTTTGAAGAATCCTCCAAGCGTTGCCGACCCCAAGGCCGAAGCCGCTTCGAACTGTGACACGCTTTTCGAGTGTCCAATGGCTTGTTGGGGGGAAATGCGAATGTGAGCAATCGAGCCAATGCAAAATGGCTGTTGGTCCGCTTGCACGACTCGAACAACCAGCCGCCTCGACGTGTATTGTGATAGTCGCAACGTTCCGTCCTCCTTCACCGTCACAGGCGCGTACAACCCATCGGGCATGCGCTCTTCGACATCGACGGACACAAACACGTCGACTTTGGACTGCCGCCTTCGGCTGGGAGGAGTTGCGCTACTTGGTTCAGACAGGTACGACAGCACGGACGACGGCGACGATTGCACGGACGGTGGTGACGCGGGGACTTTACCCCAGCCCCACACGTCCAAGGTCAAGAATTGATCACGAAAAACCTCGATGAGAGGCTGACGTTTCGGGGCATGAACGTTGAACGACATTCGATGAGCTAATGCAAATACCCCCGTGGAGCTTGTTGCTTTCGGCGTGGCTCTAGCGTATAAACGGCAGGACTGAGAAACACCAACGTTTTTCGTAGGCAGATAATACGCACCCCTGATTGGAACGAGGAACACCCCACCCGTAATACGAAATGTACACTCCTTCGGGAGACTGGACCGTGTGGAATCGCAGTTCCTTCCACGACACTTTGATCGTATGTTGGACCAAGTCTGGGCTTTTTGGTACTGCTTTGTAAATTTCCGTCACGAGCTCCAGCGTTATGGACGCCATGTGCAAGCCAACGGGGTCGAAAACCGTGATCACTCTGTCGATGGTAGGGCACGACGTCGGTACCACGCTTGATAAGTCTAAGGCAACATATAGTCGCGCTTGGCCCATCGATCGCATAGTATTTGATCGGATCTGGAAAAACGGGTCCCCTGGGTCATTCTTAAAACACGTCGCCAAAGGTGGAATTTCCACGGTCAGATGGGGGGATTGATTTGTTTTCTGTGCTGGATCTGCCGTCGGTGGTGTCTCTTCGTGGCAGGTATTTTCGACTTCTTGAGTATTTCCTTCGGCTTCCTTTTCAACTGGGTCGTCCACTTCACCCGTTGGGGGAGCGCACACAGCAGGAAGACCCAACATAGAGATCAACGTCTCCTTTTCTATCAGGTCTGCGTTGTACGCGCGCAACGTTTGTAGTCGCTCCAGAAACAATGGTCGCTCCCACGTAATCCCAGCGGTTTTTCCATCGACAGACAGAATGGACACGTCGCTTGTCGCCTCGCGCTGGAATCGATACGGAATATCTGCTTGAATGCACAAGGCATTCGCTTCTACGACCAGATTCATTTAGCGCGTACCGAACATGATTCTTGCAAGTCGAACCTTCTATTTGAGTATCAGTCTTGGCCGTGTGGCGTCGACTAAGAGCCTCCGAAGGAACTAATGATGACGATTACTGGATTGAACCGAAATGAAGAGCTTTGCTGTCGTACCAAAGACACGAAATGCATGCGAGGCGCCTAGTTGAATGCGGTCTCTGTGCTTGAGCGGTGTAAAGTTTTCAATCGGCGCACCTGCACACGTCCGCATAGTCAACGATTTTACTTGATGAAGTATTTCTTTGACACTGCACCATTGACGAGGACGAGGGCCGATGGGGACGGCTCGAGCGTGATAAAACCGTTGTCGTTGAGGATTTTTATGTGGACTGGAAGCAGAGATGCAGCGTCGTGTGTCAGATGGATTAGATGCACAGAAGGATTCGCGGCTTCGTTGAGGACCTAGTCATGTGGGTCGATGCAAATAAACTAGCGAAAAGAGCAAAACGAGAATTCGTACCACACCCTCTAAAAATGAGTCTCGATGTAGCGATCGCGGAGATCCCGTCACGGCGGACTCCCCTAGTACCACCGTCGGGTCAGCCCCAAGAACGGTCAGGCCAGGCTCCAGCGCGTAAGCCAACGGTTCATTTTCGAGCAAGTCTTCCTCCAAATTGATCAAACTTGGGTGCGCGATTGGCAATTGCAGACACTTTTCCTGCCGCTTCGCATCCCGCTGGAGCTGACCGAGCATTTCTTCACGCTCCAACAAGGATTTGACAAGACCAGCACTGGTTTCGGAACTACGTCGGCGCATGGTGCCCATGAGCTGCCCCTTGAGGTCCTCGATTTGTTGGCGCAGTTGCCGAATGATGGCCGCGTTTTCGTCTTCGTTCACGACAGCCCGATTCACGATTTTCTTCGCCGACTCGGCGTACCGCAGTGTGCTTAGAGTTTCATCGTAATTTTCCGACGCCGGGCTCACCATCGCGAGCATCGTTGTCTTTCAAGTAGAATCAGAATGAGTCGCGACACGTTCAAACTCTTGGCTACCTTTGCATTCCCGCCCAACGATTCCTTCAATAGCCACGTGAGTGTGCTGTCGCGATATGGGATGCGCTCCTTGGCCCCCAGCGACGAAATCACTCGCCCCAGCGTGAACAAGCTCTTGTTGATCATCGATGCTTCTTTAAGACGTTCTCCGGACGTGCCGGACGTGTCGCTTCGCTCGGATCCGGCTAAATCCACCAAACAAATCTTGGATGTCTACAGCCGCCCCAACGAGTCACTCCCTCTGCGTTATGCATTTGCACACACCTTTTCATGGGCACTCAACGTAATGGGGTCCACTCGTGTCTGTAAATTGTCAGAGTTGTTGTGACAGCCAATTTGGCTTACTTGGGTGAACATGATGGTAAAAATTGCATGCGATCGAGACGAAGTGGGGTTCATGAGCGTCGCAGCGACCGTTCGCAGTTTTTGCCCGGCAACCAGTTCTTCTTCGATCTACGGCCGTGAAATCGACGATTCAGCCATCGATCGATCCATCGCACACCTCGTCCATGGGGTCTTCACAGGCGATGCAGTGGAGCAACGTGCACCTACCTCTGCATACGAACCAACCGGCCGCGTGATCAATCCCTCCACGAACGGACCATGCACAGGATGTTCGCGGATCTTGAGTGGTCGGGACGAACACTCGACGTCGACTGCTGACAGCGGCTGCGATCCTGGTCGATGCAGTGGTGCCTTGGAGTCATCCAATAGATCCTTGACCTTTTCCTTGTAAATTTCGCAGTAGTTCATCTACCATCGGCAATCGCATGAGGAACGTTGTGTTTCCGCAAAACCATCGTACATGAACGCTGTAAATGGTCTTGTGCTGGTCATCGGAGCAGCTGTCCTTGGCCCGCGCCTTGTCGATTGCGTCGAAGAGAGCTTCGCATATGCGCGGAATGAGACCTTTGCCGTTCTCCGACTTGTCGCCCACCATGGTGTACGTCTTACCGCTGCCCGTCTATCCCAAGCCACGTCAGAAGCCACATCAGATGAAGCAAATTCGGTCGCGATAGAACCTGTCCATAGGCAAACACACTGCAGTTGAACCCGTCGAACGCGTTCGCGACGATGTCCCGCCCGATCTCCTCAAACAGCGCAACCTGGACACGGTCGTCATTCCCTGTGGACAGCGCATTGCCGTAGCAATGGTCGAAAACAAAAGTTCGCGGTGGATTCGTGTCATTGTCGATGTCTTCGCAGGTGGATGGTTGTCGCACATGCACCGAGTTCTTGGTAACTTCCACCACGGGACCTCGTCCCGACGACTTCTCCTTCTGGCTAAGCGGCCGCACACGAACCACCACGCGGATCGCACATGACGATGCCGTAGTGGGCAAAGCGTGTGATGCATCTGGCTCCATATTGGTGCTTTACCAGTGTGACGCTGCGTCCTCTGACCCGCCGACAATGCCGGCCTCGCAACTCGAACCGTGCCAGCCACAGTGGACCAGAATGTTGGTCATCGACCACCAGCACCATACAAATGGCAAGGTGTTTTCTGTCGCGCGCGACCCCTCGTGTCATCGACACCGCGGTGCCAAGCGGACGCCCCACTCTCCTGCTCTTCCACTCCTCGCTTGGGTGACACAGCCCTAATCGGGTAGTCAACCGTGCTATCGTGGCCGCCAACGTGGCGACAGCTCAACTTGACTTCGATTAAAGCTAAGCACACCTTCTGCACACCAGCAAGAAGCGAGCACCATCCTCAGCCGTCTCAAAGGAGCAACACTGGAATAACGTTACTGTGTAGTTCCACCCGCGCTACTTCACTGCCTCGATAACTGCATGCCAATCGGTGTCCCGGCCAACATGCACACGAGGATTCACTCGCAGCACATATGTGTATGGATCCTTAGCCCGCTACATGAATGAAGTCTTCATCTTCGAGTGCATCCTCAGCCTCTTGCAGCGACGTGAGGTACTGAATCACGTTGGTGTACCCGTAGTCATCGGCTTGTTCGTAGGCGGCGCCAGTGAACCCTTCGTCCCGATTCTCGACAAGCCACTGCACGGTGTCCAAGTACCCGTTGCCAGCAGCTCGATCGATTGCGTTCACAGTGCACCCTGTCCATCCCATGTCACAACTTGATGTTGGCACCATGGCAGTCGTACCTTCGTGGCGATGTTTGTGCAAAAATTGCACAACTTTCAAATGGCCACTTCGCGCTGCCCGATCCATGGCCTCTGTCGTGCACCCCTCGGACCGATTCCAGTGCAGCCACTCAACCACCTACCACTTCATCAGTCCGCCATTGCTTTCTCACACAAATGCACCGAAACCCACGTCAAGATGCCCGCTTTCGGCCGCCCCATCCATCGCATGCTCCGTACAACCCTCTGATCGATGGAAATGCAGCCACTGGACAACATTTAAATGGCCTTGAAATGCCGCCGCATCCATTGCTTCTGTCGTGCACCCCTCCGTGCGCTGCTCGTGCAAGAACTGAACAACGTCGAGGTGGCCGTTTTCCGCAGCATAGTCCATCGCACACGTCGTGCAGTGCTGGTGGGCGTCAAAGTGAAGCCATCGCACAACATCCAAGTGACCTTTGGACGCAGCCTTGTCCATGGCTTCGGTCGTGCATCCTTCGTTTCGATGGCGGAACAGCCATGCCACAACGTCGAGATGGCCATTTTCTGCGGCGCCATCGATCGCGGCCGTGGTGCAACCCTCTCGTCGGTACTGATGTAGAAACTTCACAACTTCCAAATGACCATTGCGAGCCGCATGGTTCATCGCGTCGTACGTGCAGCCTTCCGAACGAAATTCGTGCAGATATTGCACCATCTACAACAGCAGATGCTTGAGCTCCCCTTCCCACAACCCGACGCTTACTTCCAAGTGGCCGTTCTCGGCGGCAACGTCCATGGCCATTGTCGAGCATCCTTCTGTGCGGTGGGCTGCCAGCCACTTGAACGTTTCCAAGTAGCCGTTTCCCACCGCCGAGTCCATGGCGTAGGTAGTGCAGGGGTACCCAGTGGCATGCAGCCACTGAACGACCGCGAGCCGGCCCTTGGACGCCGCAATATCGAGCGGCCCGAGCATCACCTTGTCTTCCACGACGTCGTGATCCAAATGTGCTCGGTCGAAATGGTCTTCGTCAATAAATTCCAGGTCGGGGATGTATGGCAACTCGGTCGCAAACGCAGTCTCATCAAACTCCTCTTCGTACGCATCATCCCCGCCAAACAAGTCCTCCAAGACACTTGCTTTCGAAGCTGCTGCACTTTCGTCGAACTCGCTGTCGCTGGCCTTGAACAGAGCCGCGTTCTCGTCCTTGTGTTCATGCAGCCATTGCACGCAAGCCAAGTGGCCGTACCCCGCCGCTTCGTTCATCGCCATGATCGTCCATCCCTCCGACGTGTGCTCATGCAGGTACTCCAGCATATCGACGTGGCCATGTCGGGCCGCACTGTCCATAGCGTGGACACTGCAACCCTCCCTTCTGTTGGTCAGCAACCACTCGACCTTTGAATTCCACGTCAGACGATTCAAGCTTCGGAAGTGACACACATACCACATGGAGATGCCCACCAGACGCAGCGTTATCCACGGCACCAGCACTGCACCCTTCCGTACGATTCGCATGCAACCACTGGACTACTTCCAGTCGGCCGTGGTTTGCCGCCCAGTCCATCGCCCGAAATGTACATCCTCGATCGTGGTGGTTGTGCAGCCACTTGAGAAGCTCCATGTGACCGTTGCACGCTGCCCAGTCCATGGCGTTGGTGGTACAAGCGAGTTCGAGGCCTTCGCGCATTCGAGTCTGCAAGATGTACAGGTGACCCGCATACGCTGCGTGGTCTGCGCTGGTCCAGTGCTTGAACTCAAGACCATTGCTATAGGCGTTAATGAGCAGGTAGAGACCTGGGTCGGTCAGCACTCGAAGCGTCGATTGCTGCGTCGCGGACGTCATTTGGATTATATGGTGCTAGTCGTCTTAATCGCCGCTAATTGCCGAGGAAACGAACATTGCGTCGTTCGATGAGGTCTTTCTCGACCACGAGCGAGTGTCCGGATAATGTGAATATTAACCGGTACCCACTGTCTTGTTATCCGGAATGCCACGTGATATTGAACGGCCGTTTCATTGAGGGATATATATAGACACTAACATTTTAGCCAATAAGATGACGTCAAAAACTGCTGCGGCGGCCTTTTTAGATCACAGTTTAACTTGGATAAATTATGGATTAATATCTTACGAGTAAAAGAAACCCAATTTGAGTTTCTTGCCATGCCTGCAACCGAGAATGCCACGGCGGCGGCGGGGGCCCCGCCGCCGCCAAACATGTACTTCCGCAGCGTGGATGGGTTCTTTGCATATGAAGCAACACACACGGAAGACCTGCTGCGAAGCCAAACGCCACACTTATTTGAGCGGTACCATCGCATCCCCACGAATTGGCAGACGTTTATGCAGAGCATATCTTCCCTCGCCGTCGAAGCCTACGATGTTAAAGTGCTCTATTTCATCCGACATGCTGAAGGCCATCATAATGCAGCAGAAAAACACCACGGCACGCCGATATGGGATGCTTCAGTTTCCAAGGATGACGCCTACTTGGACGCGGAGTTGAATGAAGCTGGTGTCAGAGATGCATCTAGACGATCCGTGTATATGCGCATGGAACTCGACGCGGGGATGCCCCTCGATCGCATCCTCGTGTCGCCGCTGACCCGGACTGTCCAAACAGCCAACCTCTACTTTAATCTCACCTCGTCAACATCGATCAAGTCGCCAAGAACACAATTGCCTGTCCTAGCCATCGAATCGGCGCGGGAGACGCTCGGAGTCCACACTTGCGACAAACGACGGCCGACGACGGAACTTATCCGAGACTTTCCTCACGTTGACTGGAGTCTCATCGAGTCACCCCACGACGACTTGTGGCACCCACATCACCGCGAGACCTCAGAGGAAATCCACACGCGATGCCACGAGTTCCTCGAAGACGTTTTTCACACAGTGCCTGACACATACTTGGCGGTGGTGTCCCATGGAGGCTTCATTCGGGCGTGCATGGGAGTTCTCGGCATGCCAAGCTACAAACCGATCAACTGCGAGGTCGTGCCCGTAGTTGTAGTCATGAACTCGTCACTGCCGCAAACCAACCCGTCATCCGCCAGCCTCACCACCGTCGACGACGATCTGCTCGGTGCGTCTCCATTGCTTCTGGCTGTTGCCGTAGTGGTCATCGCGCACTGGGTCAAATGCTTCAAGTGCGCATTTCGGCAATTCAACACTGGACTTTCTTAAGACTGCCGTCCAATCATTTACTTATTCCCTCAAATGGCCATTGCTGCATTATCCTGCAGTGTCCAACTCGGTGGAGGTCGTGCTGTGCTAGGAGATGGTTACGTCGTAAGGGACGACTTCTGGAGAGGTGCTGTGGTTGCCATGCACATCCAGAACGACGGGCACGAGTTCGCAGTTGCCCACGCGGTATTCAGGCATGTGAAGTACCCTAAGACATGCCGTGATAAAGCCGACGTGCGACACCACCGCGATGAAAGTGTCGGGGACGTCTGCATGCAACTGACGAAGGAAGGCCACGGCGCGTGCTTGGATATCGTCAAGAGATTCCCGCGTGTCCGATCGCCACAGTTTGTCAGCATCGTCTTGAATGTGTGAAAAGTCGACGGATGGAAACAGTGGTGCCAGCAATGAGATCGGGCTCCGTTTGTCGCACGTGTGCATGCCGATGGTTTCCCGACACAATTCCATCGCCACGAACGGGACGTGACCGATTTGTCGCCGGAAAATCGATGTCGCGGTCTGCAGTGTCCGCCGCATGGGAGAAACGATGATCTTTTGCAGCGGCATGCCACGGTCGATCTCGGCTTCGACGCGACCGGCGGTCACGACGGCTGCAGCTTCACCTTTGGCTGTAAGTAAGGCATCCAAGTACGTATCTGTGCAGGCAATGTCTCGAAACCACACGTCGGCTCCATATCGAACCTTTGCCGCATTGTGTTCGCCTTCGGCGTGTCGAATGAAGTAAATCACCTTGACAGGTGGTGTGGAGCTTTCAATCGCCTTCGTAAACAGTGCCCAGGATTCAGCAGACCGGTGGAAGTGTTCAAAGATGCTGTTGTCTGCGTCGGGAGTGGAGTGGTACGTGAAGTGGCCTTGCGCGATATGGAAGCCTCCTTGAAGGGCGGTGTCACGTGCTCCCACCGCGTCGGCGACGCGTGCCGTCGACATACCTTCTGCCACCACCATCACAAAGAGTATGCGGCACGCAAAAATAGAGCTTCCTTGTCGAAGGAAGACAGGAGAAACGACATAATGAAATCAAGTACTTCCACCCTCAAACTTACACTTAATCGTACTCTACGACCAACCTGGTTGTTGGAATTTTCCGCACGATTGTACTTTAACCATGAAGAAATTCTGCTAAGGGCATCCCGCAGCAGATGACTTCACAGGTGGTGCTCTAGGGAATCCCTCGGTCTAATCGAACTCCTTAAGTGTAGCTCGTGCATGGCCTGCATAGTAATGTTTAAACATGAGATCATGCATATCTTGGTTGTGACATTGCGTCGATTTTGGCGTTGAAAAAGATTTGTGAAACTGTCACCACATTTTTTTGCACAGGTCAACTAGATGGCGGCATCGCAAGTGGGCCAGTAGCGGCAAGCGTGACGATCGCGAATGCGGTCCACAGAGCTGAGGACACAACCTTAGCAAACGACGCACATTCCATGGTCCGTGTGGAGTGAACTGGGCTTGAGCTGCGACGAACGCGTTGTGTGGGCGTGTGACTAGGTTGTACTTGAAGGTGCTCGTTCAAGTCATCATCGAATGCACGAAGATGGATTTATGTATGCACGTCGTAGCTTAGGCGACGCTGTACATCTCCGTAGACCACGGCGCCGTTGTCGCGTCAAATCCATTCTTCAATGCCTCATGACCGTCGACTTCAGGTTCTTCCTGGTTGTCGCTCGCTCCGAGGACTTGAGTTTTTGACGACTTCTCGAACTGGTCGTCTTTTTCCTCTTCGGGCTCACTGTTCAGCCACTGCATGAACTCTTTGGCATTCTTGACAGAACTGACGCGTCGGGACTGCGTCTGCTTCATGTCTTGTCGCGGTGATGTGAGCCATCCCACGTATCCGTCAATGTACTCGAGTAGTTCTTGGTTGTTCTGTGGTGGTGGGGTGCAGAACTCTTCCAACGTCGCATGTTGAACAATCTCGTCGACTTCAGGGACACCGCAGAATTGGGCCACACTTCCATGGTGGATTATCACAATGGTACTATCATTCTCTGATGATTCCGGAGTTAATGTGGACGACGACGAGCGGGAGTACGCTCCTCCTCCAAGGAGTAGGTGGGACGCATCCTTGTCGTCGTCCCCCGCAGGAGCCAACGCTGACGACGGTGTCGGCACGCCAACCGTAGTCCATATCTTCTCCACGACGAAATGAATCACAAGCGCTGCATAACTCAGCCATCCATGCACGTACTCCGCATACGTCATGGCGATTTCCGCTCTGCGCCGTTTGAATGTTTGGTGCCCGTCGGGAATATATATCAAAATAGATCGGCCAATCAGAACGCAAGCAGTCCAGAATCATCCAATCCAATTCGAGTATTGAGATTTCAGCGAATCAGAATTCAGCACACGGCGAGTTAGGCCAATCATCCGCCAGATTGTTGTTCACATTGTAACTGCCAAACCGAAGAGTCATGCGGGAAGACCCAACGCCGCCGGCCGACAGCAGCGGAGCAGCACTCGAAGAACATGTGAAATGGGCAGCGTTGGTGGTGGATGCAAAGGTATGCATGTGTTACATGCATGACGAGAATTATCCGAAGCAGGGGGAAGTGAGATGAATTTGAGCGCGAGCATCATGCATGCTAGGCAAAGGAGCATCCGTACGACTGTCTTGTGTGTGGAAGCAAGAATGTCGCTCTTGACGTCAAGACTCAGCACGTGCGATGCAGGATGTGTGGAGTGTCTACGCGAAACGTATATGCCCATCCGACGCCGAATGATCGATTGCGAGAAATGGAGAAAGTTGACGTGGACACAGCGACAGGTACGCCTTCGCGAGTGTCCGTCGGCCTCAATCAGGTAAAACCCAGAAATGCTGCGACAAATCCTTGGGGTATTTGAAGATCCGCACTTCAAGCGACGGCTAGCTGACGCAAAAGGTACACTCTGCCAATTCGTGCAGGCACTTGATCTTGCACAAATGTCTCCAGGTCACCCTCGGTTCATGGATATGGTGCTGGTACGTCATGTCCAGGCATTGAATGCTTATTTCTCTTCACTGGTCAAGTAGCTACATACAGCCGTTGCTGTAGAAGGTGTCCGGAGCATTGTCACGAGGTGGGTGGCGAAGAGGACCCTGGTACCAATTCCGTGGGGTAGATTTGGGTTCGCGGACAGTCTCGAGGGCGTGATGAAAGCCATTCGGGCAATTCAGGAAAACGCTGGAGACTGCATCGAGATTTTGGGTGGTTTGGAGCGTCTGCGAGTGCTATTTTCACCGCGCAATGAATTTGAGCAAGGTATGAAATACATGCACATCCAAACACGGTCATGGTTACGCGGTCAACAGTGGAGGCATTGCAAAAACTGGACGAAGCTCGAGTCGTGGAAGAAGCTCGACTTCGTGAGCTACAGAGAGAAGCAGAAGTGAAAATGCTCGATGATGCAGCCCACGAAAGACGTCGTTTTGCACTGATGCGGGCCAAGAAAGCAGCTCGTGGCCTCGATCCCAATCAAAGTACGAATCCTTCGTCATGGATTGCTTGGTGTAACAAATCGATGCTGTGCTCACATAGCTTACATTCCGTCGATTCGCCGGCATCCACCCCCGGATATAGTCTTATTCCCGGGTCGAAGTGCGTTCATGACAGTCGTGGCTGACCAAACGGACGGCTACACGTGGTGTTTTAATGGTGTGGCGATCCCAGAGAATTCGCCTGGTTTGCGAGGGACCCGTTCATGCTCATTGAAGGTCCTATTCTTCACCAAGGCAATGTGTGGCTCGTACACTTGTCGATGTAGCAACGACGACGGCATGGTTGAGTCCGCTGCATGCCGTGTGTCCACAGGTAGGCCAAAGGTTCAAATGTCCGTCGAGAATGATTACGACGACCTCACATACACTGCTCCTAGCAAAACTCACTCCAACGCTCATGTACCGCCATAGAGTCCCGCATGTCGTGCATGATGTTGCAAGTCTTCCACAGTGTCTATGCTTTCGAACAGTGCACGGTCCTGGTTTTGGCTCTACAACAACCAAGCGGCTCTTTCAACTCCCAGAGCACACTCTATCAGATGCTGCCACCGTCGCGATGGCCACTTGGACTACAACTGAGGACGGGCGGTATGGGAACTCCACGATGCTAGGCCAGGCGACCTCATTGCGACCCCTTTCCCAGTCTTCATGGGTCTACTTCGGTTTGGCAACTGGCGTGCTGCGCGTGGACTCTGTCTCGATTGTGAATCCTGCTGTTGATGCCGAACCAGTAAAGCTCAAAACTTCGCTGCCGAGGCAAGCCGCGCCACTGAAACCCGTTGCAGTAACGACGACCCAATTGCGCATGGCGACGTCCTTGACTGCCATTCGGAAAGTCGCGTTCCTTGGACAAAATGCATGGCTCCTTCTCTCCGACATGCACCACGCGATCATGGTCTACGCCGTTCGAAAGGACGGCACCGTGGTCGAGCTACCAACACACTCGTTGGTGTGTCCGCGTCGCATTGCCACGATCGCAACAAGCCCTAGTCTGCCATACTTTTGCATCACGTATGGCTATGTCACACCGGCCACAATGGAGCTCGTTGCAGTTAGTAAAAGTCAAGGCTGTACACGACAGGACGTTCCTCTGACCCACAAGGCGACATGTGCCGAGTTTGCGTGCTTTGGAAGCCAGGTAGCCGTGGGCGAGAAGCGAGTGCAGTACGGTGTCCTTCGTATTTTGAATGCTGAAACAAAACGCACCAACATGCTCGTCGAAGACGCACACTTCGGTGGTATTCAATTCTTACGGTGGATCCCTCAGCAACACAACTTTGTCTTCTCTGTTGGACACGATCACACGATGAAGCTGTGGGACACAACCAAGAAGGAATGCGTCTTGGCATTTCAGTTGCATGCGACAGCCCCGTCCGATATACTCGTCACTTGCACTGCGGCCATGGAGTGCACTATCGTTGTGTCTACATTCTCCAAACAAGTGGAAAAGTGGACCATTGGATCTCTCCATCACCTGCTCCAGAGCGTCGGTATCGAGCGCAGCTATGCCATAGTCCTCATCCAGAAGCATTGGAGAGGGGCCGTCACTCGCCGACGAATGCTATATAGCCAGCCGCCTCCCGTCTCTGTGTTCAATATGTCGCATGGACATGCAGTTAAGTTCTCTATTGGTCACCAATGAACCAATCAAATCGCTTTAAAGGAAATTGGCCAATTTGATTCGTTGAAAATACGAGATTTCCTTGCTCAGGTTTTGATCAAGCCTAAGATGGATGAAATCCGCGATGCTGCGTCGAGTCTCCAAAAGCTCTTGGCGGCACTGGAGGCGCAGGAGAGCGAGGACCAGTCGCCCGTTTGCGTAAAAGCTGCCAAACTGAAAGCGCGCGTGCTGGAGCTCGAGCAAAAGCTAAAGAACGTCGTGGACGAAAAGGAGTACTGGCTGCGTCGGTGTGTCGAGTACGAAGCGAGTTTTGCCACGATGGTGCGTCGCACGCGCAGCAACTCGGAGCTCCGTGAAATGGCAGACACGTTTGTGAATCCCCCAAGCAAGGGTCAATCACCCCGATCGAAACACGCTTCAACCCTCGTCGAGGACCTGACGAACGCGCCATCCATTCCGTCCATGATCAAAGCCAAGCGCGCTTCCTTCCGCCTACTTCAGTGCAGCGACGAAGAGTGTGAAGTCTTCACGTCACTTAATCGCACGATTCAGACGCAATGCCGAGCCAAGAACAACGTCCAGTTGATGTGGGACACCTCGCCGACAGCAGTTCTTCTTGTAAAGAAGCCGAACGAACCCAACGTCTCGCGGACGATGCGTGAGGTTGCCGCATGGCTCATGCATGATAAGCACATGCGAGTGTTCCTCGAGCCCAAAGTACACGACGAGGAAGGCCTTGCCGGAACAGTTACATGGACCGATTCGCAGGACTGGCTCACAAAGCAGCATGAGATCGACTTGGTCGTGTCATTTGGTGGCGACGGCACCGTGTTGTGGGTGTCGTCTCTCTTCAAGACAAATGTACCGCCAGTGTTTTCGTTTGCGATGGGGTCGCTCGGCTTCCTCACGCCCTTCGACGTCTCGCGGTACGAAGGTAGAGTGAATTGTGCTATTGGAAGCACCTAATCCGGTTCGCGGCAGAGCACTTGACGCAACTCATTCGAGGCGGATTCCACATGTCACTGCGACAGCGCCTCATTTGCACCATCATCCGCGCTGACAACACCCCGCATGTCGAAAGCGTTGCCATGCCGATCCATGCGCTCAATGAGGTAGTTATTGACCGCGGGCAATCGGCCGCTCTAGTCGAGTTGGATTGCTTCTGCGACGACGTTGCGTTGACCAAGATAAGCGCCGATGGTATCATCATTGCCACGCCGACAGGCTCCACCGCATACTCGTTGTCGGCGGGCGGTAGCATGACTCATCCCAGGTAATTGCTGCTCGGTCCATCAAATATCCTCAATTGTTCCCAGTGTGCCGTGCATGT